AATCTCAGTGACATTATCATGATTTCTCCAATGACACATATTAGAATATGGAGTAAAAGTGATGAGTCGATATGTGATGGGTCAAAGCGTCATTCTAAAGCTGAAGGTTATTGTCAAACTGTGATTAAAAAAAAAGGATTTCCAGTGAGCAGATGAGTCTAAAAAAATGTAATAAAGTTCAAACTCTAACTGGGATTGTCCTACATGTCTGCTATGCATGGCCCTCATTAACAAAAAAAAAAAATCATTGAGTGTTAAACAAAACACAAAGTCAAGTCTCAAAAATGTGCAGATACATTTAAAGCATTCAAAAGGAAATAGTTGCATATTCACCAAAACTCCGATGTCTTGATCTACTTCATATTGTTTCCATAAATACCTTGTTCCACTGAGCTCGCTTGTTGTCTGAAAACGATTCAAAGCCCGACAGGGAGCCCCTCTGTGGCTCGTGACTTAATCACCCCGAACACTCGTTTATTCCAGGCGAAGCCACATTGAACATCCCACTCTTGTAAATAGTCATTAGAGCACCAATTGTGTAGAACTCTGCAGCTGAAATAGTTCATTACAAATACACTTAGTATCGCTTTTTGAGTCATGTTGGCTTTAATCTATGGTGCCAAGCTGTTCTAGAGAATGATTCATGATTTAGTAACTTATTTTAAGAGACTTTATAGCTTCAGGAGAAGTACCAAAGATAAGTTAATAAACACACTCACTACTGGGTCAAGGGTTGTCATGAGAAATATTGCGTAACATCAATTTTATCTTTTCAATGTGGAAGTTATTTACCAACAAATGAAAGCAATATCTGGTCATTTATTTTCCTATTCAATCATGTGAAACCTCTAAGCAGCACTGACATAATGGTTGCCATTCACATATCTGCTGGAGTTTGCCTTAAGATTTTCTCTTCCTGGTTTTGACTTTATTAAAGAGGAGAAAGTCAGAGTTTTCTGCGCCCAAACTGTCAATCAGAGGACTTTGATTACAATCTGATCCTCCACCACTGAGCTCTCCACAGGCTGACCTACTTTACAACAAATTGCTGATGCATCTCTGTACATTCATCTGCTGCTGTGTTTACTCGGCTCTCTTCAGCTCTGTGTTTTCTAGCGCTCTGCTCCACTTCTCCCCCAGCTGAGCACCAAGCACTTCCTCCTCCCCCCTCCTCCCCTCCCTTCTTCTTGTTTTTATTATCTGGACAGGTATGGACAAGCAATCCACAGAGATGCTTGTTGTTTTGAAATCTGATTGTGGTAAAAAAAAGTGGAACGCACATTTTAACGAGCTGACCATCCAGAAGTGATGCCACTTGAGCCAAATAAATCCCTGAATGTCAGCAGTGTGATCTGGGTCAAAGCCACGAACTGTAGAGAAAAAAACAACTCTACTTTAAAGAGTCTGAAACTTAAGCTTTAACTGGAGCTGTTTCACACCAATGCAACACCTAGCTTGTGTTTTCTTTTTTCATAAAAGCATCACATTTTGCAAAGAAAGCAAACATTATGAAGGAACATTATCATGCATGAGTACAAATGTGAAACACACACCGCGTCTTACTGGATGGATCAAAATGTGAAAGAACCCGAGGGCTACAGTGCTAGACAGGTGTGCCGCATAGACACACATCGCCTCCGGCCTCAAGTTTTAGCCTTCATGCATGGGCCAAAATATTCCCTGACTTGCATATGAACTAATAGAGGGCAGATCCTGAGCGTTTGTCTGGCTGTTAGATAAAGATTGCAGTCTTTTAAGGCAGCCTAACTCTAATATTACCTTGTGAATGCACACGTTGTTAACTCAGTAGGTGGTCTGATTTATTGTTAAGGTTTGAAGACAAGTTCATGTCCAACTTCAGAAGTGCCCAACCCCCAGATGAGACCCTCTTACACACAGACACATGCCCACATTCCCTGGATGACTCGGCAGGCTCATTCCTCTGAAATTGACCACTAAACCGAAGCAGGAGACAAACAAAGACACTCAACTATATACGCCAGGGAGAAAGGACTGTTATTATGGGCTATTAAAGGCTGCTGCTATGTAGGCCACGAGCCAAAGAAGCTAGAAAGAGTGACAGGACTTGAAAATATCAGCGCAACTCTTGTTTTAAGTGCAGGTCAGTCAATGATGCCTCATGATTTTTTTGTTTTTGAGGAAAGCAGGTCAAACAGTGCAAACAGAGGAGAGGCCGTCACGTTCAGGTTAGCAGCTGAGCGTGTGAGTTTGTACGTGAGGGTAAATACCACAAGGAGCACAGGTAACATTTGCATGCAAGGTTAGGGAGAAGGAGGGCGAGGCGCGGTATCCTGGTTCGCTTCCCCACAACACACACGCGCGTTCAGACAGCCACTGTCTGAGTGGCAGGTGATGGGGCAGGTGCGCTCCAGACAGAATTACAGTTGGGAGGGGAGGGAGGAAGTGAGGAAGGTAGAGGGGTTAGATGGGTTATAAATCTGTGTGTGATATGAGCAGGCATGCACAGGGAAATGAAATGCAAAGCAGTGTGCTTACAGGCAGAAATTCAATCTCATCTACAAGAAATGAATATTAAATGTCTGTATTCAATGTCTTCAGAATCTTTTTTACGACCTGATGAATATTCATAGTAATCCTATCAGAAGTTTGCAATCACACAGGGGATCTCCAGCCGCTCATAAAGTGGAGTTAAACAGTTCAAGGTCCTGATTCATTGCCTTGTGCTGGTTACACGTCTATCCAATGTGCAGGTGGTGCATTCGAGTCAGACATACTGTAGTAAATCAGATAATCCAGAAAGCACCCACAGCTATATATTTGTGCTCCAGTCAAAATACGTCTCTCCAGACTTTGCAGACACACACACAGCAGCAGCAGCAGTCAACTCACATGACAAAACAATTAGTCATCAGGACTGCAGACGGAAAAGACAGCCATCACCTCAGCCCGACCTCTCACACATGGTGTGCGATAAGAGGTTCATTTCGTAAAGGAAATCTTATCTTTAAAATATGGAGTCATGTTTCAGGCTCAGTCTGAGTTGTTGTCTTTGTTATTTCAATAGTTTTTAATCCCTTGTCTTTATTGGGGCTGATTTTATTTCAGATTTGTATTTATTGACATCTAACATATAATTGTTTTACTGTCTTCATTTTAAATTCCAGTTAATTTGATCCAGTGTTGTCTACTTTGTACTTATTTTCTGTTTATTTTTTAAATCACTTTTTGGAGTTTGATTCCAAAACTAAACTCTGCCTTCATTACGTCTTTGTACATTCATATTGATTTCATAACGGTGTAATATTAGTGTCTCAGTCTATCAATTCACATTGTGTGTGTAGAGAAACAGCAGGAGCTCCACATACACACACATGGACTCATGTATGAATGCACACACAGCAATGTTTTCCCCTGCTGGCTCCACCGATCCCCTCTTGCCTGGTAACGCCTCCATTACTACCTCCCACAACAACCCTCCATTACACCTCTTGACATTCATATAAGAGAGACATATACTGGACATATACTGTACATAAATATCACGTTTTGAACATGTAGTCTGAATAACGCGTATTATGTATCACCTTGTGCAACATGCTCTATAAAGGTGAGTTCAATTGTTTCATTTGTAGGAAAGGTCGTCAAAATGCTCAACACATTGATGTCACGTGTAAAATGATATAATCTCCTTTATTTCAGTACTGAAAAGTACCAAAGATTAAAAAAATTCAGATCTTCGGTCATATTTTCAACCAAAAGCTGCATATTGCCAACATATTTGTGCAATTCAGACAGTGTGCAGTAATTTGCCTGCATTTTTGGGTATTTAAACTCAAGAAATGACCCAGTGTTAGAGGCCTTGGACTTGTATTCATGTTACCGTTGAATCGAAACAAGTATCGATATCGTTTGTTTGCGTATCAAAGTCCTAAAATCTAGTATCATGACAGCCTTATTTGTAGGTCAGAATAAAAAGGGAGCAGCTTTCCCGTGGCAACTTTCAAAATCATAATCTGGCTGCTGAATGTCATAACTGCATCTGTTGTGAATCTCCCTAATGAAGCAGAGTAAACAACTTAAGACCAGTCGGAGGCTCCACATGAGTAAACAACAAACAAACAGTGAGGCAATGGGGAAAGACAGTGAAACCTTATGTGTGCATGAAGTTAGATTCGCATACTGGAAGCACACACACAATCACGCACACACTTACAGATCCATACACACTCAAAACCTGAGGCTCTTTACTCGCCTGAAGCTCCAAGCAGAGGCTGACTTTTATGCTAAAATGCCCTCCGTGAAAGGGAAAAGGAAAGATTGTGTGTGTGCTGCGGCGCCAGGTTTCAGCCATGTACAGTTTTTAACAACCCCTCATCCAGCATACTCGAGACATGCACTTACCTGCCCCGCTCTGCAACAACTCATTTCTGAACTGTAACCATCACACTCAAGGCTCACCTCACTCTGCACTGCCTAGGGAACTGCTGCAAACAGTGTGGATGAAAGCAGCAACTTTTTCAAAGAGAATACATGAACAGTGAACGCTAATGATCCCACTTGTGCGATGTCTGCAGCTACTTGAACTTATCATTTGGTTCTCTGCAAGTTTCACTTTCTAAACCAGAGCAAACCTGATGCATGAATATATTTAAATCTCTGATTAAACAGCTACTAGCAGACATAACAACAACCAGGCAAACAGAGTCCTGTGTTTGCCAGCTGATACTTCATCACATAGCTGTGTTGTTTCCTGAATGCCATATGGAGACAATGTCTATCTTTGTCTTCAGAGCATATATGCTGTCATATAAATGCAATGAACCTGACAAGCTGCTCTACTTCCTCCCAAGTGCTCCACACAAAGCAAAGCTTGCACTCTCAAATAACACAGCTCAACTTTCTCCCCCAGAAGTAAAATCCTCCAACTTAGCAAGGCAATGACAAGAATGTGAATGTATTTCTTCTCTTGTCTGTGTGAAAGGCTTATTGTTGCAGGTGTTTTTTTTTGAGTACTTTACCTCATCTGTGTTAGCAGCCTAGTGTGTGTGCTGGATGGTGGCCAGCAGCAGTGTGTGAATCCAGGCCATCCCAGGGTCAGTCTGAGCCACTCTGCTATCCATTGCTGCCTTGTGTTCCTCCCGGCTTCTTTCCTCCCTTCTCCTCCTTCAGCTTCTTCTTCTCTTTATTTCCAACGCAGCTCACTCATTTCACATCAGCGCTCCTCTGCCTGTGCCTTCTCCTTCTTTGTGCTCTCCGCAATCCTCTGGAAAACAATAACAGGCTGAAAAACAGCCACCACCACTTGCTGCTCTCAGAGCTACTTACAATGCAGATCCCCTCTCTACGCTCCTCTGCTCTCCCTTCCCTCCCTGCTCCTTCCCCTCCCTCTCTTTCTCTCTCTCTCTCTCTTTCTTTCTGCTACTGTTGGTGAAAGCTCATTTTCTCACTCTCCTCCCCCTCTCTTGCCCGTCCTCTAACTCTAATAGTTTAGTGTCTCATTTCAGCACCTGCTTTGACACAGAGAGGAGGAAGTAGACAGACAAAATGTGGCTGCTTGATAAGAGTGTTTAGTTTTTTTTTTTAAATGTGTGGCATGACAGTTAGGTACACTTGTTCTGTGAAGACTTTTCTTTGTGGTTTAATCGGTTTTTGTGTACATTTACGCATTCTAATCTTAAAACAAGCCAAACAAATTGCATGCAAAGGTTCACATTTAGTCTTCATGCATGCAATGTTATCTGCAGAGCTAGAGTTGCTTGTGGTTGTGTGTTTGTGTGTGTGCATGAAGCTTTCACTAAACGTCAAACTGGGAGTTGGTGACAGAAAGAAGCTGCTATGACATGCTTGAACTCCCTCATCTTTTTTCCCTGCTCGCTGCTGTATCAACTATGTTCACTAATCAAACATGAAAGGAATGGTGGTGGGTGGTGATGATGGGGGAGCGGGTTTACCTCAGGACACTGGTTTACTCGGTGGCGGTGGTCCTCTAATTGTCCCCCTTTTTTAGGGAGACTAAAGCAGGTCAGTAAGGGCTCGGGAATAATTTGTGTCTTTGCATTTTAATCACTATTCCCAGCCAGGATTTATTTGTAAGGGGATTTTCTGAACGTTGTCAACTTCAAATATGTTTGGTTCTATAAAATGTATTATGTACGATAATAAAAAAATATAACTGGATAATAACCAAATCAATCAAATGAAGCAAATATAAAGAGCTAACAAATTAGCATTGAGCTAAAGATGCCGACATTAAAGGAGAGTAAATACTGAGCTAGCTCTCTAACTGTCAAGAAATATGACTCCAGATAAATGCAGATATTGCTCTGAGTCTGCTGGATGTTTAAACAGGAGACTGTTGACTTTAAAGTTAGAAAAGTTAAGTCAGAAGTTAGAAAATGAATTATATTCTTTGTCTTTACATAAGCAAAAATTCAAGCAGATGTATTTTACCTCTTTGGAAAATTAAAGTTCTGTAGACTTCAATGTTTTGCTGCTAAATGAGTTTACTGACTAGCTGTGGGTAATTTAAGTTCAAGTTTCAACTTGTTTGATTATATTTATAAACTGAAGGCTGTTTCTACCTTATCAGTACGTTTGGGTTGATGACTGTGACCAGAACTTTCTCTTCAAACTCAATGAGCATTAACTTGAACCTGTGATGAGTCAGGATGAAGTCTTGTTTCCTATGCTTTTCTATTTTTTATTTTTGCTTTGATTGTTGTGCTTTTGCATAATTTGGTAATATGGTTTTAGCTCATACAAGTACCCTGTAAGGTTTACATCAAGGGTGCTGCACAAATTAATATAATCATTTTAATTTAAAATGTATTATTTAAATTCTGCAAATTCTGCAAAGCCTGCACGGTGGTGCAGTGGTTAGCTCTGTTACCTCACAGCGAGAGGGTTCCTGGTTCAAATCCACGTCGGACAGAGCCTCTCCGTGTGGAGTTTGCATGTTCTCCCTGTGCATGTGTGGGTTCTCTCCGGGTACTCCGGCTTCCTCCCACAGTCCAAAGACATGCTCTTCATGTTAACTGGTGACTCTAAATTACCCGTAGGTGAGAATGTGAGTGTGACTGCTTGTCTGTCTGTATGTGTCAGCCCTGTGACTGACTGGTGAACAGTCCAGGGTGTAACCCCGCTTCTTGCCAAATGACAGCTGGGATCGGCTGCAGCCCGCCCGCGACCTGAACGGGAAAAGCGGTATAGATAATGGATAGATGGATAGGTATGGGACCGTTCAGAAAAGTTGATAATCAATATTGAGTGTTATTGTTTCATAATAAGATAAAGATTTCTACTTTAACGTGAAAACATTTAAAAATAATTTGATTTGAGAAATATTCTACATATTGATAAGAACAGAAAGTTGTTCTGCAAACATCAGATCTTTCCAGCTGCACAGTTAATCTAAATCATACTTCTTATCTCTGATGTGGGTCAGCCTGAACGGGCCTCATTAGCAATGCAAAGTAAAGAGTTTTTTTTTAAGTTGTTTTGTGAGATGTCAAAATGCGTCTGTTTATGTCATAGCATGTCCTCCGCTGCATCGTTACCTTGTGGCAGGTTCAGAGTTTTGTTTTGCAGCTCGTGCATGCACGCTTCTCCTTCTACGCTCCAGCAGTGGTTGAATGAGCCAGCCGGTGTCCACAGTGCATACCTGTGCTCGCTGACATGTACTAACTCACTCTTCCTGCAGGCCATGGCAGAGGAACGCACAGCAATCATAACAATTAGGAGATGAATGTGGCCAAGAGGGAGGAGAGGGAGGAACAAGAAAGAGAGTGGATATTAAAAAAAAAAGTAAGAATTACAACGCTGGAAATATGTGAGGCAGAAGGAGAGAGTACGGAAAGGGTGAAGAGAGGGTGAGGAGGAAGAGGAGGAGAGAAGATAAAATCAAAGTCAGGAGCTGCCTGAGGCCACAGCCACTGGGTGGAGTCTGTAAGAGGAGGTGGAGGAGGAAGGCAGAAATCATCAGTGAACACCTGTCTCTTTCTGACTCCTAATAAATCAGCGTCCTCTGTACCTGTCTGCACGTCCCTGCTGTTTAGGTTTACATCCTCTGAGAAGGGTATGGAGAGAGAAGAAAGTTAAAAGTAGATTGTAAACAAAGTTCATCCCATCAGGTCCCAAAAGGAGAAAGCTTTTGCATTCAACAAACTAGATTTATTTTGCTCTAAAAAGTCTAAATGAAAAACAGCTCAAACACTAAATATTTTCTATATAAAGGAACTATTTCACTTCCCTTTACAATACAATACAGCAGCAACTCTTAGAAATCCTTCACATGAAAGTCTGCTGAGCATTCAAGTGGACAGGGCGGACATTCTCAGCATCCATGGACGGCAGACATGGACAGTATATTTGTATTTACATACACATTTCAGACAAAGTTGTAGATGTTTCAACATGTTCAGCATCTTGAGATGACAGCAGATACATTTCTGGAAAACGACAGAGCTCCGATGCCTTTTCATTAGAATAACAGGAAGATATAGACAGTTGCTTCCTTCAGTGCCAGTTATTGTTTTAAGTCAAATAGCTATGGTGTTTTACATGTAAGTGTTTTTTGACCTCAAGGGGTTATCATAAATATAATAAACAATGGTGGTGAACTAAAAAGTGTGTGTGTGTGTGTGTGTGTGTGTGTGTGTGTGTGTGTGTGTGTGTGTGTGTGTGTGTGTGTGTGTGTGTGTGTGTGTGTGTGTAGGGGTGGGGCTTTATTAAGTCTGAGGAAATTAACCCTAATAATAATATTATCAAAACACATTTTTGACAGACCACTGGAAAGTGTCCTGAACAATGTAAGTTCAGGACAATGTAAATGAACTTTAAATTAAATTAAATTAAATTATTTCAACTAAAAATAGAATTCATTTAGGTTGTATGTCGAACAATCTTCTTCTAATATACGACATCAAGATTCTTAAAGTCTGTGATTGGCTGAGGAAGATCTGCACTATTCTTTGTATGCATACATGCAGTATTTTTGGCCAAAGAAAGTCCTGATGTCTTCTTGCACTATCCTTTCTGTTGAGGAGTTAACCTAGAGGTCCCACTGGCACCTTTGAAAGTAATTTTTCCCTCTTTGCAGCTGTATCAAAGAAAAATGCACAATCCAGAATTGTTGAAGTTTGACCTTGTGTTGGACTTGAGTCAGGGTTTCTTGACCTTTGTTGTGCTCTCCCCAAACTTTTCGGACGTTTCCTACTTAATCAGTGGAGTGCTTGTTTGAAAGTAAACTGACAGCAGGGTAAATAGAAGTGATTCACTGCCCTGTCTTGTTTAAAGTCTCACCACACCCAGCTACAGTGATGGGTGTGGTTGTGTTGCTGTCAGAATGAACTCTGTTGCATGTGCTACCACACCAAACATTGCAGACACAGAAGTACACCTGTACATCAATGCATTAAGGTGAGAACATAAACCACCGGAGGTTAAGTTTCTCTTCTCTGTCATTAAAACATTGAATATGAATTTACTAACATTTAGCTTCATGTTCATACTAATTAGTCTAATTTAGCTGTGACTGTGACACACTGCTCCAGATGTTTGTGTCGAACTCTAAAACGATCAAAGACAAGATGAAAACAGTCTCATAGTTTAAACGAACCATGCAGCTACTCCAGTTAGCCAATCCTAATGCAGCTTACTTGTACGAGTGTGCTTTGTTAATGCTAGTTATTGTACTTGTTTCTTTTGCTGAAGATTAGCAAAGAGGCTTCTACATTTTATCCGGAACGTTTCACTTTTCAATCATGTATACATTTTTGTCATTTGATAACATTATTGCCACGGTTACATAATATTAGTTTTGTTACATTTGGCTTGGGTTTGCTCAGGTGAGGGTCGAGTTTCTGCTCGTTCCATGACTCTGAGTCCCGTTTATATGTTTCCAATGAGGGAAAAAGTTCACTTGTAATATCCCAGATGTGAAGGTGCGTCTCCTCGGTCCTCCTGTTCTCCTCTCAAACTAGTCGTTTCCAGTGCTGGAGTCCTAACTCATGTTTCCAAAGGATGCGTCGCTTGCTTCGGGGTAGGCAGTTCAGTTGAGTTTGAACATGGAAGGAATGAAGAAGGAGCAGACACAGAGAGGAGAGTGTTAGTTCAGTCAGACTGATTAATGTAAGAGATAAGAAGAGGGGGGGAAGCTGACACAGATAATCTTTGTTACAACTTGCTACTGAATCAAATCTTGCTGCTACTATATTATATTCTTAAGGCACATACTGGTTAGAAAAGCTATGCTGGCAATAAAACATAGTGTACACACTCTCACATAGGAGTATATGGAGTCAGAGCTCTGATGGGCTAAGCTTAATGTAGCCTAAAGCTTTGAATGACAGGAAAACAACTAGCCTGGCTTGGCCTTAAAATAAAAAAAATAAAAAAACCCTAGCAGGGCATCAAACATTTTGTAATGTGAGCTTAGTTGTACAACCCCTAACATCACCTGAAACAGACATAAACATGCCAGTTTGTTATGCTCATCTTTCTCGACAATAAAGCAAAGTGACCGTGTGCATCCTCCCAAAGTCTGGTCTTGGAATTTGCTACTTTTGGTACATTGTACTTTTACAGAGAACAAAATAATAACCAGGGAACAGATAAGTGGACTGTGGGAGCCAGGCTTAGTGCCTCCTACGTGTTTGCTAAGCTTGCTAACTTTGTCCTGACACCAACTCCTGAGTTACCACATTCAATGTCTTTGCTGGTAAGGCTGCAGTTTCATTTTTTTAACCAGTTTGGATTCTGCTTGTAGTTGTGGGTAGTTTATTAGAATGAGGGTCTATAACACAAAGACACTAACAACAACTACCTTTACTATATGTGTCTGATAAAATACAGTTTAACCATACAGAAGTACTATACATTTTGTGATTTTAAATTCAAACTACAACATACAGCCCCATTAATCACTCAACAGGTCTAAAGTCTGGATGCATCACTCAAATTTGTACTCCCCTTACAACAACAACTCTGTACCAACAAAGTACATTTTTATTAAATATATTTCATGGCAGGTTTCAAACATCCTGTACGCCTTTGGTCCCTGACTTGTCCAGTCTTACCTTCATGTACTTTTATCTGTTAATAATGTTTGGGGAATTAATTTCCTTTGATTTAAGAAATTGTAACTTAAAATACTAGGTTGCAAGAAATAAAATATTTAAACTATAACTTATTTAAAGTCCCTATGAACGGAACTTCGAGACATCATCTAACTGCCATGTTGTGACGGACTACAAACTCAAACTCTAAAGAACCAATCACAAGATAAAAGGCGGGAAACAATTGTGGGATGAATTTGATTGGATCGTTCGTTTTTTAAATGGTTGAAATTGTGTTAACGCCCTTTAGTGTGGGATGAGTCATCACACATTTGAAACGGGAGATAAAAAAACTGTTATTTTGATGTAAAAATATTCAGACTAATGCTTAATTGAAAATATAGATAGAATATAGATAATAAGCTCTTAACAAAGGAACACTGGGTTACATTTCATGGCGACTTTAAGAGCCAAAGGTTCTTCATTGAATTGCTCCAAATGTAAAGTATTATGATCTGAATCCATTCTAAGTATATCACCTCTCCTCTGATAAGTGAAACAATGACATCCATGCTGAGAATGCCATTTACTTACTTGTTGTGTGGTACTCATCTGCCTTCATCCGGCAACATTCACTACACGAGACAGAGACACATGACAACAGCATGGGTCAGAGAACAAGAACACGAACACACACACACACACACACACACACACACACACACACACACACACACACACACACACACACACACACACACACACACACACACACACACACACACACACACACACACACACACACACACACACACACACTGATAGACAGGATGAAAATAACACTGTACAGGACTGTTCCAGAAATAATGATTTTTCATCCCAGTGAAATCCTTTCTGTCATAACTTTAAGTGACACATCCACAGCAGTGCTGATGGAGGAAATGATCAACCATGTCAAACCCAGCCGCCCACAAGCTATACAGTACGGATGTAATCAAATGCATCTGACACTGACATATTTGGCCCCGATCCCAAACAGATTAGCTTTAATGATCATGTTGCGTGCAGTGTAGCGAGTTTCTAACAGCAAGTGGAGCCACAGGTGCTTTGTAACTGCTCAGTGGAGGTGTGTTAATGGCTGGGTGAGCTTTTAAGAGGCTTTAAAAATCTGGAATCTTTTTTATGGGAATCAACAGGCTCGGTGACAGGTTTAACGCTATGTGAATCCTGTGAATTCTGCAGGTGTTTTGTTTCAGTGGTTTTCTTGAGTGGAGATTTATGGACAACAACAAACTGACGAGTGTGCGGTCTGTGGATGTGGAATAACACATTAACTCTGCTGAGATACAGATAAAAGTTTACAAAAATGTCTAAAGACAAATACCTGAAACTTGAGTCCATAACATTTTCAGCTAAATGAAACACGGCTTTCTGAGAGAGACTTTTTTAAAAAGATTCATTTTGGGCTTTTTCTGCCTGTCTTGTAGAGACAGGACATTGGATAGAGTCAGAATTCAGGGATAGAGAAAGAGAGTGGGGGAATGATAGAAACAGGTCTGATTCGAACCCGCCTGCTTGAGAGACTACCACACATGGTCTCCAGACATGGGGCACGCACATTAACCACTACGCTACTGGCGCCCCTGAGAGAATGTTTTATAATTTGATTTGGTTGATTTGACAATTTTAAAAAGTAAGAGAACTCTGATAAATTTGATCCCTGATCAATCTTTCCACTGTTTTCTCCGGTTATATTTGTGTGATTATCATCATACAGAGTCTTGATGCATTGAGTACCCTAAGGTACTTGACTGGGCCTCAAGCTTCAATTACAGATCTTGATTTTCTGCTTTTGAGGATTTTGCACAGTTACTGCATGTGTGAATGTGTATGATCGTGTATGATTGTGTGTGTGTGTGTGTGTGTGTGTGTGTGTGTGTGTAATGTTCTACTGACCTGGGCTGGAAGAGCCAGGGGTTGCAGGGGCGGCCCCTCGGCTTCGACTCATCAAAAGAGCCTCCTGGTTTTCTGCCAGCGCCTGCTTGGCCAGGTAGCGCTCCCTCTTTATCTTCAGTTCCAGGGATTCAGGGACATCAGGTACGATCCAGTCGATGGCTCGCAGCACAAAGAAAACCGCATGCTGGAAGAGAAAGGACATGGAGACACTTGAGCTCGTCGTCAGATGAAGGAAAACTGCTTCTAGTGTCATAAAATGATGTGGAAAGCATCATTGTGTCTTTAAAATTGAAATTAATAAGGTGAAAGAGTCCACTTAGTCAATTTCCCTTCCTGTCTCTATCAGCCAACTTCAGTAGCCCCGGGAGGCAAGTCAGAAAATAAAACATTATAACTTAACATTTTTATCCTTAAAACAAAAAAGGATTTCCAAGAGAATGTCCTAAGTGGAACATTTCCACTTTAAGTATATAAAAAACTTTTTTCAGGATGTCTTTTCAAGGTTTCTCTTTTTTATGTGATAAAAACTGAAATGTTTTTGGATTTCTAATTTCTAGTTTTTTTTTCCTCATTCACCTTCCAGGGATTTCAAAGCCTTTTTCCTTTGTCCAGTTGATTTATCTCCATGACGACTAGTCTCTTTGGAAATTAAGGTCATAAAATGTAGCCTAAACTCTCTACTTGAGTAAAGATTCATTGATTTTCAAAGTGCAAGATATGTTACTGTCTCTGAATTATTCCCCCTTCCGCTTCACCTCAGTGACCTTCTTTTCCTGTCATGATATTCTCTGTTTTCTCATGACACTTAAAAGACAAAAACAAGGAGCAGGAGGAGGAATTGCTGAACAAATCAGACATAGAGAGAGAGAGCAGAGTCAAAAAGAAGTGTGAAACAGTGCTATAAAACATGAACTGTAAAAGAGAAAAAGGGCCTATGATTGTGCCTTAGAGAAGTACTTGCAGTGTGGAGAAGAATGGAAAGACAGAAGAAGCAAGAAGTGTGAAAGAAAGGTAAAAGAAAGGAGAAAGAGCAAACATGAAGGTAGCTGCAAAATAAAATACAATCTGTTGGACTTCTAAGTGTAGGTAGAGCATGAGAGGAAAAACTAAAATAGATATTAAGAGTGGGAAAAAAATTTAGGGAATGGATGTGCATGAAAGAGCAACATCAAGAGCGGGAGAGAAATGCAGTTCTCCTGAAATCAGGCAAACTATAAAACAGAGATACATACACAAATAAAAAGAGAAGAAGATGCATGACAGAGTCAGGATGGTAGAAAATTAAAAACACATGAGACATGACAATAAGAAAAAACACAGACCTGTTAAGATCAACTTTAGCAAACACAGGAGCAGAGCAGCTCCCTTCATACCTCAAATGCAATAATAAAACCAAGTCTGACGGCTAGAAGCTCCCAGTAGAAGAGTGTGTAGTTTCCACTGTTGTCTCTGTAAGCTTTATATCTTAAAAAGAGAAAAACAGAGTTATATTAGTAGACACTGTGGAACGGTTGGGTTCTTGATTCTCGCATATAAGAGCTAAATAATGTGTGAAACATCAGCATGACCACCCAAGTCTGTTTATTAAGGTCAGCTGATTTTAACCAAATGTGTGAATTTGACCATTCAGTTACAGTACATGCATTCAGACAATGATCACACCGTTTACCTGCACATGGGATACGCAGTGTAGTTAAGAGGGGCATAAGCCAGGGTGAAGTTTACGTATCCATTGAGATCGTTGTCAAACTTGTACTGGTAGAGCAGGCGAGGTAAAAAATCTGAAGTAAAGGCTATAAGGAAAGCCTGTGGATGAGAAGAACGAACAAAGATCATATTTTATAAAAGAGATAATTATGAATAAGTCTTTGTGGGATGTCCTTCGAGTTCACTCACGTTTGCAATGACTGACAGGTGCGACAGGGCCTCCAGTATGTTGAACCAGACTCCGATGTTCTGGGCACGTTCAGCCACCGGCCGGCGGTACTCGCACACAAACTTGTGGGCGTCCAGACGGATCTCCACCCAGTTGTTGAGGAGAGCAAAGAGAGGAGCGAGAGGGAACGCTGCCACGAAGATGGTGATGAACCCAAACTGGAGCACTGCAGCACAGAGTCATTTTTACAGACAGTTAAACATCTTAAATTGTTCTTCTATAATTCATATATACAGCTATTTTGTTCACAACATGTGTATTGTTTTCTGAATCGTCCGTTGCTTAAGTGGTTAGACACTTACCCATTTCAAGGTATTCTTCAAACAGGCCTTCACACTCCACCAGCTGGTAGTCCTCCTCCCAGCGTCTGGGCTCATCAGAGGATTTATTCCCAAGAACCTTGGCTAAAGTTCTCTTCTGGTGCCAGGCCTTCACTTTACTGTCAGAGCAGACAGACAGACATAGAGAGAGAGAGAGAGAGACAGACAGACAGAGAGAGAGGGACAGAGAGACAGACAGACAGACAGATTTTGTTTTAAAATGTATATGACCTCATTTGTTTTCATCTTTGTTTGTCTCTACTGTTTGTTTCTGTAAATCTTGAACACTAACTGTTATTCACAGATATTACATTACGTGGATAACTCAGTTAACTTAATATCATCCTTAAGGATTTGCCATGACCATGGGGCTTTTCATTTCTTAGATTCAACTTAATTCATTTGGAGCTGTTGTCATAGTAACAGTTGTTCATGGCTCTCTACAGCTCTGTTGTAAAAGGTGTCTTGGTATTTATCTTTTTCTTTACACTTCAAACTTTCTGCACATCAGACATACCGGTATCATATCTCCACTGTCTGATAATCTCATAAACAGCACTTTGTTTACTTAAAGAGGCTTTTCCACACGTCATCTCCAAGCACACATCACGCCCTCCATGTTGCCTCTCACACAGACTGTCACTGTCACAGCAGGTCAAAGCAGGTGAAGAGCTGATGGAATGACCTTACTTCTAGCTACTACAGGAGTTCTGAAGTACTACAGCTTGAAAATGTGCCTCTAGATATATTTCACAGATATTCTTGTCCTTGTACATGCACAAACTACAGGATATAAAAATAGTGCTTAAGTACTTAATCTACCCACAATAGGATAAAATTATGATAACCATGTGTGCTGAAGGAAGCAGCATACCTCCTGAACTTCTTCTGTCTATATCTTTTGTGTAATCAGTTCGATTCTAAATCCTAAATATCAAACCTGTTTAATGTATTCAGGAAGACCCGATGAGTCTGCAAACTGTTTTGGAGGTCTAAGGTGGGATCTGTTAACACCCCCCAAATTAAAAGTAAATTAGGACCAAACCAAGCACATGAGGCCAGATTTCTCCCCAATTAAAAGCAGGGGTAAATCAGTTTAAATAACCCCTGTAGTCTGACTGAGCACAAGTAGCAGCCATTATTTCAGAATACAATAAAAAAGAGAAGAAACATGCTGATCCATGGAAGTGCTTTCCCCGAACCAAAGCCCACCTTTTCGGTGGTTAGAGTAAGCCTTGCTTGTGGTTCATTAAAACATGAAGAATACCTTGTGGTGTGGGTCCTTTAAAGATTCAGACTCTGAGTTGGGAGGAAGCCACCATATAGATTAAAGGAACCACAAACCACATTGCCAAGCTAAACAACTTGGCTGCCAACTCCCACACTCAAGTTCAATCAATTATTGAATCAATCAACAAAAGCTGAACACCCTTTACAAAGACAATCTGTGAACATTTTTCTACGCAGTTCTCATTCTGCTGTCAGCATCTTATCATGCGCACATTTCAGGAGTTGTGTTTCATGTTATTAATGAGTAGTGGTCTTTTTTCTCTGGCACATATAAGCTTAAGGTAACTCTGAAATGTGGTGAACAATGCATTACTGTACATTGCACCAGATGTCCAAAATAGAGAGCATCTTTATATTTTTAAAGGTTTTCCCAATTTCCCTCTAGATACTATTTTGTCAACCTAAGCCTCCTACAATCCGGCTCTGCCCTGTTGTCTGCTCAGGTTTTTGTCTGGAAACAAACAGGCACACATTTCCACACACTCCCACACACACACACAGCCTCCCACACACACTCCTTCAGACTTTGCCAGTGCTGCAGAGGTACGGCACTGAGCTTTACTGCACCAAATGAGCTGCAATCAGGATGCAAAGCAGTCTGATGCAACACTTCAAAATAAAGTTAAATGTTTGCAGGTAAAAATGTGTTTTGGATTTATAGACTACAAATTACACATGCTAGTTATATCATTTATTCTATTCTATTCAATTCTATCTGGCTTTATAGTACAGCTGATGATAAATGTATCTACTCGTGTCTGGTGGGGAAAGTCTTTTTCTTTAAGCAGCTTAAAATCTCCTGGAGGTAAAGTGGGGCAGGCGTGAATATAGTCTGATACACCTGAATGTTGTTAAACAATATAAATAAAAATAGTATATGACTGATAAGATTTAAAGAATAATGGATACAACATCTAACAAAAGTCAAAGTGCTGTTATAGAGATGAAACCTACGGGATAACAAACTCCTGAACGTTGTTGATGAGTTGCTTTCCCACCATGATGATGAAGAGTTGTTCGGCCAGTTCAATGAGGCAACCCCCGGGACCACACTGCAAAACAGTTTGAGGACACACGAACAGATAGGACACAGTGATGAAATACAAATGTTATAAACTTGGATAAAAATGCAAAAGATGTGATCTTATTAACTCACATCTTCATTTCTCATCCCGAACAAGGTCCCATAGTTGGTTGGGTAACCCACAAACCTGCCCACACAGAGACGTGAGGAAAAGGTCAAAGGTTATCAGGATCAAAATGATCTTCCTTTCTTATTGTTTCTAGCACTCATGGTTGTGTCTCACCTTCCTTTAAAGAAAGCCACGTAGAAGGGAGAGGAGTAGAAGTTGACAAACTGGAAGATGAACACTTTGAAGATGAAGGCGTTGTCGTACTGAGTTTGTGTTCTGTGCATCTCTATGACAAAGAAAACATGGACACAGAGTGTATTTAAGTCTGTTATAGCTCTTCTAGTGTCTCTAATGGATATGTTTGGAAAACCTGTTTTATTACCTAACTTCACATGTTACCATGTTTACAGCACATAACACTTATGTGCATGTTCTCAGCAATAAGTCAGTTGATAAACTATATCTCAACTTATAAAAAAAACCCAAAATGATACTCTACAGTAGTGTTATAGTACTCAAAATTGTCCTTGGTATCAAGACCTCTTTTTGAAGGTCTCGGTCTTGTCTCAGAATCTAAAGTATTTTTGCTCGGCCTTATCTCGGTCTCAGACTTTGCGGATTTGAATTCAAGACCGGGCAAGACCACAATTTATCCAATTCATTACTGTGATTAGAAGGAAAACATCCCTTTCTAGAAGAACAAATAACCTCAATTCATTCATAGCTTGATTTTTGTCTCCCGGTTACAGCCGCAACCTTCCCGGGGAGTGACACGCCCACTACACACAAGATGAGGATTTTTCAGTGATGTTTATGGTCTTGGTCTTGGTCTTGACTCGGTCTCGATCCCTAAATGTCTCTGCCTTGTCTTGGTCTCAGAGCGATCTGGTCTCGGGTAAGTCTTTGTCTCGGTTAGTGTGGTTTTGACTGAAACACTGCTCTAAAGTGTGAAAATGAGCAAATAGACATTTCTCTTAGCAAAGAAATCTCATCAACTGTATTGGACAGACATTTACGTGTGCTGAACATTTGGCTAGACGACACTATCCATGCATAGTTTTCCTCTGTCTTATCAAGATGGATGATAACAGACACAAAAAATCATTTGAACTGCCGAGGTGATCAATCAGAGCCTTTATCAGCCAATAGAAGAGGTCCTTAACTCCTGGGCAACAACACCTCAGAAATGTTGTTGCAGCACAACCGGCCTGTATAGCAGCGTGTACTACAACAGATCATGTATTGCTCATTTCTTCTAGGTTGTTCAAGATGATAAACTACAAGTATGTTAGCATCACAACTTAGATTATCGGGCTGACGCTTGTTGTGTTTAGCTGTAAGCCAACAAGCTAAAACCTAGCAATACAAAAAGTACCAGGCTTGACATGAGGAATTATCTGAATATGTTAAATGACAGAGGAGGTAATAATACAACTTGACTTCCTGTATTGTTGATACTAGCTAAGGAGGCCCAAATATGACAGTTTGAATCCCAGCAGATGTTGTTAATGAGGGTCTTTTTAAGTTTTCACTGAGACTAAAGATAGTTTTCTGTACATTAAAAAACAAATCTGGGCTTTTTTTTGTGGGTAATTTCTTCTTATTAAAAACTAAAATTCTTGATATCGAGTTATTATTTGTGTATGTTTTGTTAGGTGCACGTCACAGGCTTCCAGGATTAGAGCTTATGCACAAGACACATACTGTATATTGTGCATGTAATTTACTGGAGGATGCCACTGTGTGTCACATGTGTGCTGCAGTAAGTCTTTCACTCATCAGAATGTTTTGGTTGCTTTACTAAGGGAGTATTTTTTAACATGGATGTTGGTATCGAATAAGAGACATTTGCTTTTTGAGGAGTCTCAGGTATCAGTTAGTCACGATCCAATGAGAGGCTGATATCAATGTTAAGGATTTAGGTTTGAGTTGTCAGAGAGAAGTATTGATTCTTACCCCATTTAGTGAGCTGCTCAGCTAATGCAGTGTAGACACGGCCCATCAACAGGATAAGGCCAAGATTCACGATGCTGCTGGAGACGTTTGCTATTGTCCCGGCCTGAGAACAAGACCACGGACATGAATGTATGAATGTTAATAATGCAGACACACAATCACACATTTACTGTGGGGCTAGAGATGCAAGCCTGTATGGCATGTAGTAGTCATTCAAAGAGTACAACATCTAATGAGAATAAATTAAATCTCTGCATGCACTATGGATGTAGCTTTCATATACCTCTGTACGTAGGACGGGGCTCCCAGTATGGAACATCATTATGCTTATGATCCCGCGGCACATGACCACTGTCACCAGGAAGATCATCACCACACAAAGCTGAGAGGAGAGACACAGGGACACGGGGTGAAAAAACATCACAGTAGGTGGGTGAATTTTGTTGGGTAAAATTTAGAACAATGTTCTTGTGCAGCAAACAGGATAGCGATAAGAACTACTCTTATCGCTATCCTGTTTGCTGCACAAGAACATGCTGATTCAGCATTACAAAATGTCACTTGTAGATGAGTATAACTCCCCTTTAACTGAATCTCTGTGGTGTATTACTTTGGCAAAAAGGTCAACCTCAGACCTGTATATTTTGGTGCAGTGTTGCTATTTGAATGAATTTTAGCTTCTTGTTTTGGATTGGCTGTATTCTCTTTTTATAGGCTATACTTTGCTTGCACATCACAGATGTAGTCCAGGGAGGAAAGTTTGACCCTGGTTATATTGAGGGTAACTTTTGGATTCTGTCTGATCTTGGACTGCAGCCCACACACAGACCTTTTCACAGGGCGGACAGAATCTAATGACATGAAAATGAGAAGATTTTGGGACCTCTTCTTACATCCTCTTTCGGAGTTAGTGGTGATCTGTAGTCATTCTATACCAAAGGTCCTTATTAGATTGTGCTCTGTCTGGAACCTGACCCTCAATCTTTATTACTATGGACTAAGCTTTAGATGGCATTTCTCCTGGGGCAGATAGGTGACAATACCCAGAGTAATGAGACTGAGAATGCAGTGGATGGATTAGATAATCAGATCTCATCCAGCCCTGGGTGAAACTGATCGGAATAAACGTATAAAAAAAGGGTTCAGTCACTAAAATAAGTGTCAGTGGAACTGCACAAAGATGTCAACCCAACCACTCTTTCTTTTCGGCATCACTAAAGTAACAGCTCAAAAGACACTGAGACTATTCACTGAAACCAAGTATAAAGAAAATGACACATATTGGTATGGGACCGGATCAGATTTTGTCAAATTAAAAGATGATTAATGAAAATGTACTACCTCATAACTTTAGCTACAGTAATGATCAAAACATACACCTGAAATGTAATAGCCACCAGCTGTCATATAGAATAGAATTTACAGATTGAAACCCAAAACCCAAAAGACCTCAGAGCCAGTGTTTGGCTTCTCCATTCTTCAAAACAGCTTCTCACCATCATTATGATGACCATGGAGCCAGTGAACATGCGAGATATCCTCGTCTTCTCTGGAAAGTACGGCTCTTTGACCCCAGTCACTGGATTTGGCTCCATAGACGGGGCCATGGCTGCAAACTCCGGCCGAGGACGCTCCTAAAGGGAACACAGTGATGACATCAGCATTGATGGACACACTCCTTGCTGGTTAGCTGAAAATGGTCCCTTTGACGAGTTAAGGTCAAGAAATCCAAGCTCTGCAAAGCAAAGGGTGGAGAGGAGGTTCCCGACAGATGAGATGAGGTGTAAATACTTTGACAAAACACCAAAACGTGACACAGTGTACCTTTTCTGTAACTATGGAAGAAGGGAAAAAAGAGGACCAATGGCCTGCTCTTTACCCAACATCATCTAATTTGTCCTTTTGTGTGCACATGCTACTTTAGAATGTTTTTTAACAAAATAACATGCAATAATAAACGTTTATATGTTTTTTGGAAGCACACCCTCGTTCCCTGAACTTTAACACCTCAGGTCTCCAGATGCGACAATGCAAATGTGCAGATGGACTCTTTTGGGATTTCTAGCCCCCTTATCATGACATACCAGAAACCAGTTAAGTCATATATATATATATACTGTATATATATGTATGGAAAAGGAAGGAGTGATTGTGGGACCTCTTCTTCATGGAAGTCCATACAGTCCCAGTGATGGGCCAGGGTTGCCATCTTTCGTTTCCAGTACTCCAGGAAGGTGACAGCCCAGAAGGACATGAACACACTGAAGAGGACTGTTCCTGGGTGGTCAAATAAGTAGCCCAACTGTAATGATAAGTTTAAAGCAATGTGTGAATGTTAGCCTTGATTATATCAGCTTTCATTGATAATGAATATGAACTGGTTTTGTTACAGTGAAATGATTTCAAAGTTCCTTACCTTGGCCATTGTGCAGATCTCAGACATGTTCCAAGCCTGGCATGTGTTACAGAGAGGACACATCAGGTACGTAGCTCCACTGTTACAGATTTCTTTACTGTTGAAAAAACACATGGAGACATAAAAAAAAAAAATGAAGCCGAGAAGAACATGTCAAAGCTTTCCAGCAAAGAAAGTATTCAGATTGTGATGCACCGGCTTGCCTGGCAGATTTGAAAGAAACAGAGATATTTGGCCTTCAATCTTTTAAACTACTCAAATGAAACCAGGGTGTATTGAACAAGTGAGAAAGTAGAAGAGATGAGAGGTGGTGAAATCATTCTCCCAGCTAGCTGGAAGCACTTTCGAAAGCGAGTTATCGAAAGGACATCTACACATGGGATCAGCTAAACAAATAAAGGCTGGACCTACTGAGAGGGCTCTTTCTTTGTTAATTATATGATGTGGGCCTTATTTGGCACTAATTGTCCATTATCACTTGAGGCTACTGCAATTTATTCTTGCCACATCTTGCTCTCCATCCATTCTAAACTAATCAATGGCTTTAATCTTCATTGTGAACTAATGAACCTCATGAATCTCACACGTTTGGCTGTTTCCTATCCTGAAATATCGACTTGTCTTCCATTCCCTCTAGCGTCCCTTCTTGCTTTATGCGGACATAAATGTTCTGTCACTGAAAGCAGTAGGATGCCATAAAAACAGAATGTAAAACCCAAACAATCAGAAAGGCAATATAAGGGGCCAAATACCTTATACACACCCTGCTAGAGAAGTGACTCCACAGCGCTGTGTAGGGAGAGCAGAGCCCACTGTGGTGTTGAATAATGCATAATTAATTGGGCACAGACATGCCCAGTGGGGGTTGCTTTTATGCAGAACAGACTGTGCTTTGATGTTTGGGTCTGTTTGTTTTCCAAACAGTGCTTGCTTAGCATAATTTGGCTGGAAAAGCGTGAGGAGAGTCTTACATTCTGGGGCGTCCTGGTGTCCCTAAAAGGAATAGTTTAACATTTTGGGGAATAAGAGCTTTCTCTCTGAGAGGACGATGAGTGGGCTGAAAGAAATCTCCTGGATTGCATTCATTAGTGTAGGACTTTGGCAATGGGCAATATGTTTAAGTCAAGGTGTTGTTATTGGTGCTCAGGCATGATGGTACCAAACATAGCAAGCTCTCTTAGGGAAGGAGACTTGAGCAAGTCAATGTGTCCAGCTGGGGTTGACTAAGAAATGGCTCCATAATAACACTAAAATGACAATATTATTAACACCCAACAAGCAAAAAAACCAAGGGGTGGTGAATTAATAACACTTTAAATTTCCCTTTAGTATCTAACTTTTGTTTGGATCAGCTGCTCAGAGTCAGCAGAGTGACACTCAGAAAGCTGGTGAGGTAAAAACCTGATAACTTAACATTGTTTTGAAAATATGTTGTACTTTTTTTTTACGTTTATTTTTGGGCTTTTTATGCCTCCATCTACAGATAGGACAGTGGATAGAGTGGGAAACCGGGGAGAGAGAGAGAGTGGGGAAAGACATCCAGGAAAGTAGCCAAAGGTCGGACCCTAACCCGGGCCACCTGCCTGGACGACCCCAGCCTCCGCACACCAACCAGCAGGCCACCAGCAGGCCACCAGCAGGCCACCAGCGCCCCTATGTTATACCCTTAATGTGACATGATATACGGGTGTCAGTGAGACGAGTTTGCTTAAAGAGCCCATATTATGCTCTTTTTGGGGTTCGTATATTTAATCTATGTACCTACTTTTGTACGTTCACAATAGCTAAAGTCCAAAAAAAGTGTCTGTTTTCATGTACTGCTCCTCCTTGCTCCCTCTACGCTCTGAGTCCGTCAGCTGCACTCTGTTAGACCCCACGTGGGTCTGATTGGTCTGCCAATCCGCTCTGTCGTTATTGGTCAGTTGCTCAGCACGCTTCTCGGAAATTTCAACATGAGCTGCAGGGCTTGCCACAACGAGCCAATGGGCTTAGATCAGTGATATCACACTGACAATGACGCCGCACTGAAAAAACTTTATCGAGGGGGGCTCGATAAAAGCCGCGTTTCAGCGGACTTTGAATTTTTGCACATAGATGTGCCTAAACATGCACAGGGCACTTGGAAAACACACAAAAGGGCATATAAAACCAGAAAAAGAATAATATGGGACCTTTAATAGCCACTTTAGCTTACTAACCACACCGGGTGAGGCCATAGCAACCAAAGCTCTGACTGTATTGAATTAAGCTAGGTTGATTTTTTTTATGCTTGTGAAGTCAGATTTTGATTTCTAGAAGAAAGATGATGTCATTCCAATCCTCAAGGTTTGAATAGGCTGACCTTCATGTTTATTCTTAAGTATCAGAATGCTCCATTAATTCAGAAGAGTCATCCCAGCACAAATACAAGACATGCCGTCGGTGCTATATGTTCAATTGTTGCTTGGTAGTTTTGAGTTCAGTTGTAGGGTAGCACAGTTTATTTTAATATTTGACATATTACATTTTTATCTGTTCTTTAGCTTCTGCAACTTGTGAATGTCAAGAGACGCTTTGCAAACAAATATGATCTTATTCTAAATGTATTTGTGTGCTGTTGGTGTGGTGTGCGGACTCACGCTGGTGTGTTGGTACCCATCGACATGACTCCAGACACAAAGACCAGAGTACCCACCACTGCTGCCGGCAGCAGCCAGGCTGTGTAGAAACCTGCAGAGATAAAAAGCTCCATTAGGCTGCATCTCTCCGCTGATGGGAGGGTTATGCGATATTACTGTTGCTCTGCTGTTTACTGTTAGGATGTCCTTAATAAAAAAAACAAAGTAATGTAGGCATCACAGAAGATGTATATCTCATGCTGGGGTTGGTGATTTACTGTAATTGTCTCAAGCTTATTCTCATAACTCTGCTTAAGGATTCCTATCTGCCTCATTGTTCTCTTAGTAAAATGACATCAGACATCTTACCTCCACAGCTCATTACCAACTTGAGTTGTTAGTTTTAGAAGGGATGTAAAACCTGGATCTCTCCGTACACCAGGGAGTTATGTCCCAGATAAATCAACCAGACATATGTTTAGAACAGTGAAATATTCTCTGGCTGTAGACTGGACTACTCTGTTATCCAGGATGTCACATATATGAAAATGATATGCGTTCAGTCATTACAGATTTATGGAGGCGTGAAATACTAGCTCGTAGTTTTTCTTCATGTTCCATTCAAATACAAAGGGTGAATTAAAAATATGATTTAAAAGATTCTTGTGATTATTACATTCACAAGCCTTAATCCTCACAATGGAAATGCTAAAATTAATAGTTTCATAGACACCCAGCACCTAAAATTTCTGATGTAGAATTTCTATTACCCAGCCAGGCAAAGTAGAATGCAATCTTCTCTCCAAAGTACTCCCTGATGTGGTCCAGTGGCTGGTACTTGAACCATTTTAACCAGCGGGCCCAGTATTGGTAAAGAACCTGCCTCTGGTTCAGCTCATCAGGACCAATCTCATGCCTCGGGAGTTCAAAGGGGCCCTGAAAAGCAAACATACATACGGTTGTAGATTGTAGAGGGAAAACAGAACAAGTTTGATATGAAACTGAAGATCATATAAAAAATGTCTCACCTCGTGAAGCGGGAAAGCTGCTGTGTACACTCCCTCATTGACCAGTCTGTCCACACCCACCTCTGCCCTCTTCCTTTTTCCATACACTGTCCTGGCAAGAATCTCATACACCTGAAATGATGTGCAAACACTCACTCCATGAAAAAAATAAAAATAGAATAATGATAATAAGAAGAGGAATTCCTGTTACTCACGATGCGATGTCTCTGTGTATTTGTGAAGTAGTTTTCATGGTCGTCACAGCCAAGGAACCTGCAGAGGAGAGATATCCATTCAGGAAGATACACTTTTATTTACTGTGATACAACATTTACACTGACATTGTTTCCCCCATTCTTTATTTGACCTCACCTGCTCATCTTTGATTTGCGAAAGGCACATGTGTAATAGTCCAGCGGCCTGTTTGGCACAGACTCCTTCATGACGTTAGGTATGCATAGTCTACTTAGAACCTGAGCAGATGTGTTGAAGTCCAGATTTGGCTGTGTCTGGAAAAAAACACATTCATTTAGTATAAAGAAAAATCATCTCTATCATCCTGATCTTTGTCATTTACATTTCAGTCTCTGTGGTTGTGGAAGTCAAAAGAACATTTCAGCATCTACCGGTAAGTCCTGTTTTTTGTTCTATATGTATGAAATCAAGTATTTGTGGGTGTCAATCCCAACAACCAACAGCTTCTCTGTAAATAATCAAAGAGAGGAAGCACAACTAGTTCTGTTAGCAACATAATCAAACAATAAATCACTGCATTGTAATTTCAAACTTAAGCACAGTTATCAATGTTGAATTCACAACTCAGCAGCATTGTCCTACGAGTCGTTGTCCATGTAGGTACACATTTTAAAGGGAAGGCGACCTCTACCAGTGACTTAAAATATTCACTGTTTACTTTCATGCTAACACCTCAGCAGGGTTTTACTTAGCAAAAAAGTGCTCAGGGTTGAATGCTACCATTAGCATGCTACAATTTGCACCATGACAATGCTATGATACTGATCCTCATAAAGTAAAATGTGTCTTGTGTTTACATGTAATTAGCATCTTAGCTCTGCATGTTAGCATGCTTCTATACACTAAGAACTTAACATGAAGAAGCCACCAGTTGGGACCAAAGGGAATATGATTAGATTTGCACCTTTTTGTTTTGAAACCAACCATTGACCTGACGAAAGCACCAGATGAATAGTACCAATCATCCTGAAGGGAATGTGAAAAATCTAACAAGATTCGTTGAGACCAATCCAATAATCATTTTACTCGTGGCCCAAATCAGCATCATGGTGGTGAAAAAGGTCAAGCGATCAGAGGGATTCTTGACTGTGACAATAATGAAAACTACTTCACAGTAACCCAGAGACTTGGCATAGTGAGTAACAGGGTTCTTGTTGTTTCTGTTGTCTGAGTCTTTGTGCTGTGTTTTCTATATTATTATTGTTCTCTCCTGGCTGAAATACAAATTTCCCCTCGGAGACAATAAAGTTGAATTTGAAGGAACATTGTGTGAGGACATTGGATGCCTGAGCAAACTTCAATGGTAATTCCTCACAAACATGTTGATGTTTTTCTCACAGGGTAAGTACAAACTTTTACCAGTTAGCAGCACTAGATCAAACGTCAGAGGATCACCAAAATCCTTCGGACTGCTATGTTGAAAATGAAATGTAGCATAATTATTAACAGATGCATTAACCTGCAATGGAGCTCTCACACAGAGTTCTTCAGCATAACACACCAACACATCCCAAGGAGCGCTTAGCTTCAGAAAATGTACTGTTTTCTTTTCATTTGCCGTCTCCTCCTGAAGGAAAGAGAGACAGGGTGCAAACAGTGTCAACAGAAGGTTAAAAATATGTATATACTTAGAAATTAAAAGATTAAAAATGTGTTATCTCATCAGCATACCTTTTCCATGAGCAATCCTGCACTCTCAAGATTCTGCACAAACTTCTCCCTCCACTGGGCCAGCTGTGCTTTCCTTCTTTCAGACCTGCTGTTCTCCTCAGTGGGCACAGCTTCCCCCTCCTCAGCAGTCGCCAAGTGCTTCCCCTTTCCTCGCCGCTTTCTCCGGGAGCGAACTTCCCACACCAGCACAAAGTCTAAACCCAGATGGACCATGGAGGTCAGAGGGTTAAATGAAGCACTGACTCGGTCATCAATCAGCGAGCTTGTGTGAACTAAAGCATAGAAATCTGCTGATGCTGCTTACCGATTTTGGTTCTTCCATCTCTGAAGTAATTCCCCGGCTGTGGAGCTGGCTGATTTCTTGTATTACAGTGAACATGAATGGGATCATCACCATCCATGGTGCCATCGGCAGCAGTTGCGGCTGAGAACTTAAAGCATCCAAACAGATAAGATATAATTACAGAGTAGACACAGTAGTGGGTAGAGTGCAGGCAGAAACCGACTCCCTTTCCTGTTTGTTCTCAATCCCTTGTCTTTGTATATGGACCATTCCTTTAATGAGGTTTAACTGCGAAATGTTGTGCCATTACTGGGCATTATAAAAGCCTACACTGTGCAATAATGGGTCCAGAAAGATAAGAGGGAAATTGATCACTGAGCTTTTTCACAGTATGAGTGAGAACAAACATTCAATGCAGGAAAGTCCAATGTAGCTAAAACAAACGTTTTGCATTTTCACAGTGACACTCATAACGTCACACCACAGTGTACTACTGTGGATCAGATTCACTGCAACATGTAAGAGAAGTCAGTGAGGTGTGAAGGAATGAGCAAAGCAGCATAGTTAGGGCGACTGTGTGCGGTATATGTCAATGTGAAAGAAAAAAACATGCTGCAGCATTTAATTTAAAGAAGTCACAGAGTGCTTACATATCTTGGCGGGATGAAGCTCCCGTTGTGTAGACTCCCATAGCTGTCTGTGTGGTGTGCGTCTCCTCCACAGTCCAGATCCAGGAGGACCTCCCTGTCCCCTTTCAGCAGCTCCGAGCCCTTCCTCAACATGATGAGGATTAGAGAGGTTCTACTGATGGACACATACACTGTCATATTATTGTGCTGCAGAAGAAATCTGTGCAAATAGCCAAAGTGGTTCACAAATGATGAAAACAGACATGCTCTAAAGAGAGACACTGAGAGAGGAGAAAAATGGTTGATGATGTACCTTTGATTTGGTGAAAATGAGCCCGCTGCTCAGGTCTGGATTTGCAGCTCTTTGTGTTTCCCTCGTCCTCTCCCTCCTCTCTGTCTCTGAATCCGTCAAGCTCCTCTGCCCCACAGCGAGATAGCTTTAAGAATACCGTAATGGACCTAGCATGCAGGCAGCAGCTGCTGCATCTCAGCTCAGGAAATATACAGTGCTCATCCCCTCTTCATAAATTATGTAATAGTCAGTCAGGGGCAGAGAATAGGAGAGTGAAGTCGGAGCTCTCTTTCTAAAATAATCATTATGCAGGATGTAACACGTGTAGGGGGAATCTCCTCTTTGCTATACGGGTAGTCCCTCATCCATTCGAGCTGGTTCGCACATTTCTCTTAATAGGTTTTGAAACATAAACACAATTAACATAAATTATTTACAGCACTAAAAGAGAAGATCAAACCCACTACACTTTATATGCTGACATGAATATTACAAGCTACAAGACTAATGTAATAGAAGATTAAAAAATGTGAGGTTTTTAACCTATTTTTCAAATCATATTTATCAATACAATTATCGTTATTTAAATGTCACATATTATGCAAAACACACTTTGCCATGTTTTTCTAACACTAATATGTGTCCCTAGTCTGTCTGCAAACCCCCCAATGATGAGAAAAGTTCATCCTCTCCATCTTTTGCCTGCTCCATTTTTCAGAAAATGTGTGCTAAAACAGGCCCTTCATGACATCACAAAGGCCAGTAACCCCTCCCACAGGTGGGTGACACTCCCACAGCTAGGTGTTTGTTCTACTCTCTGAGTCTCACCTTAAACAATAGGACATGGTGCGAGAAAGCCCAAGCCTGCCAAGCCCTTCCAGAGAGGGGGCGTGGTCAGACACAGCTCATTTGCATTTAAAGCTACAGACACAGAAACAGCCTGTTCTGAGCAGGGCTGAAATAGAGGGGTTTATAGGCATGATCAAATACAGGATAAAAAAAATTCACAGACATGTTGTAGGGAGCTCTGAGACTTATTTAAACTTCTTGAAAAAGATAATAATATCTTTCCTTTAAAGTAGCTTTGAGGATCTTTCAATTTGTGCCAATGTGGGTGGCCCCTGTGGACAAAACAGCTTCTTTGTTGATCCTGTCCTGTAGAAACATGGCAAGTATTCTCTAAGGACAACATCTTGCCCGACTCAGCTTTCACAGTTTCTTGTACAAATTACCTTGTAACTTGATTATAAACACACACTCTTCCAGTCTGCAAGCTGCGACCATATTTGAATGAAAAGGGGGAAAGGGATATAGAGGGAGGAAGCAGGAAAATGTAGACCAATGAAGAGTGAGACATTAAATTTGTATTAGATGGTGAAAGAGTGCAGAACAGAGTAAACGAGGGCATGCAAAGCACAGCTTCACCACCAGTTCCTCTTAATAAGGAGAAATACTGTGTGCTGTAAGGATAATTAAAAGACCAGAAATTTGCAGACAAACAGCCTCACACTAACACATTTCAGTCCATTAGGATTCTTATTTTACAAAACTGTGCCTGAATCCACAAGTCCAGAAATGATGTGTTATATAAAATCTGACATTTTAAAATGCATCCTGCAACATTAAGGTGACACTCCACCTTTTCTTTACACATAAGGATTTCATCAGAGTCATCTCTGAGTGGGCTCTTTAATGAAATACATGTGCTTTATCATGCTGTGAGATATAGACAGAGATAATCTACCAAAAGATACCTGGAAATGTATTATGGGAAGGGCAGGATCAAGTATTTGTTGGAGTAACACTTAATTATCAGGTCTTTTTTTATGACTGCGGTTGACGTGACACATTTGAAATCAAGATAAGAATATGTCATTGACCAGACGAAGACTGCAGTTTCATAATTGTCTTTTCAAAAGTAGCACCTAATAGGCTGGTGATGATCCTTTCTCCTGACCAAAGCTTTATGATCAGCTGTATCATCATTACATACGTCGATCCAACCAACAGGACGCTTAAATTGTCTTTGAGGGTTTTTCCTATCGATGCCGTTTTTATTTAATTTTGGCTCAGTCGTAGGTTTCCTGTGAACCTCCCAAAGGGACACCACCAACACTCCTGTAATTACCTTCCTCTTATCCTCTTACCTCCTCTTTATCGATCTGAAAGTGTGTCTTATCGGACTTGATTTCTCTACTGCATGCTGAGTCATTCACAAGTTACACTCCCGGTGAGATTGGGTCCACCACGGGTTGTTTTCACCACAACTAGGCGCTGCACGCTCAGCAGTGCAACGAGTCTCTTTTGACTTCTCTCCCTTCCGTTCTGGTCTTGGGTTCTGCTCAGTTCTCTCGATGCTAACAGGTTAACCCACAGCTTTATTTTTAGGTATCATCTTTTTAAACTTCAAACTGCATCTCTCAGTCCCCTTACGCCTCCTGCTGTTTTGTTTTCCTATGCATCAACTTTTGCAGGTGATCTCCCTCACTCCCTCTCTGTAGCTCTTTAAACTCTCTGTGAACTATCAGCCATTGTTGCAGCTCGTCTTTGAATATGGAGACAACAAACACTTTGCTATGATCATCTTTGATCCGCTTTGTATTTTTGTGTGCAGAGAAAACAACAGACTGGGAGAGGATTTCATGGCTCATTGAAACCATGGTAACAGCACAAGTACACCCAAGGTGACTGTATAACGCAGCAGAAATAATAAAACTGAAATTCAACAAGGCCTGCAGTATCTTGTTGTCCTAGCAACTATGAAAGGATAATCAATATTACCAGAGGCTTGGGAACATGAACGGCTCTGAGCTGTGTTGCATGTTGTCATATTTACTTTATATTATGAGCCCATTACAGCTGGTACCGAACATCTTCACATGCAATGGTCACAAACTCAACTCTTTGATGATGGATCTATGTTCTTAATATTAAAAAAAAGATATAACTGACTATTAGAAGCAGTGGCCTCCATACTTTCTACTGTAAATTAAACTTCTGAATTTACGTGGTGCTCCTAACTCGAACCTTTAAGATCAAACCCAGAGAAGAGAAAGACTGATTGATTTTGTTTCACGAGAAAACACACAATGGAGCACAATAATTTATTACAGCTAGTTTCATATCACAAAACAAAATGTGAATATATCTGTATTAAGTTAAGTCTAAAAACCTCTGGTCAACCAGCCCTTAATGCAGATTAAATCTTAAACTCTTTAGCAGAGGTCCTCACTGGTGTAAAGCTACAGGGGGAGAAGTCGGAACATAAAGACAGAACGGGCGTTTGAAGCTTCTGGTGTCCCCGCCTGGATAGATTTTTTTCCTTGGCAACAACAAAATCCTTTTCTCAAAACACCTTGGACACTGTAGTTGCTGTCATCAAACCTCCCACATTTTTATTGACTTTGTTTCACACTTTTCAATGGCTTTCAAGGACCAAAATAAAAATGTAATGACATGTAAAGACAAAAACCTAAACTACTTAGAGAGTACTTTATAAAATGTGTCTGTCTGAAAAAACTGTTTCAGTCCAATTTAAGTTCAACCATTCTTCTATTTCATCAGATTATTTCATGACCATTTGTGTAGTTTGGACCTCAGATGATGAAAAAACGTGACAAAAAAGAGAAATGTAAAAAAGAAAAAGAAAAAAGGCGTACTTTTGTGTACTTTTTGATTCATTTTTCACACATCCATGACCCACTGAAATCTACCCTATGACCCACTTTTGGGTCCCAACCCACCAGTTGAGAACAACTGAACTATATTATGTTGAATTATAATATATTATGAATTAGTGTTTATCCATCACAGGGGACATTTTCTTTCTATGTTTTCATTCCTTTACTCCATTTATTAGTATTAATTAAAGTATTGTTTTACAGTCTTTATAAGAAATTGCTTTAAACATATTAACATAACCTCATGAGACACCTAAATTCCAGGACCTTTCCTAAATTATTTTCTAACTTCATGACTTTTCCAGACCAAGAACATTTAGTTTAAGTTTTAACTTTGTATGTTCCTCATTTCAGAAATGATATATAAAGCAGGCCGAGGCAATTCTCATATGAACACCATCCTTTAAAGAAACATCATTTATGACCTCAAGTGGTGACTAGGAGTTATTGCAACATCTCAAAGACATCCATGAAGCAGTGAACTTTTAGTTAAAAGCAAAACCTTCCAGTCACCAAAGGTTTTTGGCGTAACAGTAATGGAAGTTGGATGGTGATGATATAGATGAACTTGAAAAGTAAAGAATTAAATAACAGCATTATTATATGACTGGCACTAACCATGACCTTGTTAGGCATGAATGTTGTTCTTGGTTATATGAAAACAATCTAAGCTGGTGTCTTTTAAGATACAGAATAAAGATATCTGTTACTTTGAGTATATGAACAGTTTACCTGACATATAGCTACTCGCTTACCTGTGAACTCTCTGGCCCTGCTCTAACATGACTGTCCTGATGTTTTCCATGACTCTCTTTCATTACCTTAACCTGGAACAGAAATGTACAAGTCAAAAAACAGAGATACCAGTACATCAGCAAATGTATCACAAAGGAAGCCAAGATGAGTTATGTCTGTTTATTCAGTTATGCCGTCCAATCACAAAGGTGTATTTGTACATTCATTATCATTATGAGCAGTATAAAACCTTGTGGACATGCTCCCTCTCATGTGAGTGTACAGTATGTTATACTGATTAGTGCTCTATTTACAATTCAATAAAACCGCTAAACATTATACAAATATTACATGCAGTATACATGAATTTAACAAAATCAAAAAGCGCTTTAACAACACATCCTTTAGAAGAGGTCTTCCATCATTGGCCAGCAATGCCCCACATTCAAAACACTGCTCAAAAAAAAAAAAAACTCTATAGGCCACAATTTTAAGTAGTTAATTTTCAAAATGAATAATCCAACAAACATTTCAAGTAAGTCAAAATATTGCAACCTTACTCTCCCTGGTAAAAAAAAAAAAAAAAAAGAGCTGAAGTTTTCCACCGGGGCCGAGGATTCAAACTAAGCAGCCTACCAGTCCTATTTTGGAACCCAATTAATTATTTACTAAGTTTTACATCAAACCTTTTACCCACATTTAGAGTTCTTTGCAGCTGTCTCTCTCTGTCTCTGTGTGTGTAAAATGCTGCATCTAACCAGGGAGGCAAAGTATAAAAGAGGATTTAGGTTAAAAAAGAAGAAAGAATTCAATTAGACAAAATAGCAGCAAATTAAAAAAAATGATGGTGAGTGTTAAGGTTTCTGAAGTGGAGTACCTTTTTCACCTGAGATTAGATTTCTGTGTAAAGAGCAGAAGATGAGAGAGAACAAGTGGCACTTAGAAAATCTTAAAGCACTGATTCATGCTAAAATGAAGGTAACACAGTGTCTCAGAGGAACAGGTTTCTAAATGTAGTGACGTATTGATAGAGCTGGGTATTACTTTAAGGTTTTCTTAGTTTTGGTAGAAATATCAAAGCAGGATTTATTTTCTGTACTTTGTTGAATACAAACACAAACATTTCTTACAGACAGCATTGTGTCTGTACTCGGGGAGTATGCCATCAACATGAACTGTTTTCTTGAATGCATCCAAAAGTCTTTTTTTTAAAGTGATTAGTCAAAGCAACTTCTAACATTACATTCTTGTCCAGTGCCTTCAGATGCTGCATTCATATGCAGATTTATATTCCTAGAGATTATCAAAAAGGCAACATTGTCACTGCGAAACACAAATCTCCCTCCTTTCTCATAGTGGATATGAGAGCTGTTACACACCATCATTGACGAAGCAGCAGCAATCAAAGCAGGGTTAATGATGTGGACAGATTGTAACTAACATACTGTTGTTTAAAGGTCACATATTATGCAAAATACACGTCACCAGGTTTCTCTAACACTAATATGTGTCTCTAATTTGTCTACAAACATGATGAGTAAAGTCCATCCTCTCCGTCTTATACCGGCTCCACTTTTCAGAAAATGTGTGCTCAAACAGGCCGTTTGGAGATTTTCCCTTCATGACATCACAAACGGCAGTAACCCCTCCCCCAGGTGGGTGACACTCCCACAGCTAGGTGTTTGTTCTGCCCTCTAAGTCTGCCTTCTCACCGTAAACAATAGACATGGAGCGAGAAAGCTCACACCACACAAGCCCTTCGAGAGAGGGGGCGTGGTCAGACACAGCTCATTTAAAGCTACAGACACAAAAACAGACAGTTCTGAGCAGGGCTGAAATAGAGGCGTTTATAGGCATGATCAAATACAGAATCAGAGTGGATTTATAGCAAAAGAAATTCACAGACATGTTTTGAGGAGCTCTGAGACTTTTTTTTAAACTTGTTGAAAAGGAGGATAATATGTGACCTTTAAATATAAGGTGATATTACAGGCTTACAGTGTATACGCTATGAATTGTAAGGTGAACCCATAAACAAATGATGACTAACACATATAGGGATGTCCTTCTTCCACAAACCTTTAGGTGTGGAATAAAACTGTAAAGCCAAAAGCACTAGAAGCTGTCAGTCAGTAAAGGCTTCTTCTGATTCTTAAGGCCCTGACACACCAAGCAGACGGCAAAGAACTAGTGGTAAAGAAGGCCGCCTGTAGCGTCGCCTCGCCTCGCCTCGCCGCCAAAAAGTTGCACTAGAACACACTCCAAAGACTTCAGCCGACGGCTAACCACCACGTACGTTCTGCACATGCGAGAGAGGAAATAACTCTCCATGCCAGCAGGGGGCGGTAGTCCGTTGTTATGATACTAGAAGACTATTTCCACACCGCTGTCGGTCACCACTCATATTACAGGTAGCCTACTAATGGAGAATAATGTCTGATAAAAAGTTGAAAATGGCGCTGGCATTGTCATCCCTTGGTCTTTTAGTTGAAAAAGAAAAGAAGAGGCAGAGGAGACAAATAAGGAGAAACCGCACTAATGGGTGAAAGCATGGCTACTACAGCGGCATGCTCAAGGGGATTTCCCGAACCTGTGTCGAGAGCTGGAGATAAATGAAACCTCCGAACAGCCAATCAGAGAGATTCCTCTCACTGACCGCCGGTTCAACATGTCGAATCGGCCAAAAAAGGCGGACGGGGGCCGACTGAGCCAGACACACCACACAATCTGGGATGATGACCGCACGCCAACGGTTCAACTAGGACAGACGGCTGATGATCTCCTTGGTGTGCCAGGGCCTTTACTCGATACTACCCCACACTAAAGGGAAGTACAGGCCTGCCAATGCAGGCAACATAGTAAACACCATCTTAATGTTACTACTGGATTCAATAATTTAGTAACAATTCTTCACACTTTCTCAGAAATGGAAACGAATGAGCACGTTATATATTAAACAAAACTACTACTAGTACCTTTAAAAAAAGACTAACAATGTGCAAGTCAGCATGGAAGCCTCCACTTGTCTTGAGCGGAGAAAAAAGGCAAGTCTGTTGCATTCCTGATATTCTTTTATCTGTGTGACGACTTTCAAATTAACTGAGCGAGATATCAAACAGACGACACAGGTATAAGCATGTTATGTAACAGTGCAAGTGTTAAATATCCACATATTCTTCGATCAGTGTACGAGTCATTAGACGAACCATAACTGAATAGCAGACACGTACGCAGCTGTCAGTGAATACTCATAGATACTGTACAGTGCTGTGAATTGGCTTTATAAATGTGCCACAGTTAGGGGTTCAGCAGAGCTTCTGCTAATTGTTTGCAAGCAAGGAGTGATTTGTATCATTTCAGAGTTGTGCAGGAGAAAGCACTTTTTATGTGCAAGGCAAAGGGAGCGTGAAGCGAACAAGCAGTAAGTTCCCCTCCCTTCATGTATGGCTTTCTTCATGAATATCACAAGAATGATTTAATTCTGACTGAGTTACTGTTGAGATTCAATAAATACTACTTCTCTCACTTCACTGTGCAGGAAAGCTACTGGTTATGGCTCCATGTCTTATTCCACACTCCGTGTACCTGATTTATGTTTGATTATTTTCTGGTCTGTCCACATGAGGAAGTCAATGCTTCTCTCCATTGGTGTTCGTTTTCAAGAGTATACTCCTCTAAAGAAAACAGCTGGATGTTCACGTCTTTTGGAGACTTGTTTTTGGTCGTATGTGTTGGCATCGATGTGTAACCACTACACAACCGTTTTTGCATTTCCTACAGGGATTTATCCTAAATAACATCATATGAAACACAACGTTCCTTTAAGCACATTTATTTTTGCATCACTGCTCTGTGTGAAGAATCTCTGAGAAAGGAACGATGAAAATGTCTGCTAGGGTCAAACTTTGTTACAACATTCTGGTGGACGTTTGTTCAACTGATTTTCATTCCAAGTAATAATGTTTTGCGTCACTGCAATGGCTGTACCATAAGCCTAGCTTCTTCTGCAGTTCCTATGATGTAAGGAATTCAACAGCGAGTCAGAGGTGCATCACAGGGTAATGCTGTAGTACAGCAACCAATAACCTCACCTGATTGGTTTATCTCATTCTTACAGCTTATTCCACTCTGAACAGTCAGTAGAGACTGTTATGTCGCGAGATAAATCTGTCTATCCTGGAACTATATAAGACTGTTTAGTCTGTTCCAGTGGCTAACCACAGTTATGTTTATGTGTATGTGTGCATGTGTGTGTCCATCAGCACCAGGGTTCGCGCTGGGCTCTGCCTCGGGCCAGACTGTCTGCTCTCTGCCAGGCGCTGTTCATCAGAGCGAGGGCCTCGCCACAACGCTTCTGCACAGATGGATCGAACACGTCTCTGTGGGGGAGGTCAACCTGTGTGCAGGAAGGACAAACATGAGGGTTTTACTCAGGTTTCATCTTCAGCACCATCTTTCCTATTTCACCACGAGGCTCATGACAAACAGTAAAAATGTGTTGTAAATATGAGGGCAAAGGATGTTCTGGATCAGCATGCATAAAATAATGTTTTAGCAGATTAGGATATTAATATTGGTTTAAGCCAGAGTAAACATCCAAAGAGCAGAGTGAGGCTGACGCTGGTGAATGTAGGCACAGCTAGAAGCAGGGTAACACAGCTTTCAATCAATCAAACTTTATTTATATAGCACCTGTCAGACAAATTCAATTGCAGTTCAACGTGCTTTACAAGAGTGCAGAAAAGTTATTGACAGAAAAAGTAGTTTATAAAATCATTGAGAGACTTTAACAGTCATTATAGCATGGTGGGTAATTATTGCTTCAATGGACTACAATTACCATCAACACCTTGAGGACATCCAGTTAAATAGTGGTGAGAGTTCCCTCTAATCCACTGATGAAGACAGATTATCTTCCTACCTGGAAAATGGCTTTCCATGTGTTGTCCAACGCCCCCAGAAGCCGATCTCTCTCATCACAGCCACTGAAGTACAAAACCCAAGGAGGAAGAAACTGGGTCCGATCTGCTGCAAACTCCTACACAGTGAAAAAAAAGGGCAGCACAAGCTAAAATATATTAGATGCAGATATTTTTAACTGAAGAGTGAGCAACTTCAGCCTATCTTAAATCTTACACCCACATCTTAGCAGGTGGAGTAAAATGGCAAAATTACTGTCCTTCATAGGAAAGTTGGAAATAACTTAAAGGATGAGGGGGAGTAATTAATACTCAAACTTTATATCATACAATATATTGTGTTCAAAGACAACTGAAGACAATTAAAATGGGACGTTTGTGATAGGAAATTAGACTTCAATAACTGCACCAATGTATTGTGTATGCCACAGTAGTTGGGATGAACCTTCAGTCTCTGTATTAGAACCAAACTTTGACACATCTCTAGCACCAAGCAAACTAATTGAGATGCCTGGTTTTGTGTGAACTTTGCACCCTAGCCAAAGCAAACACGTAGCAAGTATACCTAGAACAAAAGGCTGCAGGTCACACATTTTGGACATCTGGCACTGTTAGCTGAATGCTACTAATAGCTTACAGTTTATTTGTCTCAGACACAGGAGTATGTGACAGCATAACAACATTAATACATTAAAACTATGTGGCTTATAGATCACATTAAAATCTAATAATTAAGGCTAATATAATGACTCACAATAACACAGTACTCCTTGTTGGCCTCCATGCTGACAGCTGTGACATCACAGATGTCAGCGCTGCCCAGTGAGCGGAAGAAACTGGTCTGACAGTCCTGATGGCAAGTTAGCAGCTTACTGTCTGTCACCACGAGGCAGCATGGGATACACGGGGTTGGGGCCACACCCTGGGGGATAACCTGCAAGTAAGGCAGAAATAGTTTAATGAAATTTTTCTTAAGACTTAAATTGATCAATAAGAAAACTGGATGCCTGTGGCGCCGATGGCCTGGTGGCTAGTTTGCCCCAGTCCTTAAAAGCGGGCAGCTTGGATTTGAATCCAACCTATAGCTCCTTTGCGCCATGTCACTCCAACTCTCTCTCTCCCTGATTTCCCACGCTTTCCCCCGTCCTGTCCCTCTAATAATGGCATAAAAAGCCCAACAAAAAATCTATACATAAAAAGAGAGAACTGGATTCATCTTGTTCTAAATGAGAACAAACATTTCAATGAGAAAATTGGCCTGTAAAACTGCACAACACATGCCTGATGGGATTATTTGTGAAACAGTCTTTGTGCATGCTCACTTCTAGTTCAAAGCTATGAGAAAAGGCAGTCCAACTTAAAAGATGAGTCCTCCTTAAGTTCACATTACACATGCCAGAGTGAGGGATATCACAAGTGTTTTGTGTTATTATCACAAGAACAGTGCTCTGTTGTTTCACTTTGGTTGTGTTTGAATTATCTTTGTTTGATATAAAAAGTACATCAACAGTTCGTCTGTTGTAGTAGTCTCACATAATGTTCAAAGACACGTAGTTGAAAACTGTTGTCCTCTCCCGGTGTTGGCTGAAAGGAGATCATGTGTTCGGTCTTGGTGAGAGTGTGCTGCTGATCTCTCATCCTACTGACCCAATCACAGAATAATGCCTTGTGCACAATTATGCCTTGATTCTCAGCAACCTGTCCTAGTTGTTGTGAAACGCGAGATACCGGCAAAATAACAGTAAAAGAAATGCTGCACCATGCAACAGCTTACTCCTTTAGAGACGGACTGGCAGAGCAGCTGCATCCAGTCAGCCATGTCCTGCTCATTGTTAGCACTGAGCTCCAGTGGAGGGCGTTCTGTCAGGATGACCTGGAAGGCGTGGGGATGCTCTGTGCTGTTTGAGCGCCGGCAGCCTCCGCAGTGCTCTCCTCTGTGAAGAAGTGAGGGAAGACAAAGATGAGAGAAGAGGATATTTGACCCCTTATAGTATAAAAGGAACAGGGGGTAAAATGTACAGTGAATAATTACCAAATTCTATTTCACTGCTTTAATTCCAGGTTATTGGTATTGTGCATGCTAGATTAATGACACTGTCATGGCTAAATTTGACAGTTGAATAGAACACAACCATTTTTTTTATGTAATTAGCAACCTGTGCTTTTTTTTCTTTGAAAAGACTTTACAGACTATGTTAATTTTTGCAGCTGCTCTTACTCAGTAGGTAATTTTTTTTAGCAGTCTATACACAATTGGGCACACTATTTCATTTAACATCCACTTCTGCTCATTAATCCTTTTCATACCTGAGCATAAAGTTTGAGTATTGTTGAAAAAAAGTGGATACCTTGGGAATTAAAAAGCTGAGCTCACCAGAGACTCACATACTGTCAGAGATTAACCCAGAGAGCTTTGATGTTTTTACTATATTTTATATTCTGATATGCAGAAATGTTTTGTTCACAATAAAGATACATATGCATTTCTCTGTGGTCATTATTGTTACCTTATTGTTACACCCTTATTGTTGTTGCTGTTAGTTATATCTTTGATAATTCTGTTGATTGAAAAGTTCCGTGTGCTATGATTTTTTTCCATTAGACAGGTCCCTAGTGAGGACTTACGCCTTTCACATAAAGCATCTTGTGTGGACAGGTGATATGTGTGAAATATATTTTCACTTATGTCTCCTCTATCTCAGTTGTTGTGATGCTGTGCTAATTTTTTTGTGGTCAAAGAGGCTGGCTTGCATAATGCAAAACTCAACTCTCGCAGGAAATCTTTTGGTAATTTGTTCAAACTTACCCCATAGTGACTGAAATTACAGGTGTCCCATCAGTTCTTTCTGCATACAGGTAGAGAATCCCATTGCTGCAAGAAAGAGAACAATTCTTTATATTCACTTAAACGGAAGATTGCCATTATATCACATAAATATAATACCTTTATCTGATACTTAATAATATACACTAAACTTTACAGAATGCAACTGCCTGTAATTGTGACAAAGTCAGGTACACTAAATGTTTCAAAGAATTGGATAGACCTGTTAAATTAATTTTCATTAAGTGCCACAAATATGAATTCCACACATTAATTTGAAGACATTTGAAGATGTTAATGTTACAGTTTTTACTTTATGTTTTATATTATACATCATCTAATTCTGGTGGGCTTTGCTCTACAGACAAAAAGGAGTTAAAGCTTTCAGTATGGCTAGCAATAGATTTGGTAAAATAAAATGAGTTTGATATATTCAAGAAAAACTGTGACGTAGGAATATAAGTATTTGGAAGTATGGTACATATAAGCAACTGTTTTAGCCCTCTACACTGAAATTAGTTAAGTATCCTGTAGAGTTGGGAAAAAAATCGATTTATGTGAAAAAAATCGAGATTCTTCTCTTCTAAGATTTAATATTGATTCATAACTTCCAAAAATCGTTTTTTTTTTGTCTAATCAGTCACTCCCCGTTAAGCGCTAAGGCTAGCTCTTTGACTAAGTAGAATGCCAAATAGCGCAACAATAAATTCAGCCAGTATCATAGCTGAATGGAGTAGATCCTGAAGTATGTACTTATTCATAAATATACTTCGAATCCATGGATCAATTAATCCAGAATCGTTTTGAATCTAATCGTGAGACACCCAAAGATTCCCAGTCTTAGTATCCAGCGAGCATATAATTAAAGGAACACACTGAACAAACGGGACAGAGATGTGTATGATCAGCCCCTACCTGAGGATGACGTAGCAGCTTTTCCACAACTCTTTGCCCAGGTAGGTGGTTCCAGCTCGGTACTGTAGAGTCCCCTCCTTGGTGCTGGAAGGTCCCCCAGCCCTAGATGGGCCACCCTGGGGTGACAGAGCCATGTCCATAGGATCCTCCCAGTGCACCAGTGAATACAGCTGGATAGACACGTCAGCTACCTGGAAAAACAGACACCAAGTAGTAGTACAAAGACAAGAGGAGTAGAAAAAAAGGGCCAGATTTGGATCAACTTAAAAAGATCAAATGAAGTTTAACGTGTTTTTACCTCACAATAAGATTCCTGGGAGACAAACTTGGTGAGAGCCAGTTTTTCCATCGTAGCATCAGTCAAAACAGAAGGGTAAGGAGGCTCGCGACAACCCTTCACCATGGCCGACTTCAGAACGGACAAGAACCAACTGGAGGTGAAAAGAAATGGACCTGATTAGTGTATCGTACAGCACAAAGTCACATTTTCTGACCATAGATATTAACAAATTGGTGCAACTTGGAAGGTTGCATGTGGCAGCAAAAGGACACAAAGATTGTTGCAGCGAGGTTACAAGCTGGAAGCAATTAACGTGAAATGCACTCAAGTATTCAGTTGTCAATCCTTTGTATCTGATGCACGATCGTTCCAGAGTATCAACAAAGCTGATGCACATATATACATGTACACTTACACTGTTAGAGAGGCGTCAGCTGTGTCCAACAGGAATTTTCTCCGTCTGTTGGTGCAAACCACCATCACTGTCTGCTGGTCGAGGCCAACCTGAAGGAGAAAAGAATCAGCAGCTATAGTATGATTGAGTCTACACTGTTCATCAAAAGCTTGTATTTACCCCAAAACTAAACTACATTCCCCCTATGGCCACAAGAAGACAGGATCAGTAAAAATACTCACTGATAGATAGTCCAGCTCATTATAAGGTACAGCATCCTCTACTGTATAAGGCTTTTCTGCAGCTCCTGTGAAAGAAAAAAAAAGTACAACCAAGTCCTGCTATGAGCACGTTGATTTATGTTTCTTCAGACTACAGAATAACCTTATATAGAATTTTTACCCACTGCCTGGAACAATATGTGAATCTTATTGGATAATTACTAAAGTAGAAAACTCTCCGATCTCCTGGGATTTTTCAAAGAATAATTAAAATCTCAGGCCCATTGCTTGCCAGTAATCCACTTGCTCACTTGTTGGCCTGTGTATTATCAAACCATTAAACTCTCATCTGAATTTAGGCTGCATGCAGGCTGTGTCACACATGTACTGCAAGTATTTTGACCTGCAGAGAAAAGCAGGCAGGGGAGAATGGGAACAGGCAACAAAGTTTACAATTGCAGCTATTTCTGCTGTCCAATTCCAGGAATTTCCCCTCAGGGGACAACAAAGCTGATCCTTTCCTTGCCTTTACATCCGGCAATAATATTTGTGTAGAGCCATTTTGTATTTGCATTTTGTATTGTCAACTTTAAGCCCTGCTCTGGCCTGTTAGCTTTACTGAACATCACCAGTTTCTAAAGGAAATACATTCCTTTAGTCTGGGAAAGAAATGCAAAGGTTGTGACTCTTCATATATATTAGAATATCCCTACTAACAATTTGTACTATAGCAGCATTTTGAATGTGTATGTTTGAACTTACCCTTTCTAAGCAGGTAAATGTAACAGTCAGTCAGCAGCAGGTAAAGTGGTTGTAGATCGCCCTCCATATGGCCTGTGCTCATTCTCAGCATCTGAAAAAATTAAAATAAAAAATTTAGTCAAGTGTTTGCAACCTCTAGGGTCATCTTTCAAAAGCATCCTGTTCAGTGCTGACCGCTGTAGCACTGTGGTGCAACTACTACAGAATAGACACAGACTTTTTTTTTTGATTGACAAACCAATGCAACTCCTATTCTCTTAAAAGTTCAAATAAATTCAGTAGAAAATGTGTAATTGTAATAAAAACCCGTTACAGCAGTTGAAAAGGGAAATTGGTGCACAGAGACTTGCAACACTTCCACTGAGCAACAGTCTTCAAACCTTTTGTCACAAAACACGAGTCAAACAATCCTGAAAGTGGATTAAAGTGTTTGAAAGAGGATTAAGTTTCAGCACAATGACATTCATTCTGTTAAAACTTCAAAACTGCCACACTGCATTTATTCACTTAATTTTTCATAATTTCATTGTTTAAAATAGTTTAGCCATTACAAAAAAATATATTCCAAATATTCAAGAGTCCTTCAGTCTTCACCTTGAAGAGCTGCTCCTCGTTCTCTCTGAATACGTGAATCATGAGAAGAAGCAAGTGGTTGTTATCCACCCTGAAACAAGAATATTAAAGAACATCAGGCACCCCTTAAACAACGTTACAAACAATGATGATTTATGTTATAAGGACAACTTACTTAAACTCTGCAGGATGAGAACTTTCAGAGGAACTAAGCTTCTCTTCTTGTAGCTTTTCTGCGTCTGCTTCTTCTCCTTCTTCTGTGTCTTCTCCTCGGGTCGTCAAGTCGGCTTTCTGTCTTGATTGCGCCTCTGCTTGTCCTTCATCATCAAGGCCACCTGAAAGAGTCTGCGACTGGCTATGCTCTGTAGAGTCATAGTAGCCACCACCCGTGGGAGCAGAGTCTGGACTGTTGGCGGTAAAGCAGCATACGTCTGTAGGTGCAGGGGAGGTCTGCAGGAAGTTGTGGCTTGTGACCAATGGAGAGAGACATGTCTCTCCCTCTGCACGGTCAGGGGGCTCGCCTGCTGTATCCTCTCGAAAGGGCTGCTGTGCAGGGGGCTCGGCACTATGGTCATTATTTTTCCCCTCCACATCCTCCACTAGGTGCTCCCAGGGCTCCCCATTCCTATCCAGGGCCCCATTGAGTCGATCCATGACATCACGGAGGGGTTGGCCCACAGTGTCCATGGAGGTGTCTCTCATCTCTGGGAGCCGCAGGCCTTCCACTCCGTCCTCATCTCCTTCCTCCACAGCCTCTGATCCCACCCTGCTTCTCCTAAGCTCTCTGTCAGCTTCCAGCTGAAAAGACGAGCAGTTTAGTGATTCCACTTCCTCCGAGGCCTGAAGACTGTTTTCTGTTTCTATGTGATCCGACGAAATGGAGTTATTAATACTGCTGCTGGAATCTGTAGAGCCCTTCCCTCGTCGCTTCTTGGCTGGTTTCCTTCGTCTGGCCATCCTGAAAGATCAGAGAGGTTTGCTGTGGTTCTTCCATTTTAACAAAATCTGAAGACCCACTTTATTGAATTTACAGCATTTTTATGAAAAAAAAATGTTAATAATTCACTCTAAGTTATAAAAACATAAAGATGATGTTAGGCTAATCACGCTTTAAGCCTCTGTTGTGGCTCCCTGTAGTCACAGTGATGGAAAGGAAGAACGCCGCATCTCATTTCACTTTAAAAAACTCTCAGTCAGCTCAGTTGACGAGTGAAAAGTAATATTCACCTTATGACATCAAACATTTCACTTTTAACCGTTCCTGCTAGCTGCTTATAGTTCATGTCCTAACCTTCAATCTACCAGAAGGTCCTTACTTTATTTCAAAATAAAAGCAGGGTTGAATTTAAACAGCAAGTAAAATTATACTTTCAGCATAATACAGTACAAAAATTCAAAATAAAAGCCTCAGAATATATATTTTTAAATGCAAAATAACCGAGTTTCAAACATTAAAAATGGGATTATTAACTATTAAAATGTTGCTATTAATTGCAATTTAAAGACATTATCGTTTGACAGCACTAATATTAACCAAACCCCTGTGACAGTTTCAAAAGGAAATACTGGCTGGAGTGAATCTTTAATAGACAGAATTGAAGACAGAATACAAGCCTACTTGCCCGACACCAAAGCTGTAGCAACTGTACCTGATGACCTCCAGCTCATTGCCGGCGTTATCTGCGTCGTCGCCATTGGTTGGGGTGATGGTGTAATGGCGGATGGCCACGTGAACTGGTGTGATGTCGGCTGAGGTGTTGGTAGTGTTGGTGTCCGAGTCCCCGTTGAAGGGGTTGTGTCTGAACGTGGGGCTGTGTGCAGAGGGATGAGCGGCTCCTTTCACAATGATGGTGCCTGAAGGAAGAACCACTGTGTCGCTGATGACTGTCTGTGGATCAGAGCCACTGGACCGGGGGCAGCTGGCCTGGTCAGTCAGGTCCCCTTCTACCATGAAGGCACAAACACACAAATTACAATCATAATAAAAAAAACAGTTAGCCACACTCGGTTAAAAATACACAGAATGTTTGGCACTGTCTCGTGGTTGGATGAGAGAGAGATTAACTTAGATCTAATTTGCCGTATAATTATTTTTTCAATCGCATTTGTTGTCATTTTTGTTTATAATTTCATCACCACTGAAAGTCAACCAATGAGACAGTTTCACCAAAACTATGTGTATTTTTTCATTAGTTTCGCACACACATAAATGTTAGAAGCTGCAGTGTTTTTTGTAGTTCTTTTGCAGCGTAAGAGAGGAGAATAATGCAATGCAGAAGACATCAAGTATGCACACAGGCAGCAGCTTCGTTTGCAGTGCTTAAAGCCTAAGTAAAGCATTACTTCTACAGCTGGAGGTGGGTCATGATAAACAAATATTCATCATGGGGACTGAAAAGATTTATTTCTTTCAGGAATTAAAATTTAGAGCATAAAGCAAAAGCGCATGTTTCATGCAGCAGCTTTTTGCAAACAGATGCTGAAGTAATATAGAACTTGTTCCACTCTATGGACTCTTCTAGATTCTTAATTAACACTGCAAACGAGCTGAACCCAGGACTGTGCCACATTTTACACAGGAAAAGAAGACAGAACCAAAAAACAATGAACCAGACGAACAGATAACACAATGTAATGGAGACAGACTGGACAATGTGAGTACCAGTTACATCAGGCTTTTTTCTTGCTGTAGTAAATAAAAAAGCAACATGAGCATTAGCATCATTCCCATGATGAGCAACACATGCAAAACATGACAATACCAAGAACCCACCCAATACTGATTCTCCACTGCACCAAAGATTTGTGCCTCTTCCCAAACTTACCAAAAACTTGTCACCAAACTTAATCACACCCTTAGGACTCTACTTGACTGGGAATTGTATTTAGCCTACTCAGACTTGGCTGTTCAATACGAAGCTTTGACTGTCTGTTTCCTCTTTTTACAATTCAGCTGTTTTGTTGTTGTTTTTTCAATGACTTGGTTTTATAATTTCATAATGTAGAGTTTATAAAGTCATTTGAAATTAAACTTGGGATCCAAACACAAAAGTCTTTCAACTGAACCCATTCCCCCAAACCAAAGCTTTTTTCCCCATGTCCCTTTGATCATCCTTGTTATAATGTCCTCCAAGCAGCAGGTCTTCTGCACCATTTTAATTTATTGTACCCATTGTAACACATGTGCAGTTTCTTGGTTAGATACCCAACATGCTTAAAGAACAAACTGTGGGATGCCATGCCAGATATGAGAGAAGAAAGGGAGGGGGAGTTAAGCATGGAGGGGAGGGCTTGGCCAATGTCCCACCTTCCCAGTCTGCACTTGGCAATGACTGCAACACGGGGAAGATGTCACCGAAATCATAATCTAAAAAAAAAGGAGGGATAACATTCAACATTAGAGTGAGATGTTGTGGGGAGAGAAAAGTGAGACAATGGCAGGAACAGAAAAATATGACATGATATATGATTTATGAAACAAAACAAAAATCAATGAGAAAGAATAGACAAGTGGAAACTAAAACAGGGAAACTGACAAAGTACGTCTTTGTGGGAAGTGATGGGGAAACGTTCACTGTGTGCTGCAATCATCCCCGATGAGATCATTCTGTACCAATGAGCCTCTGCACGCCAAATGATCCATTTGATGAAATGCACTTTGCAGTTTATGAGTCACAACAGTCTGCAAAGATCAATCCCAATTCTGCTTCCACATGCCGTTAGCTTGACATCACTTTATGAATTTGCAACAAAGCATGTGAGTGTGTACTTGTACTATAGCAGGGCCTGATGAAATCATAAACCCAAAAATAAAGACGGACATTCAGCAAGTGGAACTCACACATTCACGTCTGAACTGACGCTAGTTATTGGTCATGCCGTATTGAAGGAGGAGCAAAACTGATTGGCAAGACAGCCAAACCTTTCAGAATTAAAAGCGAATAAGAGCCCAAATGAAAAGTAGAATAATTATGTATATATTATATGGTTGGAAAATCCACTGTAATAAAAGGGAGGCAGGGAATAAAATAAAAACATGTGCAGTTTAAGAAATGGTTTTTAAGTGTTCAGACAAAAAAGGAAGCACATTCTCCCTTTGCATTAGTTGCAAAATCTGCATTGCCTGATACAAATGTTGCATCTATTCCTGTCTTTCCAGCGACTAATATAAGTGGAGATTGACTTCATTGTTTGTTTTTGTTTGTCTGTTTCTAATTAGATCCCCTTTAGCTTTTGCATAGCAGCAGCTATTTTCTGGGGTCAACCTGATCTCCAAAATAACAATACACATAACATCATTGACATAACATTCAAATACAACCTAATAATATTTGTTCCAGATATATCAGAAAACAGAACCCTGTCTCTATTTGGTGCATGGATTCCTCAGCTCAAGAATATCTCTTTGCATTTTCAGCTTTGGCCCGACGAGAACTCTTTAAAAATGTAAACAATAGAGCCCAGTGAAAAAGTGTATGTAGCTTTTTTTATTTTGAACACCGGGGGGTCAGTTTCCAGGCCAATCCAGTTTAATCTTATATCTTATTTCAATAGATCAGTATCAGCTAAAGTTTAATTAATTAAAACTTGATACGTTCTTTACATCTTCTACTTGTCTGACTGTGTCACATGAGGTTCAGGATTCATTCTCAGAAATGTAATCAATGACATCACATCAGGAATTGGAACATATAAGCATATGTGGGATTTAGAAGGCGTCAGCATGTGAGGTTTAATAAACATGAAGGTCAAGTTAAGTATAGTGAATATAGGATTAGACTCTGTACCCACAGATAACCTACAAGTACTCATAATCACATCCTCACAGCTCACCTTCACTGGAGGGAGCTATGGCGCTGTCATCCCACTCCAGGTTTGTCGAGGTAAGGGAGGTGAAGGAGTGCAGGGACAAACTGTCAGAGCTGGGTAGCCTTTCCTCAAAGTCCAGCAGATTCTGGGGTTTGTAGTATTCTGGCATGTAGGGGGCCACATCCAGATATGGTGCATCCTGAAATCAGCAAAAACAAACAGAATCATCATTGGCATTCTGCTTACATTAGAAATCTGTATTTTTATTGATAGTTTGATAAATTGGCTTACCAGCTCCAGATTGAAGCGAATAAACTCAAGGCCGGACACCAGCGTGAGGAATAGTGTGAGGTGGTCATGACTGCAGACCAGTGCATTCCTAGCAGAATAAAAGTTAGCTTAATGTGAGTTACAGGTTTAATACTACTATGATAAGTTGTTTTCCAGAATGACAGCACGTAATTTCTGACATGCAAAATAACTACTTGTAACACAGGATCAAACTGACTTACTTGAAGTAATACTTCTGTAGTAACCCTTGGTTCTCCTGGAAGAGGCGTAGATAGCTCTCTAAAGAACTCTCACTCAGGGCTAGGTATAACCATGCGCGGCCTACACAAAGAAGAAAAGAGTCCTTTTAATGCATACAACTCCTGACACGATGAATGATGTCTTACTGATCGTTTGGATGTGTTTGACTGTGTGAGAAGGTTGTCTCACTTCGGCCCAGGTTGGTTGCTATGTGCTGAAGCTCATCTATCTGACGGACGGCCTCTCTCCTGGTGAAGTGAAGGACCAGGACCCAGTAGCCTGAGGAGATATCCTGCAGCCTGTCATGTAAAAAACAAAAGATTATATGCACAGGGCCAAAAGGGCTAAGGGAATAAAGTGACTTTGCATTTTTAGCAGATACTGTCAAGTATCCACCACACTTTGATACATTATCTAGAATCTAAGTTGTCCTAAAATTGCCCAAAGAGCATACCATGCACCATTCCTCTTTCTAGTGAGCAATTTATTTCCTGTAAGCCTCTTACCCATATAGCAAAGCGTGGTCTAGGTGTTCACAGAGGCGCTGCAAAACCCGGTCATGATTTCGAATGGCTGGGGTCTCATCTTCACAGGCTGCAAAGTAACTTTGCAACTGTAAAAGACATGGTTTGATGTTAGAAGAGAAATTTTAATTCCACTCCAGGTACAAAGATGCTTCTATATCTGAAGAAGTTCTAATGGTCTCAATGTTTAAGCTTTGTACTTAGGCACATCAGGTTTGAATTTAAACCATATACAGTGTGCACTTAAGTGCCAACACTAGGCATTAAAAGGTGCTACTGATCAATGAGCAATGATCCGAAGGCTGTATGACGGTGCAACAAATAAATTGAGTCAATGGAACAAGGAATTTAGTACAAAGCAGTGGAATTTTCCTCACATGAATCCAGCGGAGTATGTGTTTTACTGCTATGCTTGGAATTTCACTGCTTAAAACCACATTGAACACAATAAACTCATAAAAGCAGCAGAAAGGGAAGCTGGCTGCAGAACAGGTCTGACAGAAGAACATCAGGAAAGACCAAGCCTTTGCTCATTTCTGTAGTTCGGAGACATGGAAGAAATTGTGTCAATTTGAATAATTATTGAAAAAAAATATCTTTATTTCTCTCCAATACATCGCATAATATTAGACACAGGTGGCTTTACTGAAAGGAAAAAGTTACTCATGCTGATCCTTGGTGAGTTTCACTTAATGGTTCATCCTAATGTGACCTGCAGAACTTCATCTAAATATAGAGTACAAAGTAACCCTAATACTTGACTAAAACAAGTGGAGGTTGGGGGAGCTTTGAGCGAGTGTGACCCTAAGAAAGAGATTTTGTATCCCATGACTTTCTTCACATGACTAAGCAATGTTTGTCAGAGGTAAACACTGTACACTTACACTTGGAAGCTTTGGGCTTACTATTTCGAAAGCACTTTCACATCCCTTACACAGTGATGATTATGATAAAAGAGATAGACAAGATTCATTTAAAATAACTCTTTCAGACAAATGCAGGATCAAATTGAGTATCTAACAGTAACGTTATAGGACTCACTTCATTAAACAAACTAAGATGGTGCTAACTAATACAATCATCTACTTATTACTTAAGTGGATTTTACCAATGGAAAATAACTGAGACAGAGACAGAGGGAAAGCCAAGCCCATGAAAATAAAAACTGAAAGGCAAATAGGTTTGGAAGGGAATGCACAAAGACAGGGAAGAGGGTGTATAAGATGTAATGGAGCCTGATTCTTTATGAGAAATGAAGTAGTAGTTCTTGAGAACGCAGGAAAGACAAACTATGTGAATAATACACAAACTAACTGGAAATCAGGTGTTAAGATCGACTGACTGACCCTTATGTTGGCTCCGCAGTATGGTTGCTTGTGTTTACACCACATGCTGCAGTGAGCAGACACAGGGGCTTGGTGCCATTGGTTCACCATTGTTAAGAAAAATAAAACATTAATTGGTGGTGTACAACCATTAAGCTGAATTGAAATAGGTTTTGATGTAGTTATTGTCAGTAATAGCGAGCTTAAATTCCCCCCCGAGTTAAAAGTTGCCCTCCCTGGCAGACAAAAGATGACCTCATGATATAATTTGTAATTTAAAGATTTTCAAATACCTAAATGTTACGACCATATTAAGATGTGCTGACAAACCGTGAAGCGCTTACCTTCTTGACAGACAGGGAGATATTTTCCAGTATGCGATCCTTCACTTTGAGTTGATCCATCACTGATCTGTTGGCAGCCCACAACAGACTGTCAGCTGACTCCCGAGGCTTGTTGTGCTAATGCTAGCGCCGCCTCAGCTAGCGAACATTATATTCCCTGCCAAAACTGCTGGTTGACAAACTAACATAGCTTACTGGCTGTTCAAAGCACACATTGAATATTATATCACCGCTGGTTAAAGGCCGACATGACAAAGCCTAGATAGCAGCGAGAAAGCCAACGTCTTTCAGCAGATCCGGTAAGTCAAGTTAGCCTAGCTACGCGTTCAAGCTAGCATACCGCTGGACTTTTCTTACGCTACACTCCGGCTGGAGGCGGCTAGCGAGTTTTAAACCCAACCATTCATTACTTTTAGTAACAGTTGTGTTTATCATACTAACATTTAACTTGAATATCTCCGTGCAGTGATTGTAAATAGTGTACACAGTTTGTTTCGCGTAGTTACCTTGAAAGTTATACAGAAAAAGAGTGGAAAGTAACGGCTGCTCCGGTTACTGTGTGTGCAGCCGACCGAGTTCAGTCGGTTTGGATGACGTCACTACAAGCCTCAGGACGTGTGGATGACGTCACTACGAGCCTCAGGACGTGTGGGTGACGTCACTACGAGCCTCAGGACGTGTGGGAGGGACGCGGACCCGAACAACTTTATAAACTTTTAAAATTAAAATTTGTAACATTTGACATTTACGGAGAAAACGACATTTAGTTTAAAAATGCGTGGGTTTGAATAATCAGAACTGATATTTTAATTAGTCTAATATGCAAAGGCTGTGTTTTTGCGAGATTATTGTATTGTGTAGAGGAGGTTCATCTTGTAAGAGTTACGTATATAAACCCAATTATTTATAGTTTATGATATAAACTCATATGCACGATTCTCCTTTTTGACAGTGCAGCTGCATAATTAAATAACTGTTTTTAGTTGATTGTTCACAATATTTTTTCTATGACAGAGCAGCAGCAGCATCCCTACAACCAGAAACACTGTCTGGCATTTGGGCCTTTTTTTTAGCATACTAAGTAAAAAAACACTTTATAGGTCCTGGAAACAAACTTAGCTCTAGTCTGGGATTCTAAAAGCACAAATATGAGATAGAAAGAAAATTAAATTTTGTCTGAGTGGAATGTCAGTATTTTATTGTCTTGTTGATGCCAATCTTTTAAGGAATTACAGTCTCATCAAATAAACAGTTGGCATTTTCAGTGCGTGTAGTTACCACAATAACATTTACCTCAATCAGAAAACATATGTCAAATTTGAACATGTATTACTGTCATTTTTAAGGCAGGTGCCCAACTTGGGAGATACTTTATCAAATGTAATACAACTTTATACAAAGGGCTGACTGACTTCAGAACATTTACAGGCCTTTTAGTGATTTCAACATACAAAAAAAAAAAAAAACACTGCATTGAGTTATAGTCATCAACCTTTGTGCCTTCCACCAAGCAATTAGTTGAGAGCCCCAATAACCGAACATGTACTGTATTCAAGGACTGCTGTCCAAATCCCTGCGTGAAGGTTCAATCCATCCAGACACACAAATTAAACTCTTCACACAACAAGTTCATTACGTCTATCCTGCATTGTTCTGACTTCTCCTTCTCTTTTATCCTGCTTTAGTCTGACTTCTCCTTCTCTTTCATGTGCAGGAAGACGACGCTGAAGACAAAGAGACCTGCCATCATGGAGAAGACGCTGGCATAGTAGGGGTAGGCTGAGGGATGAAACGCTCGTACTGTGTGTGCTGCAGGGGACGCACTGAAACCTGTGGTAATGAAAAAATATATATAGTAGAAGTTAGACACGTATTACAGCATGGGAGGTCAAAGTAGTGGTTTCACTCACTTAAAAAGCATTAAACTACCAAGTCACAATTTTAGAGTAATACAACAAGGCTTTGGGTAGTCTTACATTTCTTTAGATACTTGTTACACCACATTCCTACATTTGCATGTATCACTTTCTATGCATGGAGGTCTCTGTACAGCAAGTAGAAGACAATCCTTGTGATTAACTTGCCTGAGTGGAGGAGTAGAGATGTGTGTATCCGAGACGGTTGTAGTCCACCTTGAACTGGAAGACCCCGTACACATCAGGCAGCGTGAACTGAACGCTATATTTACCTCCTTTGAGAAAGAAAAAACAGTATTTATGTTGGGTACATTTAGGATGTAAGCATTACTTAAAGGTGTTCTCTGACTGCAGCAACATACCATTCTTCTTGAGGTACGTCCTGACGAAGGGATCAATCCTCACAAACTCAAGCTGAATATCATCTCCATCAAAGGGAATCCAGCGGCCCTCAGACAACATCTCAATGACGATGCTGAACTCCTGTGTTGGAAAATTATACACCGATTGAAATATAGACATAGAAAAATATACACCCCTTCATTCAGGCTAGATGTTGATGATTGTTAAATCAGTGAAACATAAAACTCACCACGAGGTCAGTGATTGTGTATGCTGCAGGGGGAGTGGTCTCTCCAACGGGATGATGGGTGACAGCTCCCACCCTAAGGACTCCGGCCTCCTTGAACACCCAGCGAGACAGAGCCTCAGCCAGCTCCATGTTCCCTGTCTGCTCGTACCTGACAGAAACAGCAACAAGAAGAGGAGCCTTTCAACTTCAGGAGTGTGACAACCACACAAAGCTGTTAGTTCCATTCTAGATTTAACAATATTTTACTTTTTATCAGCAGGAGGATCAGAATAAATACACACACTACATATTCAGAGGAATGCATTTCCTGTTGTGGTTTGTTTTGGCAGGGTGCGTAAGAAACCTGAAATGTCTACATACCAAAACACTTCTAAAAAGCTAAATATATCAGCTGTCCTGTGTACCAACCATGCTGCCTTAACAAATTATCTTTAATGTTCCATTCTTACAAATTAGCTTTATGAAAACTTGAGACATATCTCAGAGATTTTTTTAGCCGCAGATTCAAGGCAGTCTTTCGTGGGCTTTTAAACCGTGAACATCTCAAAAATCTATAAAGACTTGCAAATGCATTTAAGAGATTTTCCCCACATCTACTGTGAAGGTCAAATTAGTATTGATGGTGAAATAAGTCAAAGGGAGCATACATTCCTCTGTGTGCTTTACAGACCCAAGTAATTGAGTTCTTCTGTTTGTAGAGCTCTGCAGGCAGTGTCTACATGATCAAGGATACATTGCACTGCCTCTGTCTCTCTCAGCTGCATGTCTATGACCATACACTCAAATAAACACACTTAATAATCAAAGTCTGCCAAAACACTAGACCGTGTATTTTCAACAGATTGGAGCAAATGTCCCAAAGAGACACAAACGACATCTCTGGCACCTGTGGGTGCTTTTCACACCAAAAAAAACTAACTGGGATACATGGTTGAAATTTTAAATTACACCTTTTCACAGACAAATGTGATAATGACCACATTTCTAAACTGGAATATATAATCCTTAAGGGTTAACAGACAGATGTGATGAACAGTGGAGACTACCTCTCAGACCCAGGTCTGGCCTTCTGCACAGCAGAGTTGAAGAAAGCATCGCTGAAGAAGTCCATGGAGCCGCTGAAAACCACTCTGGCATTGTTCCTGGCCTGCAGGCCGGCAATCAGCAGGGTGTTTTTGCCAACAGCATGGGGGTACTGAAGAGATTGAAAATCAATATTAATAAGAATCAAAGTCAATTATTTAAATCCTGTGTAGTTCATTTGAAATCAAGATACTTTATGGCTATCAATGACTTCGAAGTCTCAGCTGAGACACTGGAACTACTTGTAAAATATGTCCCTAGTTGTGCAGACTCGTTTTTCATGAACTCATCAGGGTTATTTGAAAATGGAACATGGTCTACCTGAACCGAAAAGGATCTGTTTTTTATTTTAAAGCTGGGAAACTAACATCAATTTTGAAATTTTTCCTTAATAGAAACACTTTAAAGCTTAGTCAGAGATGAGAAAAATGTAATAGTTTTTGTTCCATGTAGATGTCCGGTGGTTTAAGCCCATTTTATGTAACTTCAGGGGCATGACAGAATAGCAGGACACAGGATGCCTTTAATTCATCTTAGGGTAGAAGTATTCACCATACTGTATAGTGAATAATCTGAAAAGTTACCTGAGAGATTGGTCTGTCAGGGAAAAAGGAGTATGAAGTAGAAGAGCCAGTAAGGATGTCCAGGACCAGAGGGTTTTCTGGGTCAGCCACCATGCTGGAGGGAAGGGGGAGCCATAGCATGTCAGTCAAGTATTACATGGTTTGCATTCACAGAGTAAAAAAAAAAGTTATCTTTGGAATATTGTGAAATCAGACTATGTCTCGTTTAGAAAAGTACCAAAAAGAGTTTGTGTAAAGTTAACCTCTGAAGATGGTTTAAGGTTATCCAGTAGTTAGACATTTTATTTCAGATATTAACCTTATAAAGTGTAAATAATAAGATAAACAGTGAGTGAATGTGTTTGCTGCTACCTTTCAATATAAACAGTGTCAAAATAAAGACGTACTGAAACAATGATTAAAATGTTATATTTGTCAATAACTGACTATTGTAAAGAGATTTTAGATCTTTGCAACCAATCAGATTCTCTACTAGGGTACAGTTGACATCTTGCTTACCCAACACCCTTGAATAAAACAGGCCTGTTGGTGGGTTTGCCGACAATAGTTGGAGCCTTCAGGAGGTTCTCTGGATCAGCGACAATCAGAGTATGCTGGAGATCAAAAAGCATCACATGTAAATACAAACAGTTCTAGATGTGTTATAATAAGAGGCTGTGTCTGAACAGACTCTGTTTACCTCTCCGGGGTCAGACAGATCATAGTTGTGATGGTCAATGACTGCAGTCTTTTCCTCGTCAAACTCGATGCCACATTCACTTCCCAGCTCCCTCAGTGGGTCCCCTGCGTAACAGGAGAGGAGCATTAGCACAGGACAATATTACGGTGTTCATAATGGAAGAGCAAAAGCTTTTAAAATTGACTGACCGATATCTGAACTGGCAGCAACCAGGACATTTCCTCCACCATCAATGAAGGATGTGATCGTCTCCACATTTATATTTCCTCCAAAGTCTGCAGATGACACAAAGAAAAGGATTACAAACACGAGGCAAGCACAACCAGGATGTTGTTAACTACACATAAGAGTGTGATATTTACCCTCAACTGACGGTGCAAAGATAATGAGGTGGTCATACACGAACTGGCCATATTTGATCAGAGATAGGGAGGGATCATCGGCTGTCTTGAAAGTGACGTCAAAGCCTCGATCTGAAAAGAAGACAAGTATTGACAGCAACAACGCAACAGTTACACACTTGTTGTTAATGTTTTTGTAGTAACCCGAAGAACGTGATTGTGTAATGCAGTCCAATTGAATAATTTAGAAACTCTACAGGAACATTAATCCCTTTCTTAAACACTTTGTTTGTGATCATTGACAGATGAAAAATGATGCAATATCTCCTGTTAGTTATTATATTTACAAGTGTCCAATGACAACAATGCTAGTAAAACAGGAAGTTTTATTTTTTTAAAGATAATGTTATTTTCAATGTGCATCTTAAACTCTTATCTATAAATGTCCCTATGCAAATTTTAAAATAATATAAACAATATAGTTAAGGCCCATGCAGTACTTTTCCTACTACTAAAAAGTATACGTGCTTTTAAATGCAGTATGTAAAACAGCTGACGATGCATTGGTAATCTATAGGTATACCGAATTGAAGAGTGGTCCTGTATCTATGCATTGAAGTTTAAGTTTCTATTGCAAAGCACGTGCAATATAATTATTTAGTAAAAATATTTAGATGACGTTTGGCGGAACACACTGTAGCTAAGGTAACATTAGCCTCCTCGCTGTGTCGCATGGTGTTAACCTGGTGAACCTTCAAGGCTCAATATTCCTTTCAAGAAGTCAATTTCACATTACAAGAGGGCTCTGTAACAGAACGGACCATAGTTATGGATGAGAAAAGCACAAATGTCGTACTGACCTGCCAGACTGCGGAAGAAGATTGAATGGGTGTCTCTGATGTTGAGGTTGTCCAGAAGAACCAGAGTTTTACCGTCAGCCAAAGCGCAATGCAACATGGACGCCAACGAGAGGAACAGCATAACTTTGTTGTCCATAAGTCTAAACTTCTTTTGGGTCATCATTCCTGTGCGTTTTTTGGATATTGATGAAGAACCGGACCGGTTCGTCTGCATGACTGCTGTCAACGACGCCATTTTGGTGCAGAAGTCGACGTCAGCGTTAGCAGAGAGTTAACTTTGACCCCAAGAATCGAACCAATCAGAGAGAGTAACGCGTCTCGCTGACTACCGCTCCTCCAATGAGATGACCTCTTTATTATAAGACGTAAAAACACGGAAGTATGGGAAGAAGAATACGAGTCTACTGACAATACAATCTGTGTCATGTTTGATTATTTTAAAGGATAAGTGCAGACCAACTGTCAAACCAAAGGGTATGCGAGAAGAAACAATACAAAGGCCGACCAAAACAGACTTGAGGGGGAAATAATACACATGTTCAAAATGTACAAATTCGTCATATTAATAATAAATGATAGTTTTAATTGCATTACCTCTTCAAGCTTCTATCCGTTGAAAGACTTTTCAATACAAGTTCAAAACTTAATTTGCAGTAAATTAAATCCTTTGATATAAAGTGTAATTTTTCTATTAACAAAAAAAGCTTGAAAAAAGTGATCTTTTTCATGTAGTTTAGTATTTAACAAATGAGACTACAAATGTGTTCCTAAATGATTTAAAACATCCATGTTTGCAGACATTTAGTTTCAAATATGCAATATAGTTACCATCAATGTGATGGTATGTGATGGTATAGCATGTACTTTGATACATTAGGTATGAATGCTATTTCCTGTTTAATTAGTTTGATCTTTATACATATTATAAATGTACATACCGTTCATATACTGTATGTTTTTATATTTTCTAACCTTTGCTATTTTAACTCTCATGCTGTTTTTGTAGATCTTGTGCAATATATGTTGTGTTTTCTTGCATTAGTATGTGCAATTCTGTGAATGTCTTGTTATTTGTCGACTCTAAAGGAAGCAGCAGTGTTCAACAGCACTTTGAGTGCAAGGGGACAATAAAGTGTATCTTATTGTATACCTTCCAAATCTCAAAGATAATCCAGAAATCCACAATCAACATTATCACAACCAACTATCTTCTATCATCAATACGGCATCATCATCTTTTTTTTAAATAAATAAAAGCATAACAACAGGCTGGTCACCCTGTGTGGAGATTCTTTATTTACCAGGTGAGGAAAGAAATGTTACGGCTAGTCAACAGGACGTGTTGCAGGTAGTTTTCTAAACAGAAAATAGAATCTTGTGAAACCATTAGTGACAGGAAACGGCCCTCATGCCAAAGCTACTTCAAGACAGAAACAGAAAGAGCTGAGACTTGTTGACTAGATTCCCACCACATGTTTTATCTTGCATCAGAGGTGTTAAGACTTTTTAAGGGAAAACATAAATATACAAATATTACACATGCACAGCATTTATAATGTTTGCTGGTGCACTAATATACATGACGTCTCACTCTGGGAATAAAAAAGAGGAAATGTTATTTACCCCCCTATTCATTCATTCCTCCAAACATTCAAGTAGATATCTCTGTATAATAAGCTCTTCATGAAAATACATCAAAGTAGTACAATAAACTATCTCAATATTGACTGTTTAAAGAAATAAATACATATCTCATCTGGGTGACGTGGAAAAATAACACGTTCTTTCTTCAAGTTAGAGGTTGACAAGGATAGAATCGCAGCCTAAATATTTTATACAAAAGACAATGCATTATTCCTGCATTTAGGTCTAAAAATAAACAAACTATACAAAGTATTACAACCATGTCTGGATGTTACCTCGTCATTCGATCTCATTTCATATTTAAAGGACAACAAAACATGGTTTGTAACTTCAGTTAGGCGGTTCCAAAAGGTTGTAAGTAATGAATCCAGTTTAGATTTCTTTTCCACATCACTTCAACTCAAGTCACTGGTTGACTGTACTTACCTCATGTAAAGATTTTTGTTGCATGTTATATTTCATACACCTTTTACAAATCTGTCGCACTATTCTTAACTCTGACATCTCCTCGTCCTCTCGATTGATCTTTTTTCTGTCTTCAGTGTGGGTTTCCACCTCTCTATCCTCCTCATGAATCCTTCTTCTTCTGATCCTCCTCCACCTCCACTTCCACCTCCCCCCCCTCCCCTCCCCTTCCCCCCCCTTCTCCCTCCCCTTCTCCCTCTCCATTCTGGGCATGGAGGATCAGTTCTCCTTCCTGGATAACCTGTTCAGCTGTGGGTTGCCATGTGGTGGCAGAATCCCCCTCTGCAGAGTTGGCTGTGGTGTACTGGTAGAAGTCGGAGTCTGCCTGAAACATGACCAAGGCCTGGGCTGTGTGGATGCGTACGTGCTGGGCGAGGGAGCTGGCGTCCAAGAATTTATCACCACAGGAATCACAAGCGTACAAGATCTGGGTGTTTGGGTCTGTGAACACAAGACGATTTGACAAAGGAAGTCATTTATATTTTTCACACTATGTTTGTTTTAGAGAAAGACTTTTCCACCCGGACGGTCTGTGAGCTGCTGGGTTATTCAGTTATCTAGCTAAGATTAAAGTTAAACAACAATGATAACAGCATGCTTAAATTTGACAACAACTGGCACGTTGTCATAGCAACGGCAATGTTAGAAATGATACTACCTATTAAACCTTCACATGTTTCTGATTCAGTCCATTCAATACTAGAGAAAAATGTTTGTTCATATTTACTGTAATAATTAACACTAACAATAAATTATGTTACATATCTTTCCAAAATAACCACGTTAGTTATTGTTTTAATAACTCTTTAACAAACAATATGAAGAGGCTTGAAATGTACATGTTGGTGAACATTACTGACAAAACAAAGAATTTAAAAAAAATAGTTCTCTCGGTTAATATTTCCAAGATCAAATATGAAAACGTTTGAATGTCAGCTGTTTCCTTTAATGCTCACTTTACTGGAAATTAAACAGCTGTGAAATGTACCAACTGAAGGAAATACTTTGGTCTTATCAAAAGCACCAAATCAGTCAAATCAGTTAAATATCCCTCAACGTGCTGTGGTTGTTTACTCAACATCCTGTCCCTTTAGTCTGATCATTTATCACAGTGATCATCAACTGGTGGCCCGCGGGCAACATCCAGCCCCCCAAAGCTTCCTGTCCGGCCCCCAGAATATAAATGATCTTGGGTGATTAAACAATAAATATTAAAATAAAATCACAAGACTGAAATACTCGCATCAGTTGAATGGGAGAAATTATATTTCCCCTCTGACACCAACTTCTTCACATCGGGTTGACATCGTTCAGGTTTATGTGCGCACATATTTTAAAGTCTGCCCCCCCTCTGGTGGGCAATGTAGTCGATGACTCCTGATTTATCATATTCAGTGTTTCCCCTAGGTTTCCAGCGTTGGGGGGGTGGGGACAAGACAACACGCCGACAAAAACACTTGAAGGAATCTTGATGTTCATGTGGTACTTTTAATGAGAGCTGTCCTTTTCTATTAGAAAGGTATCCTTAAATGACTTCTTCCCCTGATTTCCGACTCTATCCACTATCAGATCTCTACAATAAAGGCACAAAAATAGATCTTAAAAAAAAAAATATATATATATATATATATTTTTCTTTACCATTATATTAGGGGGGCGGCCCGTCCCCCTAATATAATGGTAGGGGAAACACTGATATTGTTGTTTGGACTTCATATTATCAAAGCAATCTATGAAAGTCCACATACCAGTCAAGAATTTGTCTGTCCATTGTTTAGCAATTTATTTTTTAGTGTTCACAAATGTATTATGCGTTTATGTAAAAGTTATGGAAATTGCACATTTTTATGATGAGGTAAATGTTTTATGCATTAAGACTAAAATCAGTCTTAATGCTAATTAAGGAGCTTCCTGCTGTCTTACCTGCTTCTTGCACTTTCTCCACAGCTTTAGTGATTTCAGCTTTCAGAGCCTCAGTCTCATCTACGGACACTGAAGCAGCCACTGGTACGACTGTAAACAAACACAACACAAGGTCAAAACATTTATCATGTAATTCATCTTCATGATTCTTTAATTATTTGCAGAGGTTCAGTGTGCCATCCATCACAGGATGTTTACATTTCCCCTTGAGCTTGAAGATGCTATCTCACCTGTCAGCTGAGCAACAGCACTTGCTGCCAGGGCTTCTGTCGCCAGGGTGACGATGTCCTCTGTAGTAACAGTAACTATGTTGATCTCACTGTCAGAGGTTGATGCACCAGCACACCCATCCGCCCCCTCGTCTCCACTGCCCTCTGCGAGCACTAGCCGCTTCATGCCGGCCTTGCCGTGGTGGACCGTCTTGACGTGGGAGCGCAGGTTGTCCACACGGTTGAACCCTCTGCCGCATTTATCGCACAGAAACGGTTTCTCACCTGAGAGTGAGAAAAGGTCACTTATTAAATTTGTAAGGGTGTAAGCTGCTAAAAAACAGAGTCCCTCCATGACCTTCAGGCTCTGTAATTCTACAACACTTTCTTTGTTCTTACCTGTGTGAATGATGATGTGCTTCGAAAGGTCGCCGACATTAACAAAAGCCTTGTTGCACATTTGACACTTGTGCGGCCTGACATTGTCGTGATGGCGAATGTGATTGGCGAGTTGACTGGACTGCACAAACCTGTCAAGAGAGAGACAGAAGATATTCATTAAAGCTCCTTTCAGGAGTTTTTTTTGCCGGCTATGAAACAGACTGAAATTAAAACGGATGCTTCTATGTGACCTTCAAAGGATAAAAAGACCTTCAGGAAGACTATTGATTATTTCTATAATATCATTTCTGTAAATACGGCTCAAGGGAGGTGTGAGAGGAAGAAATGAACAACACGCCGCAGAGAATTACTTTGTTATTTTCTACAAAGCAAAGATTCTGGATGAGTGATTCAATCGACTGTTAAAAGAAAGCATAGTGAGGTATTTTTGTTTAAATACACAAATTGCACATTTACAGGACAAAATCTGCAAAGTCAAAGAGGTATCACTTTGTCCACAGGAGGGCGCCAAAATCAACACAGACTCAAGTTCCTCACAGGAGCTTTAACACTTACTAGGAATCACATTCATTGTTTGCAATAAAAGATGGTTTCCAGTAACGTCTAGTGGCAGTTTTTTTTTATAATAACATAAATAACAAAACACCACAGAAGCCATACATTTGATCTGTGATTCCTTTAAATATAAACCTTTAACTCCTACAATATTTCCAAACCTTCTTGATAGAGTTACTGATGAGCCTTCTGTTACAGCACTGATTTATTTCCTTACTGACCTTTTTCCGCAGCGATCACACACGTAGGGCTTCTCCCCCGTGTGTTGCCGTACGTGAGCGATGAGCGAGCTGGCCTGGGTGAAGGCTTTGCCACAGATTGGACAGACGCATGGCTTCTCTCCTGTTTAAAACAAAATGCAGCATGTTGGGATATAGATCGTTTATGTGGGGGACTGAAAATGAAACTACTTTCACATTCTGCAGCTGTAGTCTAAAGTTGATGGGATCACCTGTGTGGATGCGCTCGTGTCGCTGCAGAGCTCCAGGGTCACTGAAAGCTCTCTTACAGTGCATACAGATGTACGGCTTCTCCCCGCTGTGAACACGCAGGTGTCTCTTCAGGTTCCCTAAAAGAAAGAAGATACAATCACATAAAGATGCTCCAGATAAAAAGCTGCAGAGGTCAACTGGCCTCAAATATTGAAAAGATATTATTATATTATTTCCCCCTATAATTTTTTTAAATCTCCTTCTTAATAAGAACTGACAATGAGTAGAAAACAGTTGATTTGATTCTCATGCCGTCTTTGGAGCCAGCTGACTGTAACAGCGATGTACACAGCCAGACTAAAAAGAAAATACCTTTACTTTGCTGCACGTCACTAATGTTGAGGTTATTTTTTACCGCTATGTTTCTAAATGCAAGCAAGAAAGAATAGGGGCAAGCAGTCCTGAGAAACACAAACGGTTTTCAATCCTTTTAAAAAAAATGAAATTGGTAATCCTAAAGTTACTCAGATCAAATTATGTTGTGCGTAGGCAGCTTGATGTACAGAACATCATATAGTAAAGCCAAAATATGTCGCTTTTCTAATCACAATAAAGGAAGAAAAGCAGCAAATCCTCTCATCTGAGAGAGTTTTGGTAGAATTGAAATGTTTTAAGCACCAAGTCTGGAGTCTTTCAGATGTTCAGTTAATAGTTAAACAACAGCAGAATTCTTACAAATTCAGAATACTGTGCAAAAGAAAGAAAGAAAATCATCAAATAAGCAAAGAAACCTCGTCCATCCTGCTCTTACCTGAGGTGGTAAACTGCTTGCCACACTCCTTGCACTTGAGAGGCCCGTCTGTGATGTGGATCTTTAAATGAGCCCTCAGGTTTCCCAGCTGAATAAAACACAACACGACTATTAATGAGTAAACACGCTCTGCAAATATCTGAATACTGAGCTACCAAACCAAACGAGTGCATCGTGATGGTTATTGGTGCTTAACGTCGAGGTAAAGCTTTTTACCTGGTTGAATCGTTTGTCACAGTGGGGACATTTGTTGCCCTTCTCCGTGTCGTGTATCTCCAGGTGTCTCATCTTTGCCGTGGGGTCAGAGAAGGCTTTGTCGCAGAAGTCGCACTGGTACGGCTTCTCACCGCTGTGCACCAGCTGGTGGCGCTTCAGGTTGCCGCTCGTGGTGAACAACTTGCCGCACATTTCGCAGCTGTAGCGTGCCTCGCCCGTGTGCCGTTTACGATGCAGGTTGAGCAAGCTGATCTGACGGTAGCTCTTTCCACACGTGGAGCAGCAGTACGGCTTCAGAGGGCTAGGAGGCAACCAGACCTCTGTTTCATTACACAAACCCGGCTGACTGAGCCCCGTGGGCAGCTGAAGTCAAATGTGTGTATCTCACCTGTGTGTTTTCTCGTGAGCTTTACAAGCTGCAGGGTCGGAGAACGCTTTGTTGCAGTCCCGACAGCTGAACGGCTTCTCCCCTGTGTGGATGCGCATGTGTCTTTTGAAGTTGCCAGTGTGGGTGAATTTCTTCCCACAATCCTGGAAAATGAAACACGTCATGAAGAGTCTAATGTAAATGTAGCAAGCAAGGACTGTTTGTTAGAACTTTTGCACTAAAGTCTAAATTAAATCTTCATGCATCATCAACATGTGATAAGTAGTTAAAGCTTGTAGTTAAAGTCTATATTAACCTCCATTAACAACAGCATTTGCCCCCCCCAGACTAATGTTTCTCACCTCACACTTGTGCGTCACAGAGCTGTAAGGCTTCGACTCGGACCGGCTGCTCATAGACGCTGAGTGAGTTTGTCTGCTCTCTCCCTCGCTGCTAGAATCGACTCCCCTCTCCTCCTCCTCCTCCTCCTGCTGGCTGGCCTCTCCATCTTCCTCTTCCATTCCCTCTTCATCGTCAGCCTCCCCATCACCATCCTCCACAGGGTCGTCCTCCTGTTCTTCAGCCGTCTCTGCCGGCTCTGCTGTCTTCCTCGCGTTTCTTTTCTTTGCTGGGCCTTCGTCTTCGGAGTCATTGTCTACCAGAGAGACAACAGATGAAGTCTTAAACATGTTGTAGTGTCCTGGATGTAAGGACACGGACTTGACCTAGTGCACCTTTCATCCTATCAAAAATATTGCCAATTCTTTGAACAGTAAAAAAAAACTTCCCAAGACCAGAAAATAGGGAAAACTTTTGGCATTAAAATCTATTTTTTTCTGATGAAAAACAACAAATTCCATAACAGGCATCAGGTGGAGAGTAAATTGTGCAAGTGATTATAATACGGAGAAATATAAAGCATATTACTCACCAGGTGGGAAGTTCCGTCGCGGGGGTTTTCTGATTCTTCTCCCACGAGAGCTCATGTAGGACGAGCTGCCAGCAGATATCGACTTCGGTGCTGAAAATAACGACAAGTTTAACGTTGTAAGTTGAATGTTGTAATACATCGAGTAAGAAGATCAACATCTGCTACTTCAGATATGTCACATTAAATATGTTTCAGTATTTACCTGGTGTGTAGTCGGAGTCTGAGGGGTCGTCCTGACAGCCTGAGGCCTCCTGTGCAGCGCTCTCCTCCTCCTTCTTTACACAGATCTTCTTCTGAGCAGACACTGAAGCACTTTTGGACGGTCGGCCTCGGCCTGACTGGGGTCTGTTGGGGCTGCTCTGAGAAGCAGTGTGTTTTGTTTCGGTGGAGATGTCTTTGTTCAGGTTTTCTTGAATCTGTGAGGCTTCAGTATCTTCTGAGGGGGCGTCAATAGGACTCTCCTCCTCTGCTTGTAAAGCTACTTCTGCCAAGTCGCTGTCAAGCTCCTCTCCATGCTCTTCTTCGTCTGCTTTTTCATCTGATGTGATAAAAAAAAAAAAATCGTTGTATTATCGACTATTACTGGATTTCTGGCTTGTTTTTCCAACATGGACTGTAAGTTTTTCTTTTGGAAAAACATTTCAAGCTAAATCAGATGAGTGAAGAGCATAAACATGAAATAAATAGTAATTAATAAACAGAGAAGACTGAAGAGATTTCCACAAAATGCCTTTCATGACATTTATAAGAAACATAGATCTTCAGCAACAAGATAGTTTTTCTTCTTAGCTATATTTAACGCCTGACACACCGGACACCGGCTTAAATTTCCCACAAAATCTGCACAACAAAGTATGGAAACCAGACTGTATCTTATCACCTACAAAGCCCTCCATAACCTCACTCCCCACCAACTGTCCGAGCTCCTCCAATGGCACACTCCCACCCACACTCTCAGGTCTGCTGACGCAAACTTTAATAAAAAGTAGAACCCAGGGAGACGGTGGACTCACCAACAGAGAAATCCAGTGTTATGAGGGACGGAGTTTGAGTAGCCATCGACTGATACGCTGAACAGGCATTGACGATTTCCTGCATCTGTAGAAAGCTGGCAACAGTCCGCACGTCTTCTACATTCTGTGGACTTAAACTCAGCTTAGCCGTGTACATAAACTCCAGGACCTGTCCCAAACCTGCGACGATAAATCAACAAAACAACAGGTCAAGATACTAAAGTGATGGTTGGTACAATTACTATTACTTAAGTAATGCATCGTGACCACAAAGTAACAGCACTAGAACATAAATGATGCTATATAAATTCATTAAATGTAAGAATGTGAGCAGAGATGTGTCCACAGGCTGACAGGAACCCACCTGCTGCATTGCTGATGTCCAGATGCACCACATCTTTCTGGTCCAGGAAGAGGGTGCGGAAGTAGACGCTGCAGGCCGCCAGCACAGCTTTGTGGGCCTTGAAGTCGACCCCGTCCACAACGAAGGTGCAGTCACACAGTAGGCCCTGCTTGCGCTGGCGGTTCAGCTGCTCCAGGACCTTCCCACTGTGCCAGGGAACTCCATCCTCCTGATCGTCCGAGGATGGTGGGGTGCAGGCTCTGTGGATCTCCCTGAGCAAAATGACACAATCTAATATGATTCAAAAATTCAAATGATTGACCAGTGTAACCATTCCAGTGTGTGAAATGGAGGGGGGGAAAGTACAGAAACTATGTAGAAATAGATAAAAAGAAGAACTAACACTACAGGCTCTGGCTAAAAAAAGGAACTACTAAATACACTCAATACTAAAAACACTCAATACTATTAACATAAATTTCCCTTCCAAACATCCTAATCAGTTGAATAGCGGATGTCTTTCTATTCTGAAGCTTTGAGCATTGATTGCTTCTTCGTTTTCCTTCATGTCCCGGCAATCTCTGACTTTAGATCACAACCGTCACAACCTTTCCTCCCATGTTGAGTTTCCTCTTTCTTGACTGTTTCATCTGGATACACCTTTAATGTTGTTTTCATTATGTCACATCTGTGATGCACACCTGTCTTTTGTGTTATTTTCTCATCCATATACACGGATCCATCTGCTCTCGATGTTGAAAAGTTGCACATAGTGATGCAAAAATAAAGGACAATATTTCCCTCTAAAAATAATGATTGAAAAAAAAAACAATAAAAAAAAAAGTGTTAATATTTGTAATGTTTTCCAAAGACTAAATAACAAGTACAGTATTGATACCAAAAATAAATACCAAAGAATATTACACTTTCTAGCTTGGGTGACATGACAAACAATAAGTTTCTCAGTGTTGTCATTTCATGCTGTCATGACATGTGGACTTGTTTCTGACACTTTTAAAAGTTTTAAATAAATAATTGTATCCTTCAACGCAAAGCTACTGAAATAAACTCACTTATAATAAAAAACATCAACTAAGTCTGTTCTATTACAAACATTAAGATATATATGAGGGTTATATTGCTTAAATCTCTTCATATTTCGACAAATATGCTCCATTATTTTTAAAGGAAGTAGGTTATTTTATCAATCCTTTTGAAAATATTGACTATTTTTGTTAATTTAAAAAATAAATATTTGTGTCGTACGTCAATAGCAGTGTGGTCTGCATTTTGTTTTTTTTTACAGAAATGTATCAAGCGCCAAGACCAGCAGAGACAAGAACCTCTAACTATTGTAAACAAACAAACAGCTGGTTTACTAAACTAAAAGCAGCCAACTTAACAACAACAACAGGATGTAGCCATATCGGTATGGGACTTAACATGAAAAATATGACATAAAATTATTTATAATTAATATTATTCAGGAAAACTCGGGTTGTATTAAAGTTTTGTCAGCTTGGTTTGACGGTGCACTGCATCGATTGCAATTCCTCAATCCTTGTAGCTTTGTTATCAGGGATTAATTTAGCGTGCCTTGACATGCATGTAGTGAAGGGCCAAGATGGCGGGCCGACGAGTCCGGCCTGTCTTCATCGCGTATTGTTTTCACAGCTAGCTCGCTTTTATCTCTTTACGTCAGCGCCATTTTAATAAAAAGAGGTCTCTGAATTACCTCCGTGTCGTATCTTCTGAAGTCCGGATGTAAACAGCTGGAACAGTCGCTGCTGGGGAGTCTTTCACTTTCTTAAGATAAACAAACCCAATCGAGTTTTTCGGTGATCGATCATACCCCGCTCACTCCATCCAGCGCCATCTTCCTCTCTCTGATCGATTGATAGGGACCGGCCGGATGTACCACAGGAGAGCACGCGCAGTCTGAACACCTGCTGTGTTGACGTTGGCCGCATGGTGGCGCAGTTTGCTCGCGTTATAAATACCTGATGGAGTCCCTGCTCTTTATCACTGGATGAAAACTAAAGAGCACGACCCCTTATTTAGCATTTCATGTGATAAATAAGAGTCCATAATTATTTCTTGACAAAAAACAGAACCAACCCTAACATAAATATCCTCATAAAGAGCTTTGAAACTTCTTCTCATCGTTCAAATAAGATAAGATAATCCTTTATTTATCCCACAACGGGGAAATTTACGGTGTTACAGCAGCAAAGAGCAAAGAAGACAGTACACAATTTAAAGAAAAATTTGAAATGTACAAAAAAAATGTATGGAGAAGAGGAATGCATTCAAACTTTTGAGCTTTTATGTAGGTCTATGACTTTCCCTTATTTGTTATTTAGGCTATTTGATGTTTGTGTTTAATTATTCATGTTTGTTTGTTGCCTCAGGCCAATAGTAGGCCTTTATTTTGACTTTTCAATCTTAGTTACGCTATGTAGCCTAATGTCTTTATGTGTTCAATGATTTATAAAAGCTGTCTATGATTTAACTGTCTTTTTTAGTCATGTCATTTTTTGACATGTCAAATTCAAATACGTTTTGTGGAATTATTAGATCACCATTTTGTCAAAAAATGGCAAATTTAAATAAGCCTATCTATTCGATATTTTTCACAAGGTAAAACAAAAAAGACTTGTGTGGGAGCCATTAAGTGTAAATGTCCTTTTGAATTCATTTTTTTATTAGACTTTTTGGTGCAACATATTATACATAACATATCAAACCTAAAGGGTGAGAGGCCACAATCATCTTTTTTTATTGAGTGTAGTGGATAGCAGCATTTGAAAACTTTTTTGGACCCTTGTCACTTTCCCTGTGTTTACCTTTGTCTATTAGCATATAATAAAGTAAAAAAAATGTAAATGCATACATCCAACATCTCACATGAGATAGATTTCATTTTGGTGCTTTTTGTGCCTTTGTTGGAGAGACGGAACAGAGTTAGAAATCAGAGAGAGAGGAAGAGAGTGGGGAATGACATGAAGGAAAGCAGCCACAGGTGGGAGACACTGTACTTTAATATTGCACAGTGCTATCAAACGAATATTAATCACATTTGCTCCGAGTGTTTTAAGAATAATGAAACAGAGCACTCTTAAGGGGGCAACGTCTACAATTTGGAGAAAAGGTTCAGAACAGCATTATTGATTGTGCAGTAATGTGTATTTAGCCATGGTTTGAATCCTTCATAGAGCATGTCTCATAAAAAATATTTTATGGACATAACAGAGGACTAAGCACCGTTTAATTTCTTCTCTTGTCAAAATGGAAAATATGCGCCATAAATTCCTCTGCACAGAAGTACCCACTTTACTGTTTATTGACTAAACATTTCTTATTAGTAGAGCAGTTGATATATGGTGAAGAAAACAATGTCAAGTCAATCACATTAATATTAGGCCTCTATTTACTTTAAAGCAGCTTTTTTTCTCCCAGCACTAATATCTCTAACAAATTTAATTTCCCATGTAAAGCATCAGTCAAAAGGCGTACACGTTGCAAGATGTTTAATGTCAAAGCTGGATAATTTTATTCACACAAATAACAATGTACAATAAATTACAAACATCAGTTTCAGAGGTGAGTTAGGAAAAAGGAACTGATTAATTATAATTTGCAAGTAGCTGTACATGTCCAACCCCCCTGTGACTAAATATAGACTGTGTATTCAGATGGACAGAGCAACAGCAGCCTCACAGTGAAGCCAAAATATTTAAAGCTCCCTCTGCTGACTGGATGTTGTATAGGTCATAAACTCAGCCTCCCCCAGCATTACAGGAGTCAAACTGTAACAAACATGGATTCTGTCGTGAAGTTCAGATATTATTATGCTGATGTATACAGAACGTGTTAATTTTTCTGAGTATTTTGGTTTGATGCAAAAAAAGAATGGATGTATCATCATGATTGACAGCTCAGTTGACAACGGAGGCTCCTGCAGCGTCCTTAACCAGATTAGCTGAGCAGAGGAACAAAAACTAAAAATATAGTCACTGAATTTTCCAAAACCACAAGAATCTATTCCGCTGACGACTGAACCAACATTAGGGATTTTTGGCTTTTCATATGTCAGTTAGTGTGCTTTGGCTAGCGGAGGGGGCGTGGCGTCAATTCCACAGCTCCAACAGCCACAGCCATTTTACACAGGTGTTGGTTTCAAATTACTTCACCAGCGCAATATGTCATCGCCCATCGCAAGGGCATTTCGGCTTCATTTTTGTACACCTGAAAAAGATAGAGACGTGTTGTCCATAATAATATACAGTCACTGCTCAATACGTTCAGGTGTGACCTAAAGGTGCTGTGAAATGTGATTTAACAGCAATAGTTGAGGTCACAGAGGGAGGACGTGGCTTCATAAAGAACGATGCTAACTCTTTGAGTATTAAAAGTCGGTTAAAGTGAAGACAGGAAATACAGAAAGTTGACTAAAAAACACAAAAACAGAGGTTTCCTGATGTGGATGTTCTTCTCTAGATCTTGATCTCAGTGCGGAAGGTCTGTACGAGCTCGTGTTTGGCCGGGTGTCGTCGGGCCTTGACTGTCAGGGTCCCCTCTGCGCCCAGTGATGATGTCACTGAGGTGGGGTCAACATCCTCAGGGAGTTGGCACTTGTGTGTGAAAGTGTTCATCACAGAACCATCGGTGGCCAGCTGTAACAAACAGAATATTATTCAGGATTTCATTTATTGTATCTAACAAAGTGCACAGGGTAACAGGATATAAGTCTCAGTTTTCTGTAGTTGGAAGACAAAAAAATCGCTCTAGCACCTTTATGACTTGTGTAACCATTCTAAAAAAAACAACAATGTCTGCTCACCTTCTCAGCGTGAACCTCGATCTGGTTGTTGGATGTGGTGACGATGACATCTTCAGGGGAGAAGTCTCGCACGTCAACCGTGAACTGGTACGTATCCCCGAGAGTCTTGATATTTCCAGCTCCACCTAAATGTACATTAACACAACAAAGGCTGTTAGACCCTAGGAGGAAACTATCTGTAGATCTCTATTCACTAAAGTTTCCACAGATTCTTCAGTTAACTCTCACCTCTCAGGTATGATAATGAGAGAGAGGTGATAATTACAATGACTGCAGGTGGTGATGTTTTTTTCTCTAAAGATTGAGTACAGACAGATGACAGACTCTGCATAGCCTTATTTACAAAATAACATCATGCTATTGAAATATATTTAACAATGTGAAACACTTTGTTCCATGCCAATATTTCAACTATTGAATAACATAAATGTAATTCTTAAATCAAAATTTCAGGCTAGCTATTTTGTAACTGAAGCTTTTTTTCAGCAACAATTATTATTTTCCTTTGTTGTATTCAAAATAAAATAAAAATTTACTTTAAAAAAAAGAAGCTGCTTGCATCAGATTTTTTGTCATTTCTTGGGAGTAGAAAAAATCTGGGACCATCATTCAGCACACAGTAACTATCATCACCTTAAAAAGTTTTACTGGCCAATGTGTAAGTTGGAATAAAATGCTGATTTATACATCAAGAAGTCACTGAGTGAAATGATCATTAAATCAGGTGTGGAATTTGTCTCAGTATTACAGTAAGGCTCATACAATAAAATAGAATAAAACATTGAAAGGAAGAAACCAGCATAAACTCAAATAATAATAGAAAAAAAAGAAACACCAATACAAACAAATACACTATAAAAATGATAGGATATGATATATATGAGAAATAAATCTTTATATATGTGGTTGAACTTGTTTTTTTGTCCTTTTGATAAATGTATCAATCCAATATTAAATCTCTCACTTTAGCTCTGTTTCAAATCCACAAACTCTAAAGATTCCTGATGAACATTTATCCAGATTTTTCTTTGTTTAAATTGTCTTTCTGCAGTTTTTTATTTACTTAAAAATTTACATTTAAAATTTAAAAGACAAATATTTTCTATTCCAATTTTGTTCAAATGTATTGGTTACGAGTTTTTCTTTCTTTTTATCTTAAAACCTTTATAACTTTGTCTTGTTTACATTTTTGTTACCTTTATGAAACACACAAAAAATATTTATAGATAGAGATGCTAATTGTATCTTTTATTATAATTTGGATCACAGGCCCTCTCCATGTTTTACTTTCCTCTTTAGCTGCTAGTTTCTAACTTAGCTTAATGTTTCTAAAAGGGGATTCATAGCTATAAGGTTACTGCTGAGCAAGGTGGTAATTCTAATGCTAGTTCTCACCATGAACGACATCTTCCCCATCTTAGATTTAATATATTGTGATATAAAATTATAAATAATAGCAGGCTTTATGATGAGCATCAAATATAAAATAATATATCCAATAATAAATATATAAAATACAGATTGACTGCTGCATCAGTCTGTAGAGGACACAGAGGAGAACATTCAGTAGTTTGATGTGACTTTCTATCTGCAGCGGCTCTAAGCTCTCTGAAAAAACTAAGTGGTAACACATGACCTCACACGTGTCGCCAGACCCAAATAAGTGCGTTCATCTGTGTATGCAGTGTGTGTTACATCATTCCAACAGTGTGTGTGTCTCTGTTTTGTGTGCACACCGGTCACCGGGAAACCATCTGGTCATTCCTCATGCAGGCGTCATTGCAGATACTCTGTGTATGAAGTCACGCTGCTGGCAGCTCCAGTTCAGCAGTCCCTACCTTCTCTCATGTGTGTGTGTGTGTGTGTGTGTTTGTGTGTATCTGTGTGTGTGTTCCTTTCTTCTCTTATAGCTGCACCCACCCTCAGGCTCCTCCACTGCTCCCGCGGCTCAAAAACAATCCATCTCCGCTCTTGACACATGCCCAGCGTGGACTGAGTCCATTTAAAGTTCAGATGTCACAAATTCACAAGTCTGTGTGTGCCAGCAGTGAACTGATACAAAACAATTCACACCAGCTCCTCACATTACTGAACAGGAGGATGAACAGGGCGCTTAAAGTTGAAAAATATCTCTTTAATATAATGCTTATTTAAAAATGCTAATTCCTGGAAAACCTGAAAGAGAAAGCTGGAAAGTGCCTTGACTAGAACAAAATACAGCTCCAACTTTGCTCTTGATCTTTTGTTTTTACACCAGTTATTCCGTCAAACAACAGCATGGCTATAATCTTCCTTGGAAACACATTTGTCCAAACACATCAACCACACCACAGTCCTTTTGCTTTTTGAACTCAGTCCTGCAATTTCTCTCTGTCCTCTGAACTGCCTCAGACATTTTTTATTATCATTTTATGAAGAAAACCCCCCACGCTTTCAACAAATCCCTTCCAAGCGAGGACATAAATCCACTTTACAGTCAAAGCTGTTGCCTCAACCTGCAGTTGCTCTTTTTTTCTTTTCTTTTTTTTTAAACCACTTTGTATACAAAAATGAGTTACAGAGGCTCTAAATGTTCTTCCAACTTACTGGAAAACCCCAAGGCGTCGCTCCCAGGCCCCATGAAGGAGCCAAAGTCCTCAGCGAATAGTCCTCGGCTCTTCTCCATGTATGGGTTACTAGAGGACGAGGAGGAGGATGAAGTCTGGTGGAAACTACGCTCCGATCGATAGGCAGACGAGTTGGTCACACTCATGGATGGCTGAAAGTTCAGGGAGAGGCAGAGGAGGAGAGTGAGGGGAGGCGGAGATATTTCTTCTTCTTCTTCTTCTTGTGGCTGCTCTGGGAGTCTTCCAGATGCTGAAATATAAGAAATAATGCACACAGCTCTTCTGTCCTCCTTTCTTTCTATTCGTTTTTTTCTTGTTTGTCTTATGTAATATCACTTAGAACCCCACTCTCCGGCAGCCTCTCACCCTTATATACACCCTTTAGGTCCCCTGAGTGGGTGGGCGATGTGCACGTGTGTCACAGCTCATTGGGAAAGGGTAACAGTGTTCTATATTTATCATGAGGTGCGCAAAGTGATGGAGAGAAAGTTCTGTGGTTGGAAAAAGCTCTGGGCATTGAAGGCCCTTGTGTGAAGATCAGGGGAGAGAGAGGGGTTTAAAAAAGAGAGAGAGAGGCAGAGAAAGAGCAAGGGGAGGGGGGGGAGCAGTTGTCATTGCAGACTCATGAACCCTGAAATAGCTCCTCTGATAGTTCGCCCTGTACCTAAGTGCCCGACCAGTCTGTTAATTTCCTGTTTTTTTTTTGTATCTTTTAGAAATAGTAAAACAGGTCATGTAACATCAAAGTTTAGCATCTCATTAAGCATTCACAAAAATCTGAGTGGTCTTTATAAAACATGGACGTGATCTCAACAATGTCACCGACTCCTCTCTGAAGCTTAGTTTTGAAGCCAAACGATGGCAGTCGCCATGTTGGAAATGCTAACTCACACTGACTTTCAGCTGTAGCAACAGGCAAAGAGAAGGACGCTGAGACGGGCCTTTAGCCTCCTAACAAACAGCTACAACGCACTTGCCTGTCAGTCAGATCATCCAGGACTCTATTATGCATCACTCTTAGTCTTAAAGTCATCAAAAAGGTGTTTTAAAAATGTCACCCTTCGTACAGTGTGCCAATAGAGAAAATCCTTGTTTGTACCAGGCTGTAAACAAGTTTATTTATGCTGTCACAATGGGCATTTTAATATGGGTGTTAATGAGGCTTTTGCAGCCTCAAGTGGACGGTGGAGGAACTGCAGATTTGATCACCACTGCTACATTTTTCAACACCCAATTTGCAACTTGCAGGTGATCAAGTTTTGAGTGACAGTTTCCAGGCTCCACCCACTACAGTCGTGTTTTTTTGAGCATAGCTTCAAACATTAGCCTATGTTTAACGTTTTAGTTTGGAGCGGTTTTAACGGTGCTGCCACACGGCCGATTTTGTCAGGTATGTCAGGCAGACAGTGAACCAACATGAGCTGCATTTGGAGTCAGAGGAAAACTTTACATAATCTCGATTTGTCTTTCATGGTGAGTTACAAAACGCTCTGTTAACCATATAAGATTGTCTGTAGGAGGCATAATGTCAAAGTAATAAAGGCAACTTTGATTTCATTTCAAAGTTGCTTTAATTAAAGTGCCATCTGAAATTGGATCCACATATGAGTTTCCCATTAAAAGCATATCGTCCAGTTTTTTCACAGCATGGTTCATAATATTTTTCTGTCTTTCCAATTTTCAGCTGAATCCCATAACGGCTTATTAAATGAGCACACTAAACATCTGAACACATTCACACAAAATAATTCTCTGGAAAATGAGGTTTTCTCCTGCTGAGATGAAAGGGGAGAGGAACGTGAATTGAAAAGTGAAAATGGACGGGCGGGCGGGCGGGCGGGCGGGTGGCGGCTTGTTTCTTATCTCACAGGATAAGTTGAGAGCAAAACAAAGGTGGAAAGAATGTGCTTCAAAACAAAGCCGTCAGCCGGTGCAGGGGGTTTAGTAGTGACATTGCTTTGTCGCTATAAATATCTGAGCATTGCCCGTCATGATTAGAACGCACTCACAGCTCTCCTCTGAAGTCTGACAGCTCATCCATTAACATCCATGTATGGGCTCTTTGACATATTTGAGGTCTGTTTTGTGTTTTCAGTGAACAGTATGTTGCCTATAATTATCACATGACCGGTATGTGACATATAACATATTTACTGAACTACAACCTTAACCCCAAACATAAAGTAGGCTACCTGCCATTGCAGTCATCCTTATATTGTAATTCAAGACAGTCTCCAGTGAACAGACAAAGGTTGCCATCTTTTGTTTTGAAGATGTGTTTGAAAGGTTACCCAGTTTTTCAAATGACAGTGCACAACCACACAGTGCTATGTGCTCTCAGTCTTATCAGTGCATTGAGCCCAGCTCCCTGCTGAAGGTCTATATCGAGCCCAGCAACTCACCACCTCCCTCACAGACAACACACTGAGCTGTTCCCCCGCCCCAGTAACAACAAGAATACTGATGTGTTTTTCGTTGTCATTTTATTCTAAATGAGATATTTCATGATCTGCCCATTAAGGGGCATCACAGTACATTTGAAGGTTCATGTGATGCTACGGGGATATTCTGGATAGTTTGACTTCCCTGGGTTTTTAACATTCAAATGGAATAATGTGAAAGTTAAACATCACCCCTTGATTTATCGTCTTAAAACACATTATCAAGATTTTCTTCCTTTTTAATAAAAAAATGTAGGCAGCTTTATTCCTCCATCTTACGTGTCTTGAATAAATAAATTATGGATCCACAGTGAGGGATTTGTGCAGGGAACCAGTGGGGAGTGGGATGAGCACAAATGGGTGACATGATGATAGCTGGACATAAATGACAGGATGTCAGGAGGGGTTGTGATGGGATGGAGATACTGAGATAATGGAGGGACAAAAAAAAGGACATTTTTGTTCTCTTCAGAAAATAGCACATTATTGTGTAAAAGCAAAGCAGAAACCTCTAGTGTTGTAAACTGAAGCCGATGCAGAAGTGCACAAAACTGCAATTCGTAGAGTGTCCACTCTAGAGAGGCTTGCTGCTAAAGCCCAGGAAGTCACATACACACCCATTAAACAAAGCCAATTTTGACAGCAGAAACAAACATGTTTACCGTCATGTGCAAAAGATTAATTTGGTCTAAATAGCTAATTTATTTATCGCCACATACTGTCTGGAGTGTGTTTTATTTTTTATAACTCATCTGTTGTGAAGGACAAGATATATTAAAATTGAAGTGTGTGGCTGTTTTGACTGAAAGGCGAGCTCGTACTAGTTGTTCTTCAGGAGGCTTAAGGCCTGCCTCTGCTCCAGCTCTTTGCCTGTTACTAGTTTGACCAACACTACTTTGAGACAGCATTTACAATATGGCGTCTGCAACCGATGGCATTAAAAAGTTTGCTTCAAAAACCAATTGGTAAAAATCACGAGACTACGTCCATGTTTATATACAGCCTATGGGAAAAGCTGTATTTTCAGTAAAAGATGAAAGAACTTTGTTATAGTCTAAAAAAAGGATTTTGGAGCTTAAATGAAGATGACTCATGTAAGAACTCATGTTGTTAGAGCTCACTGAATAAAAAAAATAATGATTATTTATTATGAAAATAAAGATACAAATTGATTGAAAATAAACTTGTATGCTCTTATACAAGTCTGAAACCGATCAAAGTATTTAACATAAAAACAAAATAAGCAGACAAAGAGATGTGTTTCTGTTCAAGAAATCAGATCATAAATAAATATCACAGAGGACAGAAGAACAGGCTAACAACCAGTTTAATCACCACCTTAATTTATGGGGGATATTCAAGAAGAGTGTAAGCGTTTTAGTATGAGGTTTCAGGATAATGTTTATTCTGTGATAAAGTAAAGCATGATTTAAAATGTTATGAAACAAAAACAAATATGAGAGTCCATGTTAATTCATAAAATACAATTTTTGCTAAAAATAAGTTATGGGAACGAGCAGGAAAGAATCACAGGAATTATATTTATAGAAAAAACAAAACAAGGATGATGACGGGGAGGAAGGACGTCACACGATGAATGAGATCCAGCTGTCACTGATCCATGTTGTACTTTCATTGACATTGAGTCCCCTCTATATGAGTGTGTGTTTGTGTGGGCATTCCTAACCACCTACATAATATACTGAAACACACACACACACACACCCACACACGAACACACACACACACACACACACATGTTGTGTCCCACAGCTGCTACATTATGTTGCAGACAGAGAAACAAATCACAGTGACTGTTTCTGTGTCTGAGCCGGAAGGTCACCTCGATACGGCTAACCATTTATTCACATATATTTGAATACATTTATTTATTTTGAGTTGTATAACTGTAAATGTAGTTATGCAGATATTTCTGACTAACAAGTCACAAAGTCTGGGGATCCATCCATTTAGTTCTCTGACCTTTATGAAGCTTCATGCATTGAAAGCTTCTCTTGAAAAATCCATTTATGAAACTTTCCTGAACATAATTATATGCCAACATGACATTCTGTCTTCTACTTATATTAAAGACATGTTTTATTTATTATATTTATAAAAAACAATTAATATTAAAGGATCATCATGTAATATCTACAACCATAAACAGACCTTACCATATCATCAGACATAAAAGAACATGCTTGGTTGAAGTGCTGGCAACAACGCAGCAGCCAGTACTAAGCAACCCTTCTAAGTTTAGATTCTCATCCTGAATGGTCTGTTTTTGTTGTGACCAGAGGAAGTATAGGCGGTTTTAGGGTACCACCACATGGCCGTTTTGGACGCTCCTCGAACTGTCAGGCAAAAAGCAAACCAACATGTGTTGCAGTGATGAAAGTGGGCAAGCAAACTGGTTCAGATATAACAGATTTTACCCAAAATGCCTCAGCATTTTTTTTTGATAAGCTCAATAACGTAGAAACGTGGTAAAACTAGGATTAAAAAATTAGAGTTTGGTTAGAACTCTGAAAGGTTTCAGATAGATGCAGAGCTGGCTAAACACTGAAGCTGACTCTAGACGGGAAGGTGCATGGGGAAACAGCTCCTTCCAATGTTTTGAATTTGGACTGCAGTATCCATTTTAAACATAAGGTGTCAGAGTTACATACTGTTCCTTTAAGAAGTTGTCAATTATATGAAACGTGGAAGTTTTGACATCCTGTCACAGCTGAAGAGAGTTTGAGAGACACAGACTGGTAACTGAAAAGGGTTTATTTAGGGTTTTTCTGTAATTATTATTATCTGGTTAGGCTTTTTGAATTTTGACTGCAGTACCCATTTTAAACACTAGGTGTCAGAGTTACATGTTCCTTTAATATTTCATCTAAAATAACATTTGTATTTCATATGAATGTAGCACTGCCCTGCATGTGAAGAAAATAACATGTTCCCTTGAAGAAAACAGAGACATTGCGTTTGTGTGTTATTTGGAAATGTATTAATATTCAGCTTGGGGATCTGGAACTGTTTAAGTAATTCCTTTTTTTCTTATCTGAGAAGTTTCTCCGCAGGCTCTGATGACTGTTTATAAGAGTATGAGGTAAAGTTACGTCCTGTCTGGTTCTCTGGCCGCCTTGGTGTGCTGTTCCCATGGAAACATGTTTTTATACAGAGAAAAGCAGTATGTATTTCCACAGTGTAAATGTGTGTGAGTGACTGATGCTCACAGCATACTGATTTTTAAATCTCTGTAATAACAGATCGTAATTGAAAGACTGGAGGGCAGCTGGAACTGCAGAAAATAAACATTAACTAAGAGCTCAATTATGTGTGTGTGTGTGTGTGTGTGTGTGTGTGTGTGTGTGTGTGTGTGTGTGTGTGTGTGTGTGTGTGTGTGTGTGTGTGTGTGTGTGTGTGTGTGATTTTAACAATGATTACCTTGACCTTGAGCGATCAAAGGCAAAGCTTACATCTAAAAATGTCACACAGAAGGTAATAACTCTGATTGGATAGATTTAGTCAGATGCATAAAACATTTTCTCATTCATTTTACTTTCAGTATTCCTCCTGCGCTTTGTTGATGCTGTTTTGCATTATTATAACTTAAACATCTTTTCAATTTGATAAACCAACTAAAAAGTTTGGATGAGTTTCAGACTTTTGAAAGTTAATTGAATTGTTTTCTGAATTTGTGAGCTCTATTAGAAAATGCATCTCCAGGGCTGAGAGGTTTGTAGACATGTGCCAAATCATTTCAGGGAAACAGAAATAAATTCAACCTTTGGGACAATTAGACAACACATCTTTACATATCAAGTCTAGAATTTTTTCCAAAAATATATCTCAAAAATATTAAAGCGTGATAATCAAGTAATCATGTACCAGTTGTAGGAGTTTTTATTAAATTGATTACGCTATGGGAACAGGTATTATAAGATGAATTGCAGCAGAGCTGATAAAATCAACAAAAATGTAATAAAAGCTGAGCAGCATGAAAAAATCTCTTACACTGAAATCCTGCTCCAAAGACAGATGAAGGGCACTTCACTATGTTCTCCAAAGAGTTAATATTAGCTACCCTTCAACCATGACTGCACTATGCTAATAACTTAACAGAAGTCAATGGTGGTGCAAACTCACCTGTAACACAGACAGATGCAGCTATAGAAGGTAAGGCTACCTGTCTTCTTTGTGGATTTTGCAATATCTTCTAGAAAAATCAGCCAGTCATTGTTCTGCAGTGTCTTTTGAGTGTTATCAATGTTATCAGTGTTATCATATTTAAAAAACAAAACAGCTCAGACCGAAATGAAGAGTCTGGATGAGTCTCCTGGGAGTGAGGCTGCGGAAAAGAACAAGGACTGGGAGAGAGAAAATCAATCAGAGACATCCCATAATAAGACCCTGCTCCTTCCTGATCGATGGAAACCATGCCGACAGACGCAGGCAACAGTCAAAGGTTAGATTCAAGTAGAAAATCATCAAATGTGATCTATAGCGGCCTGATCGATGCATCAGAGAGGAGCGTGTTTGAAAGTCAATCTGCATTATGGATGTGATATCATTCATGAACTTCATTAATGTGCAGCTTTAATCTGAGAAGTCAAAGATAAAAGTTCAAGGACGACACGAGCGATGTGATCGTGCCTTGTTTACACATTTAATTACAAACTAATGATGATCGGGTGTGTGTGTGTTTGGATATTTTCTACAGTACTTGTGTAGCTATATATATACATGTGTGTGTATTTGTTTTTATTCTATATATTTATATTTTTATATTTCAGGCATGGCACAGTAAATTTAGTTGTACTCTTGTGCAATGACAATAAAGTCTATTCTATTCTATGTGTAAAGACATAGACAAATGAACAACCTGCATAAAAAACTATGTTTCCTCAAAACTGACTGTTGAAGACGTTTTACTTTATTTACACTTCATGCATATAAGTATGTATTATTATATCTAACTTAATTCTGTATGCTGTATTACCGCATTCTGCCCCATATGTGCTTCAGTTACAAGGTCATTTCTATCGTTTCTCATTCAGTCAGTGTTGTTAACCATTTGCATCGGACCACATTTCACATGGACATCCTTGAAATACTTCTTCCCCATAACATTGGATCTAATCTCTATTGACATATTTTGCATAACAATTGAGAATCTGCAGACGCAGGACAAGACTGTTGTATCAGAAGTGCATTGGTTTTTGTTTGTAGCTCAAGAACAAATTGACATCATTTTAAGAAGGGGGGGGGGTTACATTTTGAAACAGGGGGCATTTTTCTGAAGCAACAATAAATAAAATGTGTTTTTTGTTGCTTTGAGAATGAATAGTGAGTATTTAGATGTAATATAAAATCTGGTCACTGTTGGATGGTATTTGTTTTGGTAAACTCCATGGGCCCTCCCCATGCGACCGGGCCCCAGGAAGCTTTCCCCTTTATCCCCCCTTTATCCCCCCTTTATCCCCCCTTTAGGGGGCGGCCTTGGCCACAAATGTAAGTTTTGGAAAAGCTAACCTTCATGTTTGTGTCCACAGAGTGTCTCACCTTCATGTTTGTGTCCACAGAGTGTCTCACCTTCATGTTTGTGTCCACAGAGTGTCTGTGGAAGTTGAGCTGCTGTCTGGGATCAGTGTGTGGGATGGAGTGGTACTGCTACGCTGCTCTGGGCATTCTGACTGCCACCCTCAGCTTCTTCATCGACCTCAGTGTAACAAAGCTGATCAAAAGTACTAACACACACACACACACACACACACACACACACACACACACACACACACACACACACACACACTCTCAGTGCAAACAGAACTCAGATTGTTAATGTGTCTCTCTCACTCCCCTTGTAGCTCACCAGTGGTTATATATGAAACTGGACGGAAACAGTCTGCTGCAATTCCTCTGCTGGACACTTTACCCAGCATGCCTCTGTGCTGTTGCATCATCCTTCTCACACAACATCTGTCCCTTCTCCACAGGTCAGTCCAGCAACAGTTATACCAAATAAAATAAAGTTTGTAACTTACGTTTGCTATCATGAAATTAAGTCTTTATTAAGTTTACTGACTTTTCTTGCTATTTAATCCTTAATAAATTGATTTAAAAAAGCTACTGTAGTCGCTTAAGAGTTAGATATTATCTTCAGGAGTTGGCAGAACGTCAAACGGAGATAGGTCCTCAAGGTTTACTATCTCTACATCGACTGTTTCTTAAGTGCCATGATGCTTCATCCACAAACTGATCGGAGGAAGATCAGGTGATTTCTATTCTCTAGCAATGAACTTTTGGCTCAGCATGATGACTGTGTGGATCTACACAGCGTCCCTCAGGGCATACTGGTAAGATAAAGGCTACGATCAGTTTAATATTCTCATGAATAGCTGTTCACCTTCTCTGAGCCTTGAGCCGAGGCCCTAACAACTAAATAAAGGGGCATGTGACCCTCTGGATCTCAGGCATTCTTGGCTGCACAGGTCAAATAAATTCTATATTTCGTTTTGAACTCTACTCATCTAGTCTGGATCTTGTGAGAGATGGTTTGGGAGGTTTGGGCCAGAAAGGCACATTTCTCATTTTCCCCAAATGAGGTCTGTTCTCATTTCTGTGAGCAGACTGAACACGAGAGTGGAGACTTCCTTGCCTTTGATGAAGACGATGTGATTGGCCGAGTCACAGCTTGGAAAACAAATGTCTGTTTGAAGGTATCACAAGATTTGGTTCTGAGTTATGCCATGTTTCTCCTCCGATATTATGAGACTTTTAAGTAGATATCAGTCAAACATATTCCTGATGGACTAATCTAGGTTGATATTTTCAAATAAAAAGCTCTCCTATCTTCAAAGTTCAAAGAAGAGTTCTGGAGTTCACATGGTAATATGAGTCACTCGTCCTTGTGACATTCATTCATTTTTTATGGTATTCACTCTTATGGATACTATGGATTAAAGATATTATGGACATTTAGCTATCTTACATGACTTTTTGAGGCTACATTGTCATTTTGTAGCATGGTACAAAATACAGAATCATCAGGAGGGTTTCCTCTTCAGTGTCAGACGTGGTTTCTGGGAAAAGATTAGATGAAGAGCAGGATATCCTTTTCTCGGTTACTATCTCTCCAAGCTAAATGGCATTGAGAAAAAGTCAACTCTGATTTTATCAGGCTCACAGAATGTCTTTAAAGTATATGATATGACTGAGGAGAGCTCCGATCTTTCTTTCAGAGGGGACCTTACTCTCCCCCTCTTCTGCAAAAGAAAAAAAAAAGAATCCTTAAAGGGGAAATTTGTTTTCATTGATGAGAGCTCCAGTTCCATTAAGTAGCCTCCTCCAGCATGAACACTGTGTGATTATTTATGAAAACAATAAAAATTCTAATCAGAACTGAATCATGCCTCACTCTCCTCAGGCTCGGGGATCCCGGAGGTGAGGACCATGCTGTCGGGCGTTGAAATGCCTCATTACTTGTCTCTCACTAATATGTTTGCCAAGTTGCTCGGCCTCATCTGCACACTGTCGGCTGGCAGCACTGTTTTCCTCGGCAAAGTGGTGAGAGTGGCTGCAGTATTCCTGTTTGGTTTGTTTTTCACTCAGAATATGAAAGTAAGAAGTCTGTTTTGATATGAGTTATGGCCACAGTTTGTGTTTTTTTCTCTTAACATCAGGGTCCATTTGTGCATCTTTCCACCATGCTCGGAGCGTACCTGAGCAACCTCTGCACTCTCATACATGCCAACAAGAAGGTAAAAACATTGTGAGGTGTCCAACTTCACAAATGTATCTACATTCCAATATTCACCACAAAATAACACAGCAGTTCCTCTCACTCCGTGGAGCTTTGTAACTATTTTTAGCTCTATATTTTGGTTTGTCTAGCCTTTGAACTCTGATATCCTAAACTCAAGGTACACTTCCAGATTGTAGACTGACAAAAATAGGAAACACAAAGCTCAATATAGTATTGAGCAGCTCAATATATTTTTATGCCCTAGGAAAGATTTAAACAGAGTTAGGAGAGTGAATGTTGGATTCACATTCAAAATGTTGCATGAAAACAAAACTCAAAGTTTAACCTTGAAAATATCTGTTTTGGGGCGGTGGAGAGCCTAGGGTCTGACCCCGACCTCGGCTCTTTGCTCTATGTCATCCCCCCTCTTTCTCCTCCCCACATTTCTTGTCTATACTCAGCTATTATGCAAAGGCAAAAAGGCCCAAAAATAATATCAGTTTTGTCAAATAAGTTTAGCTCGAGGTCTTTCTAATTTTCATACCAATTTACAAACCTGCTTAATTCACTTCATTATAAGCTCCATTAGCTCAGGACTATGATTTGATAATCGCAAGTGTTTGAAAAATCACTTTCCCAAGGATGGAATTTTTCACACAGGGAAAGAAAAGTGAGTATGTTATTGATGTTAATCTTTTTTTTTTGGATGTTCTTTTTCCAAATGAGTCCCCATGCTATGTCAGGAAATGAGCTTCCTGAATCTGCCCCTAAAAATGCTGTTAGACTTTCCTTTAAGATTGCCAACGCACCCTCCCTTATTCTTGGCACAAAGAAAATGTGTCCAATTTGAAAAGTGTTTCCGCCTCCATCTGCTGGTGAAGACCATTACATGCGGTTAGAAACCAGCAGCAGGTACACCTTCAGTCAGGAGTAGCTTTCAGGAGAGAGGCACATCTGAAAAGTCTTCAAAAGGTGCTGCACTTTAAATATTAATGTGCACGCTGGTTCACATTTTATAAACTTTTACAATACAATGTTTCAATCAGTCATACACTGAGAGTGAGGACACATCAGCAGATGTTTCTTTTGTCAGGATTCTAACGTTAATGCCACATGTTTTCTGACTGTGATAGTATGAAGCTGCCTTTTAAACATTCCCCATTTTAACTCAGTCAGGTGACTTAATGTCAAATGATGCAGAGTAGCCAAAGAGAAGTTAAAACATTTTCCGATAAAGCTTTTAGGAAATGTGAAGACAACGATTTAAAAAAAATGCATCTATGACATCTTATTCTACTTTATAAATATGTATCAGAAAACAGACATGGTCCCTCACGGTACAGGTAAATGTCATTGTGGAAGTCATAGTTATATATTATTTTGCATCTCCATTAAAAACAGATACAGTGGATTTATATTTTTCAGAAACAGGAGAAAAGGGCTCGTCATGGAAATTTCCCCCCAGTTGTAGAGCTTTAAGAATGAAATCCATTATGCATGTTATTTTCACTCTCACTGGGATATAAATATGTGAAAAGCACATTATAACACATTTGTCTTTTAGGATAAGGCTGACAGAGAGATGCTGGTTGTAGCAGCTGCAGTTGGGGTCGCCAGCTGCTTCGGAGCTCCCGTCAGCGGTAAGAGAGACAGAATATCTTCAGCTTTAAGAATCATACTTAATGATACATCTGCTGTCACTGCGACGGCTTTTCTAACACTTGTCTGCTGGATGCATTTCCCCCTTTGATTCCCCTCTTTCCTTTCATGCTCCCTCCGACTTCTACTGCACCTCCTTCATGTTGATACATCTTTATCTCTCTCCTCCTCATCTTTGATCCCATCTCCTCCAGATGATGCTCTCATCTCAATGTTTATTTCATTTTTTTGCATCCTTGTTGGGGGTTAGCAAACCAAGATTTTAGCCTTGTTTGTTCTCACATCAAAAAAAAAAAAAAAAAAAATGCCTACCTCTAAATAGCATTCCATAAACATGCAGACAAAATAATAAATCTTAATAAGTCTTCAAAGTTGTAGCTGAGAATGCCTCCTGCTGTCATAATCTGTTGGTCCAAACAACTTGCTCACCCTTTCCCATCCTCTCTCCTCTGTAGGAGTTTTGTTCAGTGTAGAGGTGATGAGCTCTCACTTCACCCTGAGGCATTACTTCCCATGTTTCTTCTCTGCTGCCTGTGGGGCGCTGACCTTCCGCCTGTTCTCAGTGTGGAGCGGAGATTTAGGTAATGGCGACCCCCTATCAGCGCACCTGTGTGAAAAAACAAAACCTTTAACATAAATAATTGGAATATGATTAGCGATAAAGCAATCGAACACTCTGAACCTAGCTTTTATGAAGAACAGTTAATGTGTGCTGCACATTTTACCACTCCATAGACAGCTTTATAAAAGAGCCATCCATGTGAGTTGACAAGTCTACACTGTACTCTTTATAATGTCATCTAGACAGACTCTACAATGTCTTGTAACAATATGGTCTTTTAGGCTTGTGAGTGATACTGACAGATTCAAATTACCTGCCATGACATTACCTGAAAGCATCATCATTTAAGCAGAAACATTCAAGCTGACTGATTGTACGTTTCAGTAAAGCCTTTAAGCAATACAATGAGGAGGAAAAAAAAATCATCTGTAATAATAACAATAAAAAATTCATTTGTTTTGTGTCCACAGAGACTCTTCAGGCAATGTTTAAAACTAATTTCTCCACGTCCTCACCTTTCCACCCGTTGGAGATTCTGCTGTTTGCTCTGCTGGGGTGAGATAATTAATGATCTCATCTTCACAGCCGCACCAGTCTTCTTCTTGTTTTCTGTTTTTCAAATAAAGACTGATATTTAGTATTCAAAGTAATACCAGTCTTTGAGTAGTTCTGCCGTGTCACCTCTCTATTCTAATCAGCAATCATAACAATAACTTCTTGGCCTCCGGCTCACCTTCACCATCACTTCCCCATGTCTGATGACTTCCTGCAGTCTAACGCTGATTAAAATAAGCTTCTTTGTCTGAGTGATCACTTGTCTGTTTACAGGCTGCTGTGTGGAGCTGTGAGCTGTTTCTTCCTCTTCCTCCACCGGTGGATCTTGAAACTCACCAACACAAACCCGTTCCTCATCAGGATGCTGACGACAGAGTGAGAGCCCTGTGCAAAGTGATGCAGGATGAGTCATCTGCCGTTTAACGCGGGCTGACGCGATAAACAGAGTGTGTCTCCTCTGAGAGGAGGATTATCCATTCAACATCCTCATGCTGTGCAACAACATAAACAACTTTAAAATAGATCATTTATAGCACAAAATATGATTAATGAGAGTGCGACGCCTTTCCAAACACATTTAAATGAAAGGCCAGAGCAATCATATCTCTCATTTGATGGCTTTCCCTGTTAGAGTAGAGGCAGGTCTAAGTAGAGCAGAACACTGAAAACAGACTGTCTGGAAGAATGACAGAGTAGATCTATTGCTATTGTGCTCCGCAGATGAAAGAAAGCAATCAGCTGATTTAGACTTTTACAATTTCAACCTGGAAATAACTTAATTATTTTCAGACATCCTTAAAACTCAAAAAGACTGAATTTACTTCCAGCTTCTTCCTAAACTCTAAAGACATACTTTTTAGGTTAATTAGTGACTCTGTATTTCTTTTAGGTGTGAGTCTGGGAGTGGATGTTTAGTCTCTATATCAGCCTTGTGATTGACTACTGAGCTCAGTGTACCCTGCCTTTCACTCAATGACAGCTGGGATAGACTCCACTCTTCCCCTGTAAACCTTACCCCGTGACCCCTTATAGTATAAATGGTATAGATATTGGATAGAAGGATGTACTAAATGAAAACATCATTGTTGCTGTCCAAATATGTGAATTCTCCTCTGCAGGAAGGGTCTTTACTCCGGCATGGTGGTCTTTCTCCTGGCATGTGTGACATTTCCAAACTCTGCTGGTCACTACATGACTTCTGAGGTGAGAATGAACAGAGCTGTAGGCTATGCCATATGTTTTTTGTAGATATATTTTTTTAAGTATATAGCTGATGTATGTGTAACATTGGAGAAATACAATTTGTCTCTTAAGTTGATCATCATTAAAATGTAAGTCTCACAATGTAAGGGTTTGGGAAAGTGGGATGCAACTGCAGACCCCGGGTATCTGAAAGTCATCCAAGAGGGATAACTGCTAAAATCACAAGCATTTCAATAAGAGGGGACAAAAAACAAAACGTTACTAGCCAGACAACAAGGCTCTCTTATCTAAATAAAAACAAGACTCTTCTAGAGTACACAAGAAACACAGCAAGAACCTCCCACTATCTCTGATGGTGAAGTTAGAAGTTAGCGTAAATGTTGTGATTATTCAGTATTTTGTGTTTACGTCATCTCAACTCAAGTTTTCCAACTCACAAAAATAATGAAGTTGATACTCAACATATAAGTGAAAAGGATATACCTTATTATAAAGCCGACCCCGCCTTAAGGCTAGAACGTCCCTGGTCTGCATCCTAGTTTGGTTATTAATGAAAAGCAAACATGATGAAACAACCAAACTGTGAATACAACTTCAGTCATCCTCAACACTGTTTGAAATATTTATTGCAGCAGCAGAACATAGTTTGAGTTTGGCATCTAAAGGCTCTGACATCATAACACCTGGCAGATTTATTTGACCTGCAGAAATTGAGTATTGAGCATGTGGACAGCAAAGCAATGACAGAGCAGAGGCAGAAATCAGTGCAGCTCGAGCTGTCTACCTGAACGGGCTAAAAGGCCGGCGGCTGCTATATCACAAGAAAATGAATATCCTCGAGATTGATCAGCCTCAACTTTTGTCTTTGTCAGAGCTCATTAGCATGCTAATTTGCGTGCCGACATGCTAAGATAAAATGTTAAAGATAAGCCTTGTGAGCATGTGCTGAATCACAGCTGCGAGAATGCTGACAGCGTGACTCAGTTTTGTTCAAAACTGAACGTGACCCGTCACTCAAGATTTACATAATAAGTAGGAAAGAATTCAGAGCCACAGCCAGGCAAGAGCACTCTGTTGTTGCTGTTAGTTTTTCTTGTATTGCTGCAGTAATCTGAGTTGCAGTAATCCTTTTCACAGCTCTCCATGAAGAAGCTTCTCACCTCCTTATTGGATGACAGGCAGTGGATCTCACTATCCCACAATGCATCTGTTCAGCCTTTGTTAGAGTGGAGCTCATCAGGGAGTCCTGTCTACCTGTCTCTGGCTGTCTTTCTGCTCATGAAGGTATACACACAATGGAAGCTGCTAATTATGGGCTCTCTTATCCGTGCACTGATAACCGGCCTGAATGGTAACACGGCACCCAGCTCAGGCTCCCACTCCTCTTGTTCCTTTGTGTCCCAGCGGCCCATAATTGACATACAGTAATTGACATTTTCAATGTAGAGAATACGAGCTAAAGACTGTTTAACCTTTGAGGATGAAATGTCTTGTGATATCTGATGCTCTCTCTCATGGCAACGCTGCCGGTAGAAGTCATGTGTATGCCTTGAGATCTCCCCACACACATCTGTTAGACATATTTGTAGTCCAATTGGAGGATTAGGGTTCATTCATCCTCACACCTGTGAAAGTTTATAATCTGAAATGCAATGAGCTCACCTTCTTCTCAGTGAGATTCACTCTTCATGAATGTGTTCTTTTCTCACATTACAGCATGCACAAGGTCATTTAAATTGGCATGATTTAATATTTATTTTCGCAGATTTGACTTGAGAACATTGCAAACCCTTCTGTGTGAACAGCTTGACTCATACTGTGCTGCATGTGCTGGTAGAGCTGTTTTGGCTGAGATTTAACAGCGTGTGTGTGTCTGTGTGTGTGTGTTTGTGTTGCTCCTGAGATGTGGATGTTAGTCCTCGTCTGCACTCTGCCTCTGCCAGCTGGATACTTCATGCCAGTGTTTATTTACGGTATGTGGAGGGCAATGAATACATTTTGCAAAACACCCGGTTGACAGATTAGATTAAATTGTAAGAAACTAGTTTTACATCCTGTCACTGTTATGTAGATAAACTGCTGATCACAGGTAAACTGATTTTTTAAAGTTTTTGTTTCCCAGGTGCAGCTTTGGGTCGTTTGCTTGGAGAAGGAGTAGCTTATGTTTGTTCCACTGGAGCGACTACAGATCAACATTGGGCTTCTATAAATCCTGGGGGCTACGCACTCGCTGGTAAACAGATCAATAACACTTAAGTGTTGATTAATTGACGACACGCCTTCAGGCTTGCCTGTATTTCAGTGTTAACATCCCTCTTCTATGAACCTCAGTCTGTACTCAAATGCTTGATGAACAAAGCATTGAAAGATTTTGTAAAACTTCAGGTGTTTTTTGTACCATTTACCCACAATGTTGTTGCAAGAGTTTTTCAGAAGAAATAGAAAATATTGTTTTGTGTCAGAATGTAAAACATCTCTTAAAGAACATGTGAAATTGATATCACACTAAAACCTTGCTTTATATGAAACTAGATTTATTCCAAAAGTATTGCAGTATACTGATCAAGCAGCATCAGATAAGAGGTGGCCTTATAAAAGTATATCATGTTTAATTAGATATTGGTAAAGATGAGAAAAAAAAGTGACAACCACAATGTAGTCTATGTCAGTATTTGTACCAGTAGTGTTTTTGTTTTGTAGGCGCAGCAGCCCTCTCCGGGGCTGTCACACACAGCCTGTCTCCAGCTCTCCTGGCTGTAGAGATAACTGGCCAGTTCAGCCACGCCGTTCCCGTCCTCCTCGCCACCGTGCTGGCCAATGCCCTGGCTCGCTCGAGGCAACGCCCATCTTTCTATGATGCAATCTCTATCAGCAAAAAGCTCCCACACCTGCGCTCTCTGAAGAAAGCATTTCCCTGGTGAGTAAATACAGAGTCAGACTGCACAACAGGGGCGGGTCCAGAGGGATTCCTGGGGGGGGGGGGGGGCATGCTACAACTGGCCACCCAAGTTGCCACCTCAAATTCCTGAACTGTAATTGGCCGCTTACCCTGTCAGAGGTGGGACTTATGTTAAAACCAACTATTAGGTATTTTGTTGTAAAGGCTGCTGGTAGTTCTCTTCACATGTCAGTGTAACATATTTTCTTTCGCTTTAAAATATAAAATAAAAGCTTGGCACATCTTTTTCATAAGACCGGTGCATGAGAAAGTAATACATGCTGTCTTACTTGCAATAGCTAACCGGCAATGTGTCGGGACCAAAACATAGCAAGTTAGACAGTTTGCAGGAGTTTGCATTCAAATTATACCCTAAATTATGACTTTGAACATAAATCTTCTTTTTTTTGTGTCATTAAAAAATTCAGCTAATGTTGTCAGGTTAGAAAGTGTAAATAACTGATTTTCATTTGTGTGTGTTTGTGCGAACATCAGGCCACCCCTGTAGAAGTACAGCGCCCCAGTTGGGCCACCCCAATCAAAAAAGTCTGCACACGCCCCTGCTGCAGAAGATAATGATCAATAATAAGAGCCTTCATATAAAAAAAATGCTAGCGTCTTCTATCGAAACTTGGCATTTTAGTTGAGCATATGAAAGCACATTCAGCATTCAAATGAGCCGTTTTCAATTCAATACATTTAAAACCATATTGTTGCCTGTGTGCAGTGTGCACTCTCTACTTCTGCTTGATTTTCGTCTGATTGTCTGAACTGAGCACAGCTAGTGTTCCTAAGTCATGATTGAAACATGGAGATGAATGTTTGGATTTTGTGATTTTGAACGGCTAAAAAATCTCAGCAAGCGAGCCAAGAGACGCTGCATCCCCCTGGTATGAAGGACTCAATCATCCATCCTCAAACCTCATCTCAAATCACCCATTTCCTCTCAACATTTGCATTTAGAATAGTTTCTGGTTATGTTCTCATACATCTAATTTTCTCACTCACTTTTGGATTTAGAACAGTTTATCCAAAACAAATAATCTTTAATAAAAGAAATCCTCAGGACACATTTACTTATTACAGAAGGGATACCTGCTGATTTTTACTCTGCACTTTATCTATTGAACACATTCCATTATAAGGTTTGTCTTTGTACTGTAGGCCCAATTAATAATGTCAGCATTCGCCTTTACAAGTGTGACTGAAGGAGCATCAGAACAGATTGTGACATTTCTCATCGTACAAGCTGCTCCGAGTACAAATCCCTTGAAAGAACTGATTTAAGAAAAGTTTAGAGAGTATTGCTGAAGGTTACACCTCTTGTGTTTCTTTTTGCAGAGAGTTGTCTATAATGAAGCTATAAAATGCTAAGAAGCATAGAGTGAACCTGTGCTGTGAACAATAACTTTTTCTCCATGCTGCCTTGGTGATCGTATTCAGCATCCCCTTACATTTTTCTTTCTTCCTTATCTGTTCCTCACCACGAGGAAGTCATCCCCCAATAATAGAGAGAAATCCTCATTTCCCACGGCTTGAACTACTTGAAAATGTTATTCCTGAGGGTCTTTGGAATAACAAGAGGTTTCTAGTGCTGGTTTGAGGCTCTACCATGTAAAGGGTTAACAACAGGAGCTGCTGTCTTCTCGCTTTTCTTAAACACCATGAGAATAAACATTTTGTGTTGCCACTGTGATTCAAATTACAAGTTTTGTGAATCCTGAAAAGGAGGCAATACTTTTGAAAATGCTTTAACCTCCATACAAAGGGGTGTTTGAATTCTGAAATATTAAACCAGATGGCTAACAACAGAAAATACTTTGTACTTAATTTAAAAAAGTAGCCCAAGATTTATTCTGTTTCAAGCTTCTGTGAAAAAACCTTCATTGTGTTTTAATTTTCTGAAACACTGTTTTGAATCCTTTAAATCCTGTAGTTTGCTCAAATTGTTGACACACTGTGTCTCTTTCCTGTGGTCTCTCACTGTCAATTCATTTTTCATTTGTTCTGCAGTCAAATATTTTGCAGTTTTTCCTCTTTTCTGATACTATCCTGTAGTCGTTCATAACTCTTTAGTTTGGCCAAGTGCTGTAAGATTCAGCTCAGTAGATAGAAATATTCACCAGTGATGTGTCTTTCTAATTATCAGTAAACAACAGGAAAAAGCTTGGTAGACACTGGTTTATCATTACTGTTCGGTCTCTTTCCTGTGGTCTATCGATGCCAATTACATTTTCATTTGGTCAAAAGTGTTTGCTGTTTTTTCCTTTTTTTTTTATCCAGTCCTGAACATGACTGCTTAGTTTTCCCCAAAGATGATCCACAATTAACTCTCTTTGTACTTCTTACTGTCATCTTTGATTTAAAAAGTGTAAAGAAAGGCTCTTCAACGAGTGCTTTTAATCATCTTGCTACATAGATATAGTCAATCCTTTAAGTGATAGTCTTTTCTTGCTTTTGTTTGCCATATAGTGCCATTATAATTAAATCAAAACTGTGTCATAATCAGCTTAAATCTCCTCATAGTAGATTTACCTACTGCCTTTTTTTGTGTGACATGATTTATTTCCTGTGCAGGCTTCCCTTCACATCCATCAGTCAGGTTTTGAGAGCGAATCCTGTGCAGCTTCAAAAAGCAGCAGAGCCAGAGGAGGTTCAGCATGTTGTCAACACCTGCACGGATGCACAAATCCCTGTGGTGGACTCACACGGTATGCAGACAAAAGATATTCGATATTTGAATTCTAACCCAAGTCTTCTCTGAATAACATGTTGTGACAGCAGGATCCTTGAGACTTCCTCAGACACATGCTGGTCCTACGCTCAGTCATAACCCCACAAAGACTCAGAACATTAGAGAGGAAAATGATGAGAGAAATGATGAAAACTGTTACAAATTACAGCAGTTCAGCGGTGTGAAAGTGCCTCAATAAAGAGCGGACGAGTGTGAGAAAATGGTCAAATGACCAGCTGAGTCTTACAGTAATCACATGGATGAATTTTTCTGTCTGAAAATCGGCGACTCACAGCCCACTGGAGAGCTGCACGCCACGATCTAAACTGTAGCACCAATTGAGGCAAAGAAAAATTGATTTCCTCTCCTCCTTTCTGTTGAAGAGACGCAGATTCTGCTGGGGTTTGTTCTCCGATCAGAGCTGATGACATCCCTGAGTCACTGGAGGACCGAGGTAAAAAAAAAAAAGAACCAGGATGGAGTCAGACAGGTAGCTACAGGCTTCAGGAGAAAGTAGAGGAGAGAACTGCCTGATCATTCCTTTGAAAAACTGGTCATGTCTTTACAATCCATTTGACATTGACTGAATGTTAAACAGAAACACAAAATAGAGGGAGCAGGCTGTACAGACAGGACTCTGGCTCATGTAAAAGCCTATTCAATGACAACAAAGAGAAGAGAGAAGAGATGAAAATCTAAAATGCTTTTAGAAAACAGCGTTATTTGATTCAAGTGATGTCTGAGGATACAGTACAATAGAGAAACGATGAGCATGTATTTAGTTCAGTTTTGTTGATTCAGACCAAAAAACTCATCCGTTTTGCTGCTGTACAACAATAAAATAATGTTAATTCTGTTCTGTTCAGACTCCAGAGAAACACCTGGATGAGGTCTGCAGCATTCACCCGACATCCGTCCTGCTGTCACCTCAAAATACCATTCAGGAGGTAAGAAGACTTTTGGATTAATCCAAAAAAAATCAATTAAAAACATTAATAATAATAATAATAATAATAATAGAGGTAGGCATAGCAACAAGCTCTGAAAACCTTTGTTACACTTTTTACTGAGCATCAGACAGCAAACAGGCACAGTGAGGGGGGGGGAAGGCAAATTACCCAAAATGTTAGGTAACTGCTTCAAAATCAGTTCCTTCAAATCCACTTTCCTTTGTGTCCTCCGAGGCCCACAGCATCCTGAACCTCCTCGGAGCTCACACCTTGTTTGTGGCAGACATGGGGAAGCTGGTCGGGGTCATCACATGGCCAGAGGTAACAAGTGTGTGCATGTAGTGTGTGTATTCACTCACAAATACTTACAAATATCACCTGAAATGTTTTCTTATTTTGTTTAGCTTGATTGAGTTGTATTCCCCAATGTGGCTTCAGTCTCATCCAAATGCACTTTACAAACAGGACCACGTCCCTGCAGATCTGTTAACATTATGCAGACTGTGGGAGGCAAAATTACTACTTAAAGATTCAAAGCAGTGTCTCTCTCTTCTCTCCTCCTCCTCCTCCTCCAGATGACGGGAATATTAAAGGATTTAGTCAAAGAAATCTAAGCAGAAGACTCACAAGAAATAAGCCCATGCCTTGACCTTTTTAAGCAACCATGGATCCATCTCTGTCGGATTAGCCTGCATCTAATAATGATTTGGCTTCTTTACTGCCCAAGCATAACCATGTTTGCACATAAACACAACGGCCATCAGCTGAAGACTCCTACAATAAACATTTGTCAGAGATTATTATGATAATTAGCAGGATATTTTCCACAGAGGAGATTACAAATTATCTTCCCTATCTCATTCACCGATCCGCACTTGGTTATGGCGTTTTTACGATTGTGAAGAATGATATCCAGACAGGATGAAAACAAAAACAAAACAGGATGACAACAAGACAGGACCAAATAAAAAGCTTGTCAAACAGTTCAAACAACAGTTACTGAATTACTACAAAGCGGACCTCAGGTTAAAAACTGATTCTATCAAACTGAAAATTTCCTTCAGATAAGATATTAAAGACAAGGAACCTAGGAAGACCCCACCCCTCTTCCAAGGGGGAGGAGAGGGGGCTTCCTAGGTCACCTTGTTCCAGGCATAGGCAAACTGGCCTGTCTCTTAGGTGGAAGTAAAGCTATATGTGACATTTTAAACATTTATACTACAATGCAGATATCAAATATATCCTTACTAAATATATCAATAAGTCAGGTCATAAAAAAAAAGTGAAGTTAAACTCCCTCTGGGTTTGTTGTTCTCAGCTCTGTATTACCAATGGTAAGACGATGCTTCCTGTAGTTCGTTTATGCTTCACTTAGAGGCTCAAACATGCTTCATAAGCTGTTTTCACACATGCATTCCTGGCAATTTCTAGAGAATTTCTATCTCTAGTTGTTCACACATGCACCTCAAACCAGGAGACTATGCATGTCTGAAAGGAGGGGAGCGGGGAGGGGGTCTCCTAAGTCAGAACATGACGTAAAAAAGAACAATGCGGGAGGTTTTTCACCCAGACTTTATCCGGAGGTTCTCCTGCCAGCTCCCTTGAATTTTTTTCTGCAGAAAGTCCGAGTGAGCTGATGTGAGAATGCATCAGGAGAATCACCTTGAGGGAGTGGGAGGGGCTGATGACTTTGATGTCCTGCAATCAGCGCACGACCTTTTAGATTGTATGCATGCGACTGTTGCAATCATTGTGCTTGTAATTAAACGTCTGCATTATGTTTTCTGTTCGTCAGTATGTTCTTCTCCACTCTTTTGTTGATATTGTGTGAATACGTTGAACTACACATAGCATTAATACAAAGGCCAATATTCTCATTTTAGCATCATAAACCAGACTCCTGCAATTCTGTACAATTTTTCAGGAGTGCTTATGTGAAAACGGCTTTAGACCAAAAGTCAGTGTCTGATACCTTTATATTGAAGACATCAAGTTGAAACACCATCACAACTTGTAATTTAACACAATCATTATACATTGTTTTTTTCTGCTGACACATTTCTTTGCAGAGAGCAGAACTACTTCAGTTGTTGTTGCATTGCTGAAATAATTAGTGCTCAAATCAGTTGATTGTCCTGTTCAAGGGTTTTGTTTGTTGCCCAGCCTTTTGTCGACTTTTTGTTGGCATTGATTGAGCACCCTACAGAGTTGCACAAAGATAACAAAAGCGAGACTTGTCACACAGCGCAGCTTCAAAGCCCCAAAGAAACACTAAAACACCTTCAATCTCTCGCTCAGGCATGCTAACACACGTGCAGAATGTACTGTACAAACGACCACACACACAGGGCTCCATGTGTTTTTCTGCACGCCTCTTTCCTCTCCCCTCCCCTGCAGTGTCGCGCTCAGACTGAAAAAGTGTGAATAATAGCTAATCATAGCTTGGGCTCAGGCAGATAATTGGCTGTATGCTTTCGTCACACTACACTTCTTCTGCTTTTTGGATTCAGAAAACCTGAAAGAAGACATTTTCGATTTCTTTTTGTCACATTATTTCTACCTCAACAGTCTTCATGAGTCTTCATTCTTACTTATCCACATTCATCTGTCCTGTTCTTTGGTATGGAATAAGCGATAGAAAAAACAACTGGAGGACTTTATAGCACATTAAAATCTTTTATAACAATATATTTACAACACTCTCATTGGTTCTACCTTTAATATGAAAGTGTCTTATGTACACTGAATACAAAATGTAACAGAGAAACTATGTACATTGACAGAAGAAGACAGCTCACTCGGGGAGAGAACAGTTTTTAAATCTCCACACCAGAGACCTTTACAACTCTCTCAGACACGTCATCTGACAAATTGCTTCTTGAGATATTTCATACAAGTCTGCTGGTGGCTGAGGGTCACGTTCTCTTGGGGGAGTCTAGTTTGAGAGATTGCCACCATGATTGCTGGCTTGTTCTTCCATTTGAGTCTAGTTATAAAAAACGTCATCCTCTGATAGCGAGCTGCTGTCCACGTGTCTGACAGCAGCCTCTCCAGTCGCAGGGCTTCTGTCCCCAAAGGGTCGATCTCTGTCCTGCTGAGAGATGGACGTCGGGGAAATGAAGGAGTCGGCCTGGGGCACAGGGACCAAGTGGGACACCCTGCTGTCACCGTAAGCATGTGGGTGGATGCTGTACAGGTGCTGAGGAACGCTGATGCTTCCACTGTCCAGCAGGAACTGAGACAGGTAGTGATTCTGTGCAGCTGTTGAAGGACAAAAGTATATCAGTCAAATGGTGCTTCTTAAGAAACACAGAAAAAGTAAAGAGGGGCAGCCGAGTCCTAAACTTCTCACCTCAGCCTGATGGTATAGATTTAAAAAAGCTGCAGCTAAACAATGTAATATCAACACTACACATCCATTTGGCACTATGGATTAAATAAAAAAGATACCATTACTTTGAACCACCTGCTGCACAGTCAAGCTCTTATCATTTTTGCAAATGGCTTTAAATCTAATAAGAAATGTATTGAAGTATAGAAAAAAAACATTTAAAATTCACATGGAGCATAATTTTAACACCAACACACAATGATGAGGTCATTTGGAAAAATGTGGGAATACTACAAGTGGGGCAAAGCCAGTGTCACTGTCAATGGGGGAGGGCGGTGGGCTGTAAAATGGCAGTTTTGATGACTCTCAATTTAGTTGCAAGGTGGTAAAAGTAAGCCATAATTTAAGAAAAGTTTGTTTTTTACTTTAAAAGCAATGTTTACTGAGAAACATTAGGAAGCCAAAATGCTACATTTGCACTTTGCTCAAAGTATGAATGAAGTTAAACTCTATTTATTAATTCTGCATATAAATAAAGAAACAGGACTGGATTTTGGCCTCATTAACTTGCAGAGGGCTTTATGCAGGAGAACAGTCTGTGTGGAGCGTAAAAAGGGGGGAACACGATCCACCATAATGTCATCCAGAAGTGGTTCCAAGTATCAACAAGGACTAAATGGAATTAATCAGTCTCTCTCATAATTGTTCTCTTTTGCTTTCGTAAGTCATAAAGAGGCAGCAATTTTAATTTCAGTCTGTTTCATAGCAGGAACTTTGAACTTTGACATACATGTGATTTATGTACCTGACCCACCTTGTAGGCTGGTGGACGGCTGCTCTAAGCCGTCGTTCATCGACCATATGTTCATAGCTGCCTCAGCCAGAGCAAACTGCTCCGCCACTCCTGTGGAACAAAAAACACACCAATTCATTTTATGCTGCTCTTCTCTGAAGTCAAATTGTTTTTAACCTCCATGTCTAACACCATCACAAACAAAGGGAAATCCAATAAGTGCACTACATTCAAGTCTGTGTCGCAGGTTCCATATTGATTTTTGTGGATGCTCTCTTAGAACAAGGCAATCAAACAAGAACAGCACTCAGAGGGAGCTGAGCATCACTTCACCTCCTCTAAACACACAGCTTGTTTTCCCTTGAATTAAATTCCTCCTCCTGTCTCACCTGCAGCGAAGCGAGCTTCCTTGATCTCGTCCGTCATTTGGGAGTAGAACTGTTCATCCTCCTGCAGCTCAGCCCCAATCCCCCCCCCAGCCTCTGCCTCCTTTACCACTGCCCCCACCTCCTCTGGCCTCACCACCTCCGCCCCAGCCCTTCCACTCAATCAGGTGGGCCACTCGCCCCTGGGCCATCGCAGTCGGCTGGGTGATGCGCTCCTTTATCGTGGCCACCAGTCCTACGTATGGGCGAGAGAGGGAGGAATACATCTTTATAAATTGATATTAAATAACAGGTAACCTGCTTGAAAAGATGGGGAATACAGTTTGTGTGATAGCAGAGAAACGAAGGGGATAATCTAAGGAAAAGAAAAGTTCAAGGGGGTGGATAAATGGAAAGAGAAGGGCATAGAAATGCCACAGATGGAACAGGAGTATTAGAATGAAAAGGGGCTCTTACAAGAGGAAGAATCATGAAATGGTGATACCAATTCTATATCTTTTGAGTATAATTTTGACTTTGAAGGTGAGCATATTCTCCTGATTTGCATAACCTGAACCATGAAATGAGCTCATCTACTGCTTCCTTCTGATGTAGAGCTCAATTGAAAAAAAAAATGAGTTAAAAAAAAAAAAACAGTGTGACTGCAACCCGGGGATCTGTGGAGGATTCTTCATATTTATGTTTGTCACCGACAGCACTGAATAAAGCTCAGCTGGATATGAAACCTCAAAAATTACCTGATTGAAGTTCACTTGCCATTTTTTTTTTTTTTTTTTTTACATCCTTTGTCTCTTTACAACCATTTACACAGTTACAGTGCCCTTTATATTTACCTTGTTTTTTGACTGAACACAATTATTTTAAGCTTAAATACTCAAACAATGTAATGAGCTAAGGCCTTTCAGGTTCTAAACATGTGTGTCCTTTTAGTGCTGACTTTACCATATGTACTGTGGAACATCATGAGCAGACGCACTCCAAAATTGATGTTGCTCTTTTTATACGTCAGTGAATATCCTGGTTTATTTAATCTCAGAAATGTACCAGGTCAGAGCTGGTAGTGTTGCAAGACCACAGTAACGGAGACCGAGACAAATCCAAGACATTTAGAGATCGAGACTGAGACAAGACCAAGACTATAAATATCACTGAAAAATCATCATCTTGTCTGCAGCAGATGTGTCATTCACATATGCAGGAATGTTGCGTCTGTTACTGGGGGACAAAAATCAAATCTTCAAATTAGAGTTTAATCATTTCAGTAAAAACATCCCCTTTAGAAAGAGGCATTTTCCCTCTAATCACAGTGATGAGGTGGAAAAATAGCCATCAGTGGTGATCTTCACTGGTCTTGATTTATTTTGGGGCTTTTTGTGCCTTTAATTGAGAGATAGGACAGTGGATAGATTCATGGGGGACGCACTCTAACCACTGCTCCACCAGACCAAGACCGTCAAAAAGTGTTCTCTAGACCGGTCTTGAGACCAAGACTCATTTCAAGTACTACAACTAAAACATGGATCAATATTCTTGTTGTTTTAAACCCTAAAGCCAAGTCAAGTGTTCAGGGAGTCCTAGTCTTAAATTCAAATGTAACCCACAGTTCTGATCCATCACGGTGTGAGGAAAACAGGGAACTGGACCCAACTGCAATAACCAAAAAAGAAAACAATTTATTTTAAAACTAAAAACAGCAAAAACTAGGAGAAACAAAGTAGAGCACAGATAAGAAACCACTGGGAAACATTGGAACATCTGACATAGAATGACAGCCGACAAACAACGATCTGACACAGAGAGACTAAATAGACACAGGGGTAATCAGACACAGGTGAGACTAATGACACAGGTGAAGACAATCAGACTGAGGGAAACACACAGAGGCAGGAATAACACTAAGAAACACTGAGGACAACTACAACATGAATCATAAAACACTGAAGACAGAGAAACTCAAGAATGTAACATCAAGACACACTAGAACATAGAGAAACACTATAACAGATTATAAGATAAAACAGGAAACACTGAAGATCTAACTAGGAAACATTAAAATAACACACAAGGGAAAGAAGCTACACCAGGGAAGAAGGATAACTAAAACAAATCCGAAATCTAAACTCTGAAATACACAACTAAACGATACCAAATTATGACATTATCATTCAAATTTAAATCTATCTGTTCTTTTTGTCCTTAATGGACTCTTTTTGAGCAGCACCTAATAAAAGTTCTGTGTTCCTGCATCTCTGCGGTAATATGTTCTCCATCATTCATTAAACCACCATCACAAGAGAAAAAAGGGTAGAGAGGTCCAGGGAAATAAAGAGATGAAGAGAGCGTGACAGCGAGCAGAGGTCATATTTCAGAACAGGTCAGTTATCCAAAGTTTGAAAAGGCAAAGGTGGAACGAGAGGAAGAAGAAAAGTACACAAAAAAAGGGAGAAAATGTCAGGACCAGGAGGAGAGAAAGAGAGAGGGCAACGAACCGAGAGATGAGAAAAACAAGGAGCAGAAACAAAAAAGACAGAGCCGAGAGAGCCTGCAGCCGGTGCAAATAGAAATAAAGAAAAACATCACGACATGTTCTTTTCATCTGAACTCAACACCTATGAGACCGTTCACCGTGTTGTGACACACACTGCTGTCTCGCCCTGCGTTCACACTGTGATGACTCTGTCGTGGTTGACTGTGGATGGCGAGGAAGCCATTCTGCATCCATTATGGTTATCTGCAAGCAGCAGGAGAAAATCCCATTTGGTTTCTTTTTAAATTGGAGATTCTGGACTGACTTTCCACTCTGCAGAGTGAAACGGATCAAATCATATTAATTTCACTCAGAACACTACAGAATTATCCCGTGTTGAATGTGTTTCGTTTGATGCAGACGATGACGAGAGGAGAACACTCTCTGGATTCATGGGCTTGGTGAAGATAAACAGTATGTAAGATGCCTTCTGTGTCTTATGTTTGATTAAAGAATATAACATAAGCCTCGTTCACACATGCAATCCTGTCAATTTTGAGAAAACTTCAGGACAGCCTGCCACAGACAGTTTCAAGAGTTGCCCTTTCACACATGCCCCTCACAGTGGGAGTTTTTCCCTTGTAAAAAGCACTCAGCAAAAGTCGCAGTCAATTTGTTTACCTGCAGTAAGAAAAATTCAATGTACTGTGTCAGTACGACTAAATACTGGACTTTTAAAAGGCATGTTAACATGGTTGATCTCTGTCCAACAGTCCCCACGCTTTGTTTTGCCTGAGAAGTCGAACAGCATAAATATGTAGCATAGCAGAAGTCGCATTGTCGTCCTTCATATCCTAGTGTTTCTTTATGTTCTAGTGTGTTTTGTTTCATTCTTGAATTCTGTGTGTCTTTAGTGTTTCATGATTTAGTTTGTAGTTATCCTCAGTGTTTCTTGTATTCCTGCCTCTGTGTGTTTCCCAGTGTGATTGCCCTGATTATCCTCACCTGTGTCTTGTTAGTCTCACCTGTGTCTGATTACCCTAGGTCTATTTAGTTTTTAGTCTCTGTGTTTCTTCCCTTCTGTGTCAGTTCATTGTTGTTAGTTGCCAGTGGTGTTAGTCATATGTTGGAGTGTCAGTGTTTCTTAGTGTTGCTCAGTGCTTGTCAATTTTTGGATTTTCTTAGTTTGGACATTTTGATAGAGAGTTTTAGTTTTTGCCTTTTTGTTTAAATAAATATTTTTTGTTAGATCTGCATCTGGGTCCTCCTCTTAGTTTTTCTTGAACCGTGACACTTCTGTCAATAAATCCATCCTCCCTTGGTGCATACTGGGACAGTACTCCAATTAAAGGGATAATCAAGCTGTAACTGTAGCTTGAATTTATTGTGGATGTTGAAGGGGCTATATGTAACTTTTTATATGTATAAATCGTTTTTTTTTATTGACCATTAATAAGTGAACGGTTAACTGATGTGAAAAAATAGATGTTCACTGTCTATGTGTGTTGCCTCCAACAACAAGTTGCTCCAGGAAATGACATTTTATGCACGTTCTTAACGTCCTCCTCACTCTGCTCCGCTTACACAGATCAACAGTACAAACTCATCACACACTCCTGGTCTTCACCTCCACAGCCAGAGGTCGTCTTCCACACACTTCTATCCACCCTAGGAGCTCTCAAAGGCGGACAAACTCATCACACACTCCTGCTCTCAGCCAGTGCCTGCAGAGACTGTCGTTTGTAGGATGGAGAATGAATACAGACACACAGACTCCTTCACAGACTTTCACATGTTTATGACCACTTACCTCCTCTGTAAACATTATGTCGGTAAATATTGAGTGTTTCGCGGCCGATGATGATGCTCGTTCGTGTATGTACAAGCACGTATGACGAGCACACGAGGGAGAGCGTGCAACAGGTTACTGGTGCAGTTCACCTAACGGCCATGCGGTGTTGCTACAAACGCAGTATTTTTGAAAGTTACATATAGCCCCTTTAATGTTCTGAATGTATTGAGCTGGGGATCAAACCCCCAACCTTCCTGTTAAGAGACGACCGAATCTACCAACTGATCCACAGCCGCCCCCTACTGGTCGACTTAAGAATGCGTCAGATGCTTTGACACATTGATTAGAATAAAGTTTGAGAGCACATCAAACCTGTATTATTGTATCCCGATCAGTTGTAAAATTGACCCACATTGATCTAGTTTTCTCCACAGTCCACACTGCTCTCCAGCTTTGATTTCTCTGGGGGTTATTCATGGTTCAAGTCCGTCACTGCTTGAGTCCAACAACAGTTCAATGCAACATGTAGTACTTATCAAATGTACCCCCTTATGATTAGATTAGATTAGAAAACTTTATTGATCCCCAGGGGGGAAACTCATTTGTCACCTGGTCAATTCATACACACAACAAACAATATTGACAGTACATCACAATACATAACAAGAAAATAAATAACGAACACCACTGAAACCATTTGAATAATCATGTACAGCCATGAGTCAGAAACACAACTAAAAATGTTCATTAAAATATCGGACTGCTGCAGGAACAAAAGACCTCCTGAGCCGTTCAGAAGAACATTGTGGCATCACTAATCGCTCACTGAAGGAGCTTCGGAGTCCGTTAAAACACTATGTAAAGGATTGCCTTCAAAGATCAAAACAGTGATGTTTGTCAAGTAATGATCTCAAGTGAGTCTGGGGTAATGCAAATCACAGAGCCATCTTTTTTTAATCAGCATATTGATCCAGTTTTTATCATCCACACAGATGCTGCCACCCCAACACAGCACCGCATAAAAGAGGACACTAGCCAAGATTCCCTGATAAAAAAACATAAAGAAGACTCTTGCTAATTTCAAAGGATCTCAGCTTCTTTAAGAAAAAAAGTCTTGACTGTGCCTGTGCCTTATGAGTGTAATTAAATGTTGTTTTCCATAATTATTATTAATTATTCCCATGTTGGCTGGAAGATAAGAAAGCACTGACATCAGCTCCTACAGGTTTTATAACATTGCATGTTGTCCATCTGTCTCTGTTTGTTCTGTTTCCTCTCAACACGCAGAGGTGAGTCATGCTTCACTTATTCCACTTTAACAGTACGTTATAGTCCTATAAAGATTGAATTATTTCCAACTGACTCCAGTTACTTTATTAAACTTCTAACCTTTGTGTTTACTGTAACAACACGATTGCACGCCTGGGAAATCCAATAATTATTCACGGCAACCAAGAGAACTAGTGTATTATAATAAACTGATGGGCTCATAAATCTTGGTCACGGCTGTCACAACATTGCAAAATGAGATTTTTTTCTTTCCACTTCCAGGCTTATTTTTCAAATAGATTACTTCAACTGAATAAGAACAGCGTTTGCAACAAATTGAACTACAGTAAGAATGACATTATAGCCAATAGGGCCCCCCGTGCACAGCCTATACATTCTCAGGGGCGCACGGTTGCAGGAACATACCTTGAAAAAGAAATCGAAACTCCATGGCACACTGAAAATAACTTGACTGTATTTTATTGTGAGCGGCCTGTAGCTTCCTCAGGTTCGCCCTGCACAATCACAGGGCATACACAAGCAAATTCTTCCTTTAATAATCACTATATGAGCTCAGTGACCATATCAAATATTCACCATTTGCATCATTTTTGTCAACTGCTAACTGCCAACTTCCAGTCAAGCACAGCCTATACGACTGAATCACAGCAGTGATGACATCACTCGCTCTCTGTGATATCGCTTAAATATGCAGCGGGTCGATGTGTTGCAGTTAGCTCAGTCGTTCCAAACTTTTCTTTGGCTCATGACTTCACTTTGACTTCTCAAAACTCTGGCTACCCCAGACATCCAAAACACCTACAGTACAGCTTTTTGCTCAAATTAATTTTCTTTCAGTCACAAAATAGGTTTCCTTCTGTGCTGCAAGTAAACATTAATTTTAGAGCACATTTAGGCTTTTTGTGTTTATTATTGTGGACAGAGGAAGAAAGGCTGGGATGACACTTCTGCACATTAAAAGACAGATAGACAGAGACTCTGTAAATGTCTGGTTTTGGTACTGGCTAATGGCCCACAGTAGCCTGTGTTCAATATATTTAAATACATATTAAATATTTGATTGATCAATAAATAAAGATTTCAGGCGACCCCATTTGAATTCCACCTGACACCACACGGAGTCAGGACCCCAAAGTTGGGAAAGCCTAAGTTAGATGTTGTGGTGAAACACAAATTGACACATGATGAATGTAATAGATTTAAAATTAATGTCTGATACAGAGATGCAACAATTCCTCCAGATTGGGACATCAATGTTTGAATCATATTTCAAGACAATTATCCAACAACTCTCCAGACTTTTCAAAGACTCAAATGTCAGCATGCTGGAGGTGATAAGGAAAAGTCTTAAGGCGTCATCCTCTGGGGAATGTGAATATAAGGACAAAACTTTAAGATGAAAAACATGAATATACTTTTTGGGTGTTCTGTTTTAGGTTAAATAAACAAACATTTTGGGGAATCTGATGAACATTTTACTTTCTAAGTGCCGTAAGCACAACTTAAACATGTCTGCATGATATTACTTTTTAACATGATTGAATTTGTTCTCAGTATTGAGTTAACAACATATGATTCTTTTCAAGCTGTTAGGTTGTCAGCTCTACTTTGTGGCAGCCAAACTCCAGAACTTGCTTCTCCAATTAAAGTGATGACTGACAGGTGATTAAGTCTGAGTAAACGCTAAGAAGCGTTGATATTTTCCACTGGACTGATTCTGTCGCTCCTACAGCAGGTGTCAGCCTCTCCGCTGTCTGCCTGAATGTCTGTATTTGTCTAATATAGCCATAATTACACTGTCAGGGCTACAAAGGACCTTTCACTGGGGAAAGTTCAGCAAAGCATAACACATTAAGTCACATAATTAACCTCCCGCAGAGCGAGGGAAGCAGTCAGGAGGAGGCTGGCAGACTCAGGATGGGGAAAGGGGATGACAAAAAGGGTGAGGCAAACATGAAGAGAGGGAGGCAGAGTCAAAAGTGGAGCAGAAATTGAAATGTGAGATGGAAATGTGTTCATGTAGCAGGTTGTTTACCTCATATCTCTCTGGTTATGTCGCTGTTACACGTGTGACAGCAAAAAGGGCACGAGACAGGAGGGAAATCACATTACCTACCGCCCATGGTTACTAATGCAATTTCCAAGCTTGCTCTTTTCCAAGTCTCATAAGTTGGATTCATAATGAAACACAACATGAGCTACACCTGTTTATTTGTGTGTGTGTGTGTGTGTGTGTGTGTGTGTGTGTGTGTGTGTGTGTGTGTGTGTGTGTGTGTGTGTGTGTTTGTGTCTCACCAATCAAAGAGGAGGTGGCCAGCTCGCCTATGTCATAGCGGCTGCTTTTATCTGCCACACTGCCATTGGAGGGAGTCTGCCCGTCCTGCACGATATGATGCACATGAAAAAAAGAGAATATAACATCTTCATCATAGATGTTTTTCTGCAGAGAACCAAGAAAAAAGCCTAATTTTAGCGTGTTGTCCCTGTGTGTGAGATATTTCAGGTTGGTTTAGAATATGTTTTAAATTAGATACATTTTTAACACACCTAACTAATAACCATAAACACTTAAATCACATTTGCATGCATTCTCCTCGGTCAGTTACGTTTAATGTGTGACGGCTCAATCCACACATTTCTTCTTTCAGGGGAAAAACAGTGATAATGACAACAACAGACAGCTGTTTGAAATTCCTGCAGCATTCACACTCAGACTGAATGAACTGTTGAGAAAGGGTTTTTCTTTTATCTCAAAGCCATATGTTACTTACACTCAAATATCTGCAATCAGAATGGAAAGCACTTCTTGTTTAATTGTCTTCCTTTAGGATTCTCTATCAGAGATTTAAAATCCTGCAAGCTTGTTGACAATGTTTCAAGTAAAATGTTGTAACAAACAGATGTTGTTCCAGTTTAAACTGATGCAAATAAAATCAGTGCAAATGAAGATTCAAGGACATTAAATTAAGCAAAAAAGTCAAGCAAAGTTTATGATCTCAGTCAAATAAATGTTGTCTGTTTTTCATATTAGCACATTGCTGCTCATAATCTGCACGATTAAACACTTAGAATAATTCATTCTGCAATAAATCTTTTACTGTCTTCATCTCACAATCTACCAGAATCTGTTAATGTATTACAAATCTATTTCCAAAAACAGAAGACCCCAAACTATTGAAGAGCTGAAAACCTACATCGAGCAACAATGAGAAAACAGTCCACTTGCAAAGTGACAGAAAATTTTCTCCTCAGTCCCAAACAGTGTGTCATTTCACCTGTGTTTATTTTACTTTCATTTTGTGCAGACAACACTCAAAGTGTAGTTTCATCCACATGGCAGAATATTTTCTCATATCTTATTTATTATTAATGCAGAAAGTTTTCATTTGAATGTCCCATATTTCAGGATATCCTTTTAAAGATTTGATCTAAGAGGGGGGATACATAACATTAAAAGAAAACCTTAAGAACAACTTTTCCATTTCTCTGAATAATCCACTTCCCAGCTCATACAGGGACTCTTCTGCTGGAAAAGATCTCCACTGATTACTGTTGTAATTCCGAAAAACAAAACCCTTAAATCCCACACGTTAAAAGTTATAAGCTCTCTAAGAAACCTACAAGTCGAGTCGAAGGTTTACTCACTTTGGCGGTGGATGGCTGTCCCTCCACGTTCTGGTCCTGCAGGACTGTCATGGGATGTTGAAGCTCTGAGGGGAATAAGAAACAAAAAATTCATACTCTACACATGTTTCTTGTTTGTGTGTTGATATTTTTAGGCCAGGGTCATAGATGGTGGTATGGATTGACTAAAAAGATGGACAACATGTCAGCTCCCAAACAGTCAAGCCAAGACATTTGGAGCTCCCCCTACTGACTGGCTGCAGTATAGGTCACAAGCTCTGCCTCCATGTCTCCATGTTAACAGGTGGGACGTAGGTCCAGATATAAAATCAAAAAACACATCACATTTATTTTTGTCGGGGCCCCAGCGGCCTGGTGGTTAGTTTGTGTGCTTAACTTAATTTTTTACATAAAATACCAATACATGGTTCTATGCTAATTTGAAAGTCTTTAAAAAAACATAAATGTAGTCTCAATGACTTCCCCATAAGGTTTTCTAAAGCCCAAATATGGTGGTCGACTCTGTGAGTCAACTCAGCCACACCCACAGATATGCATATTCATGAATAATAGCCTTAATACAATCAGAACGGATGAAATATTTTTTAAAAATGATTCCAGGCCAGATAAAGAAATGAACCAATGATACCAGATTAATTTAGTTTCCTTTAAACATATTTCTTTGTGGTGTAAACACTTTGAGTATCTGCAGTACTTTGCACTACCACACATGGCTTCATTTTACTAAAGGTTGGCTGATTCATGTCCATGTGTGACATTTTCGGAGAAGTTTATTTTTTAATTTTTTTATTATTATGATGGTATAGAAAGAGTTCATATGCCATGATTGACCGCTCTGTTGACAAATGAAGCTTCTGCATCGCTGTGTGCACCGGTAGTAGAGCGGTGAGAGAAAACGTACCAAACTCTAACACAAGAGTTATTTAACGTTCCATAACTGTAAGTTTCTGATTCAAATGGACAGTCTAGTGCACAACTTTGCTCCATAAAAAAGGTCAACAGTGCAATATTACTGTGCCCATAACAGGTTTTTCCTTTTTGCTTCACTTTTCTATTCATTTTTTTTGAGGAGGCCAATTGTCTGTGTACCAAAAGAACAGTTTCATCTATCATCCAGGGGTCAAGCAAGGCTTCCTTTGAATAGAAGGGAAAGAATGAGAGAGAATCCTCACACAGTCATTAAACAGTGTCTTCTCTGCTTATTTGCTTCATAATTGATGGTGGGTTTCATGTGAATGACGAGAGGGAATGAATGCAGGGCGGAGAGATGGAGAGTTAACATTATTAGAAAGGTCAGTGGACACACACACACACACACACACACACACACACACACACACACACACACAGGAATACACACACAGACACACACGGACACACACATATGCTCGGGGTTTCCCTCAGGAGGTGATGTCAAGACAATTGGCGGTCGCTATGGAAACCCAACAGCATAAGGAGGAGAGTGATACCCTTCCATTTACTTAAGTTCTGGTCCCCAGCACACACACACAAATGTTTGTGGTCTCTGGCCTCATCACATGCTATTAGCTGGTAAATAAACACATCATGATTGCTGGAGCACACTGATGTCCTTGTCCTTGTGGGGTTAAATCACACCCTGATTCACCCTTTGCCACAGACTCTCATATTCCTCTTATCTGCTCATCTGTGGCCTCTCACAGCTGCCTTCCTGCTTTCTTCCCAGCTTGAAAGCGTTGCACTCAGTCCCCTCCACCTTGTTAAGAGGTACCCTTCCCGAACAAAAGCTGCCTTTGTCTCATCATTTATTTCCAGACTGAATCGCAAATACAGGCTGAAAATAATGTGAGAAGACAGTGGGATGTAAAATGTAAATGAAAAAGCTGAGTCACCTCAAATGAACTTTTTTCTCTGTAGTGTGTCTGTGGGTTTTTCTTTACACAAACCCAGTGTTCTTCCTAAAAGGCCCTGCTTCCAGTTTGTTTTACCCAGACTGATTTGGATGTAACACACTCTACCATAAATGTACCTTGAGAAAATATGAAAGAAAATATTGCAACCCAAGCCACGTAATTCAGTCATGACAAGTTGGGAATGATCCTTGCATTGAGCTGTCATATCCTGAAGCCACTATTGTCCTCTGCTGATCCTCAAAATCCCTCTCATCGACCTGTTTTCGCCTCTGAGTCTCATATTTAAAGCCATCTCCACGGATTCACTCGGAGCAGGAATAGCAGGGAAAGTGCAGATGAAAACAAGAATTCGGCTGAGTCATGTCATGTCATGCCATATTTTGTGCAAGTTACTTATAATTCCTCTAAAGGACTCACATCATAAACATTTCTGTTTGTGTCTCAGATGGTCTTACCCTCTATTTCAGTTGTGACACCTCAGGGATAAACACAATCCCCCAAAAACATGATGCAACTTTCTGACACACTTACTTCCTGCAGGATGACCCAAACATCAAACACAATAAACACATTCACAGACACTGACACAGACACATAATCAGGTGGGACTGACCTTTGTGACCTTTGCAGAGGCAGGCACCCATGGTCTCAGGTCAGCCGGGTGGTTATCTGTTCACCATGGTGTCCTCAGGGATCAGGAGCGGGTGACAAGGAGGAAGAAGGAGAGCAGCAGGAGTCAGTCAGTCAGGAGAGGAACAGGGAGAAGTGAGGAGCTGAGGCGGGGGGGGGGAAGTAAAGAGCAGGTTCACACTGAGCTGTAGGCTGAGGCACTGAGGAGAGAGAGGTGAGAGAGAAACACAAAGTGTGGGGAGGGAGGAGAGAGAGAGAGAGATGGAGAGAGAGAGAGAGGGAATCAGGGAGAAAGCACAAATGCCTGTTTGCTGACGATTTTAAATCCCCTCCCCTCTTTTTCTTCTAATCTCCTCCTACTCTATTCTTCTCCATATTGCTGTTTATAGCAGACTCTCTTTCTATGTATAGATGGATAACAGCTTCAGTCTCAGGTGCATACTCAGAGTGACTGAAGGGTTCATGGGTTAAAACAAAAATAAGGGGCACCAGCTGCATGCAGTTGGATACCAACATGGAAAAAGCTGTGAATGGATTCATTTATGGTGAATCACATGCAAGTTGTTTTCCTTCATGTAGGGCAGCATGCATTGAATTTTTTCCAATGGAAGAGCACCCTAGAGTGGTCTGCTTTATTTTTATCCACTGCCAAAGTAGGCCACCAAAGAGGAATCTTAAGCATGTTTTATTTATCTTATGTGAAGCCAGGAGGGCACATTAGCAGGATTTTGACAGCAATAGTGTCAGACATGGAAATGGAGACCCTCACCTGGACCATATATTCTTGCCATGTCACATGTCAATGCAAATTCATCCATCACAGCATTTGCATGCCAAATGATCCATAACCCTGAGCCTTATTATCTGTCTCTCTACAAACGAATGCTGAACAAGAAGCTGATCCTCAAAGACCTGGAGTCCATCGATCCAGAGTTTTACAACTCACTGATCTGGATCAGGGACAACAACATGGAGGAGTGCGGTCTGGAGATGTATTTCTCCGTGGACAAGGAGATCCTCGGGAAGATCACGTCCCATGACCTCAAACCTGACGGGACCAATGTCCTCGTCACCATGGAGAACAAGGAGGAGTAAATCAGATTTTACAAATAAAGATAAGAGCTTTAAAGATCACAACTTTATTGGTTCCAGCCTGTAACCATGTGTATATCTGCATGAAAATATGACCTTAATATAGACTCCAATGGGGATTCCTTGGCTTTTGGAGCTAACCTCAGATGGACATTGCAGTTTTTTGCACTTCCAGTTTTTGCTTCATTTTCAGCACTGGAGGTTGCAGCTTGACTGGGTTCAATATGTAGGGACGAGAAAGACTTCTGGAGCTCTTTAGAACAGACAAACATGTCGTGTGCATGACAGTCAACAAGACTCATGTAGGCCTACTGACACACTAACAGACCAATCCTTTTTTTTGATTCAGAACCCTGAGATGTTGTCTGTGGTTTTATATTGAGCTGGGTAATAATGACTAACACAAGGCATGATGTCAACACAGACAATGTCTGTCTGTCTGTCTGTCTGTCTGTCTGTCTGTCTGTCTTTCTGTCTGTCTGTCTGTGTGCCTGTCTGTCTGTCTGTCTTTCTGTCTGTCTGTCTGTGCAGCTCACTCTGAAAACTTCAGGAGTTGTTTAGGAGTTTTGTACAAGTGCGAACAAAGCTATGCATAAAGAATGGACAAAAAGTGTTTAGTAACCTGACTTTTAATAACTTTTAGAAGTAAACATTTATATGTCAAAATTAGGCATTGATGCATGTATTACTAAATAAAACAGGAGATCTAAATCTGATTATTACGCTTCACTGATGCCTCTGGTGCCAACGGGTTTCACATATATTAGGATGCAAGACACATGATGTCTCCCCTCCATAAACATACAAACTACTTCCAATAAAGTCCACACTGGTGGACATCATAACATACTTTTATAGCATGCTGTGTCTCCTGACCTCATTCGCTCAGACAAACACACACACACACACACACACACACACACACACACACACACACACACACACACACACACACACACACACACACACACACACACACACACACACACACACACACACACACACCTGTAATAAAACTATCAGACACATTAATCCTCCCTTGCCCTAGGTTGTTGTCTCTGTTTGTTTCAGACTCCTCCTGCTGTGAATGCTGGGAGATGTAATGAGGGCTTTGGTGACATCACCTCCTCCAACTGTGCCTTAGCCTCTTCGGAGGAGGAAAATCCTGTTGCCATGGCGACCGTGTCACTCCATGGTTCTAAAAGCCTCTTTTTCTTAATTCATCAGGTGGAGATAGGAGGCAAAGTTACATTAGATTAATAGAGAGAGGGGAGAATGGTGCTGATAAAGTTAAATAAAGCAGACCCCTTAAAAATAAAAATAAAACATCTCAGCTAAATTAGAAAGAGCTGAGTAATGTGTTGATTAATATGTCGCTGTAATTTAATTTGGCCAAGGCTTAGATTATTGTGTAAAATATTACTTTCAGCACTTTTTTATCACTACAACCACTAAGAATGCAGACATGCACTCCCAACAATTTCCGAACAGGCTGCAATCTGAAATTTTCCCATATTGCTTCACACTCAAACAGTGTGAAGTTAACCCCGTTGGAAGGGAGGAGGTGCACAATGGGCGGGGGTCTCAGTAAACAAGACATGGCATACAAAAGGAATTTGGAAATCCAAGACTGTGGACAAAGTGACAGAATTTAAAACTATAATGACATTGTTTGAATTTATATTCATGTTTTGTATAATTTTATATAATTCCATATTCAACAAGCAAGTGAAAAGAGTATGAAGCTACTTCAGAGCAATGGCATCAGTTTCTCACTTGTTGTGTGTTTTATTAATGTCATCGTCCTGACCTACTCACTCGCAGTGAATTTTCCTGAATATATTTTGTGCTGATTTCACACATCGACTCACCTTGACTTCACAAGGAAATGGGGCTGGCTCAAATAATTCCAGGGTGAAAAATTTGCATACACCTATGAAGCTCACCCTGAAAAATGTGTAGTGTGTTAAATGTGTTAAATCCCCACAGGACTACTGAAACTCTGAAATCTAAAATGTGCTGAAGAATTCCAGGACCACTTTCAAGAAGCAGGGGTTTCTCAAAGATCCCTTGAGTACTTCTGAAATGATTGTGGAAAAAAGTCAAAACCAAAAAAAGTAAACAAGAACCTATAAAAGCCTTTAGACCCTGGAAAAGCATCAAGGGGTTCATGAGGGAACCAAAAAAAACCTAATGTAACCTTTAAAACCTTCAGAAATATCCCCCCTCCCATTTCATGTTATTGTGAATCTTTAAAGTGTCTGGAGACCTTTGTTTATTCAGACTCTTTACAGTGAAACAACCCGCTGCTGTAGAGGAGGAGGCTGGTAAGGAGCAGTCTGACCTCTTGTGGTGAAAAAGCGAAACTGCAGCATATCTTAAAGAAGAACACAAGAGGCAAAAGTCAAAACTCTACACATTTCTTCATTTTACAGCAGAATCACAGCCAAGAAGGGAGGACCCAATTGGAATTCAAAGAGATATTGTTCTTATTATGGCAGTATTGGCAAATTTTGGAGGAGCTCAAAAACTCACAAAACTTGGCAAACACATTAAAAGCGGCCAAAGTCTTATATTTCATGGGCCTTGTGAACAACTCTGGAAAAATGGCTCCAAAGCACTCCTACATATTTTTAAAAAATGTGGTCTAAAGGTCAGTTTCAGTTACATCATGTGTGACATTGAGCGTGCACATCAACCATGTCAACACCCACGTAAACATCGTTTTTTTTTCTGGATTGTTTTTGCATTTGATCGATTTTTAAACAGCCACATGGTCAACTCAGGTGGGTCAGTAGGATTACAGAAAAGATCATAGGAAAGGTGTTTCATAAATAATTCAGCCATGCAGGAGAAAGGCTTCCCTAACCCCCTCAGGGTCTGTCCCGGCCTCTCACCTTGCATGTTGCAGAAAAGTCGAATTCCTTGCCTGTTGGCTGAACACATTTGCTGTCAGATGCACAAAGCCTTGTTGTCCTTGCATGCTCTCCAAACATCTACTGTCTCTCGTCTGTTTGGATTTTCCATTAGACAAAATAAATCTTGAATTTCAGAGGATGAGACTTTTCGGGATTTTGCATAGTAGCTGAAAAGGGAGCTGTAGGAATGTTTGACGTCCACACACACACACATACATACACAGCGATGCTCTTCATTGGGAAGCCACAGACATTCAAGCGACTATCATTTCTGTGGTTTCCTCGAGCCAAAAGACGCACTTAGATGCTTTTCAATGTAGCGTGATTGTCAAATGTAGTAATTTATATGCACAATCATACATGATACTCTGTTTTTATTGTGTAATGCAATACAAGTATGATTGGAGAAATGAGTAATGATTGAGCTTCAGGGGAAATGAAACAAAAAAAGAAAAAAAATGTTGCTGTCTGCTACTGAGGGACTTTCCGCCCTTTATATGTGAAGGGAAAAGAAAACGTACTTGGAGGTATATTTTAAACCTTTTCAGAAGGTCAAGCTGACAGACCACCGTGCTTTTTATAGACCCACCCTGCTTCAAACTCACACAGCTCCACATTTCACAGTTGGAGTTGCCCACTACAATCTGAGAGAAATATCAGCGCCTCAAGGAGAAGCAGATTTTAAATAGAAAAGCAACACGGTTTTGGCTGCAGTAGCTTGAGGTTAGAGGATCACATGCAACAACAGAACCGGCCCTGATGAGGCTCTGATGAAGGCTTGTTTGGCAAAGGGTACAAGTTTCAGACATAAAACGGGAAACTGCTCAGAGAGTTGGTTCTTCTTTGGCTTTTTGCAGAGCCTGTTTTCCTGGTTCATATCCAAAGTGTCCACCTCAATATAGTCATTTAAATCTTGCAATATGTTTAATGCTAACTGTATGCAGAAGGCCACTTTAACCATTTTCAAGTCAAACTCTTCAAGTCAGGTCCTTAAACCAGCTTCTCATACATTAGATACATGACATTAGAATTTCAGATACAAATCCTCCTCAACATTAAACATCCAGACAAACAAAACGATTCTTTCTCTTGTATTTAGAGTCGTAAAGTGCTTTGATCATGACTGGCAGAGCACCACCTGATAACAGAGGTATGAATGATTTCATTCAGGCTCAGTTGGCAATAA